ATCTTATATCGCTGTCCCGAGGATTCGGAAGCTCGGGTGGGGGACTCATCGAGGTCGGCCCGCAAAATTCACTCGGTGAGATCCGTTTGGGCATTTTGGTATTGAGCTCTCCATTTCCCCACCAGGTCGAGAGTGTCTTTTGGCAGAGACTAGCCGGCGCATACGGTCTCAGAATACAGACGAAAAACCCGTCCCTCTATCGATTCGGAGGTTTCCAGAATGACGAGAGAGGGAAACTGAGAGAGTTCTTCAAGGTATCATTCCAATGGCTGATTCCCCAACGAAGAAGCTTGAACGTATGCCGTCCTCACGGCTGAGAAAATACCGCCGAGTACTTTGGGCTTCTGAGATTCATGAGCTGACTAATTCATCCTTCTCCTATAGGAGTTTTATAATTTGGATATGAAGACTAAGGAATTCTCTCTAACGGGTCGAAACTGGGGCACAGTTAACTTCGATCCGGTAGTATTGTCCTTCGATATCGACAAAGTACCAGCTTTCGAGGTAAGTGATCCTCCTATCCCGCAAGCTTTGTTTTCAGAATCGGAACCAGCCGATATTCTGACTCTTTCTCGGAACTTCGCGCAGATTCCGCTGGCGTACGTGTCAAATTGTTCGACGAGCAAGAATGAAGTCACTCTCGAGTTCCAACCGAACGATGACGCTCCCTCGTGCATGATGGAGATGCGGTTTTACGTCCCTACGGATCCGAATCCAGACGTTATGCCGTCGAGGCCTTCAAAGCTAATGTCATGTCGGGGGCTGGCATCACACAAGCTACGGGAGACGCGATTGCCAACTTCAATGGCGTTCAGTGCCTCACGCCGAGAGGTGAGGACGGCGATCGAGGATCGATTCATATCTACCCTCTGGAGACTTCATTTCGCGCCGCTATAGGTCCCTTTCGCACTTCCAGGTCGCTACGACATCAAGATATTCACGACTTTCATCCAGCTCCATGGAAAAACCTTCGATTACAAAATACCTGTCAGTACGATACTCCGTATTTTTCTTCTCCCTCACAAGGATGGACGTCAGATGCACTTTGTTCTCAGTCTCGATCCCCCGATAAAGCAAGGTCAAACAAGATACCACTTCTTGATACTGATGTTCAACAAAGAGGACGAAGAAGATATAACTCTTTCTATGAGCGCTGGCGATCTCAAGGAGAAGTATGATGGCAAACTCGAAAAGGAGATGAGTGGACCCGTTTTTGAGACCCTCAGTCGAATCGTCAAGGCTGTGGTCCAGCGGAAGATCACAACGCCTGGAAACTACAAGAGCATGAATGGCACACCGGCTATCACGTGCACTTACAAATCGTCCTATGGATTACTGTACCCGCTTGAAAAGGGCTTCATGTACGTCCACAAACCTCCACTTCATATCCGATTCGAGGAGATCTCGTCAGTTAATTTCGCTCGGTCGGGCGGTTCGACCCGATCCTTTGATATCGAAGTACACCTGCGGAATCGGATAACTCATGTATTCTCGTCGATTGAGAAAGACGAGTACGATCGACTGTACGAGTTTGCCAAGAGCAAGAAGCTCAAGATCGGCAACAAACAGCGTGGAGCCGAAGAAACCTTTGCCAACGAGGTCATGTACGATTCGGACCAAGAAGACGATTCCGGTCCAGACGCCTACTTGCACAGGGTGAAAAGCGAGGCAAAGAAACGAGAGGATGACGACGATGACGATGATGAAGACGATAGCGACTTCAATCCTGATGAGGAAGGATGAGCTCCGACACGTTAGGAAATACTGTTACGTTCTTCTGCCACCGGTGCAGAATTCTGTCGTCGCCGCATTCTGTTTCGTTGAATTTCACCGGTCATGAATGTCATCCTCATGTCCGTCTGCCATATCCGTATACTCATAAATAGCTTTCAAGAAAGTTTAAAGAAAAAGAAAGTCCGCCGCATTCCCACCCGGTATCTCAATTCAAATTCAATTCAATTCGAAGACTCCTTTATTCACAAAGGGGGAAAAAGAGGGCGCATGTGAGGGACTTATTTACAGTGTCAGGAAGTTCGTGAGGGACGTAGCGCGAAAAATTTGGAGGGGATCTTGTTAGAGGACGAACTCTAAGAGATGCGCCACGACCATTGGTTATTTATGACTTCAGTACGGGCGATGGCCTTGGGCCGAATGGAAAGTTGGCTTCTGAGGTTGTTGGGGGCAATGCTGAAGAAATGCTCTCCGAGATTCAGGCTCTAGATCTTGCGGAGTATCCCAACGTCTTGTTGGGATAGCAGGCTCATGAGCTGGGGAAGAGACGGTCTTTCGCCCATGGGGGAACAGCGCCAGCGGAGGCGGGCGAGGAACCGATTTCGGACGGATTCGATCATGTTTCTATGCTTGGCTTTTTAAGGAAGCCATACGGGCGATCAATAGAGGAATTTGGGTAAGACGAGAGATTTGAACGGACGTACGTAGTGTTCGGGGCTTCTGACGACGAAACACCGGAATATGTATGTATATTCATGCATATTTCGCTCTTCCTCGTACATCAAACGTACAGCCTCATCAGTCCCCACTGTGCTCTGATGGAGGCTCCTTGAAGGACGGGTATCGGGATACGGGTCGCAGGAGGATAAAACAGAGATTTGCAGAGAGCATCGGCATTTCCAAGTAATTCCGCCCCGAGCATTATGGAGGGTGCATGAGTCCCGGGGGGACATTTCTGCAAAATCAGGAACTCATTCTGTTTCGTTCCGGATGTCCTTCGTGATTTCTATCCAAGTGGATCAGGTGATTGCGCCCAGGCCAAGATATCTCGGAGGGTAAGGGGATTCGTTTTGTTCTAGAATCCAGAGCGCTGCAAGTTGAGAAAGGGAGTCAACCCAGTCGACTGTCGAGAGGAGGGCCCGCCGTCGCGATATGAGGGGTCTTGCTTCGTAACCTCATCAGATAAATGAGTCCATCGACCCGAATACATGACCATAATTGACCCTAGAATATTGCGGCAAGAATCTCTCCCAGAGAAACTCCGAATCCGTACAAATGAATAACTTTTCTTCGAACATTGCCTATACACGTTCGGAACTCACTAAGGTCTACCATCATAATGATTTGTATTTATTCGGAGCTGTATAGATGGCGTCTTCAGCCGACTATGCGTAGTGATACCTATGCTCAATCGCTTCCTGACAAGGAAGACGTTTCCAGAATGGAGAGCCCTCCATTACTTCGCGTTTGACCATCTAGTCTCTATTCCTACATGTACCGGAGTACCGATGCGTGTTCAGAGGAGACCTACATGTACCTCTCCGGAGGACGACTGATCATCTATCTTGATATTTCTCCGCGGCTGCCGCCATCGCGGCAAAATCGGTCTCCGGATTTCTCGCCTATGTTGATTTCTCAGAAAATCATGAATATTACTACTCTGTAATTCGTAAAGTAATTCTCCATGTATAGCTCAGGGATCGACAGAGTACAGCCAATAAGCTCTTCCCGCAGAACCGTGACTCCCGATATTCTCAAGATCGTTTAGAGGCGGCTTTGAGCCCCCGAAGTCCAGGAGATCAATGATTCTAAAGAATTCTACGTGGTTCACAATTATTGGGCTTGTGCAGGATCATCTATCGACATATGACCTGATCGACCGCTCCCAGCATGGTGTTGGAACGGAGGAAATCTCGAGGTGCGCAAGCTCCTTTCCTGATGAAGGCTCCCCAATCGCAGAGTCTCCCCTCTCTCGCGATGCCGAAGCAAAGTGTTCCTCGCGAACGATTATTCAGAGTAAGGAGCAACTTGGGAACCACAATAGGCGATCAGGCGATATGCTTGAGCGGCCACATGGACCTGCGGCTGCCTCTCGATGCGGCGAAAGTCAAGGTGAGATGTCGGTGCCTCTGATAGGAAGAGAAACTGTGGCTGGTCCTGCTCTTGATTGAGAAATTACTTCCATCCCCCGAATTACTGTGCGCGTCCGATGAATTCCACGTTTCCAGCAGCGACCCTGCCGGCTTCACGCTCCGTTTTTCTGAACTGCTCTACCGATGTACTCAAGCGACAAGTCTGACGGATCCTCCAGTTGGATTTCGACGGAGAACTCCTGTCGGAACAGATTGGGAAGCTGACAAACACTATCTTAAAGCGCCTTGCCCGTCTAGTGAGGGGGACTCTATGAATCACCAACCGTAATGACGTTCTTCAGAAGCTGTTTATCATTCGACATCCGGGCTCGTTCGACCACGTTGATCGCATCCGGATTTCTCTGCCAAGTGACGAAGACGAACTTGTACCTGTGAAGGTGGGCGGATCATGGGGGACATCCTCATAGAGCTCGCATCCACACGAATATCTACTACACTCGCGACGGGAACTTTACCGCTTGCTGACTTCGTCGCCTACGGCGATCCTCATATAGATGAAGGCGCGCTCCAGAGCCTCAACTTTCGTTTTGAGAGCATCGAAGTCATCGCCCCGATCTTCGGGTCTCACTTCACCATCGCAGTATTTGAGAAGAATCCTTCGGGAATGGAAGGATTCGTGGTCAGCATGTCGGGATCGCGCGGATCTTCCCTAAGCATGCGCGAAGCAATGATGTGCATTGTGACTCACCAATTGGTGGATGAAGTGTCCTTGCGAACATCGTTGTACGCCTCCTTGACTTTCTCCTCGTCGATGACAATATTCACCATTCCGTTTTTGTCCAGCTGCGCGAACTGGAGGAAGAAAACAAGAAGCGTTACGGAGCATTTACGGGTCGTACGATTCGCAGGGGCGGATCTTTCCGGAATCCTCCGGGGGGAGTGAACACATCCACGGCTGCCGTACCCGTTTCGTCTCCTGCTTCACCATGAGGATGAGAGATCCGCAGCGAATGACGCTCCCATATTGACCTCGGAGCTTTTATCGGGCAGCGTCTAGGATGTGAAATAAACAAGCTCTCTCACCTTTTCGGTAGGCTCTCGCTTGTCTTGACGTCAGCGGCGCGCGACGACTACAACTTGCTGCTCCTGCGGTTTCATGACTTGCACGAAACAAACTCATGAGTCGAAGACTGCAGCACCGCTCAAATATTCTGCGTCACAACGGAGACTCCATTAATCGGTCTGGTTCATAGGCTGACAGCCGGTTCTCCCTTCCTAGCGCTCTACCTGGTGGGTCTATAGAAAATCATTGGAGCCAGGGATGAGTCGGATTGGCCTGCTAAGACTGCTCAAACGACCCTCCACGTTCGGAAAGAATGCAATTTCTGGCCAGCAAAGGAAACCCCGCGTTCACCTTTCTCATGGAACGAGTATGATTTATTCAGATATATACAGAAATGTCCAGGTATATCTATTGATGTTTGTGTATATGTATATAACATTTACTGGGTAGATCTCAGATGCCATTCGGGACCACCTTGTTAGACAGAATGGCCAAAGCTCCATAGAGTTCGCAAGATACGAGGCCGAGTAGAATCAGTTGAAGATTTCGCGACGGGAGCTTCATGCTTCATCGGACATCTCGTCCTCGCAACGAGAGATTCCAAGACTTTGCGAGCGATTCGGGATGCACCTGAGCGGGATCACTCACGACTTCTTCAATACGGGCCATCAGAATGGAGAATATGACGAATCTATACAAGACCTGATACACGGAGAAGCGTCGGAGAACCGGAGCGAATGATTTCCATGCTGTTGAGTTCAAGAGTGACCCCAGACTCTGAACTTGTGCGCCGGATCAAAGATCAGCGAATATGCATCTCTTCACATATGGGACATTTTCGGGATTTTTCCCCATCCAACGGATGACAATAAGACTATGCTTTGGATGCTTTGGCGACTTTCTTCACGCGTGACACTTTGCCGGTTTTTTTCTTGACTTCTTTGACTTCGGATGCTGAGGCGTACTCCCAACCAGGGCTGCCATTGGACCCGCTGCCGCTGATTCCGTCGGGATTTCTCGATGAAGCTCCATCATCTTGGCTATCGTAATCCTGCGCTTGTCCGCGGAGATTCACCGTTTGGAAGGCACATTCTGCGGAAATACATAGGGGGTAGTGATAAAAAAATTGAAAAAGAGGGATCATGATTGAAACGGGAACACGTGCAATGAGGGCCTCGTCGCATTCGAACCCACCTCGGTTGTTGCCGGCGCATTGTTGGGTATCACGTTCATGATTGCATATCCAAAGGTCGAGGTCGAAAACCGTCCCAGCCGCACACCTTGAAATCGAAAAAGTATGTCGATTGGAGTTCATCTCCGAGACGCCTCCTCGTATCTATGGCAGACTTCGAAGCGAAAACTCATTGGGAACGAACGGAATAGATCTGCTGACCTTTGCGTGAACGGGCGACAATTAGCGCAGTTCACAAATCCGCAACAGTTCCCATCGACGGGAAAAAGTCCGTCTGGTTCGAGACAGGGGCTCTGTGGTCCGCATGATTGCGATCGTCCTTCATCTGGTCTGGAACTAATTCACACGCCGATCACTCACAGCGTTCTTCCGAAGGACTCACAGCTAGGCGACAGGAGCTTCCCATACGAACCTTTGACGAGATCCATCTCTGCGATCCCCGAAGCCCCCCTGTTGACGAAAGTCTCGATCCGGTTGTGGATACCCACGATCCTGCGGCGTATACGTCCGATCTTGTTGCGGATACGTCCGATCTTGTTGAGGATACGTTCGATCTTGCTGGAGATACGTCTGATCTTGCTGCAGATAATTTCTATCGCGTTGCGAATGAGTCCTATCGAGCAGAGGATAAGTCCTATCTCGATGGGGATAAGCTCGATTTTGTTGTCGATAATCACGGTCTCGTGGACGGAATTCCCGATCCTGCTGTCTGAAGTCCCGACTAGGCTGCCAGTCGCTCGCTCTTAGGTCTGCGGTAGGAGATCAAGACTCAATCATCGATTCCCGAATCTGAACTTATTTGAAAAAAAGGTACCTGAGCCGCGTGCAGTTCTCACCTCCGTCGGACGGACGCACAGAGTGTTGCCTCCCCGGAACGTCGTGAGGTCGATTGTGGCTCGACGGGAACCTCTGCGTCTGGTCGCGTCTGAAGTCATCAATGCGGACCTCCACTCGATTCTCCCGAATGTTGTTGCCTTGATCTCGATGATGTCTGAACACGGTGGAAGGAGAAAACCTGAATGACTCCTTTAGAAATGACTCAAACTCTCCGCACGATTTTTTCTGCCCAGGACACTCACCTATAAGATGGTCCCTGATAATGTGAGCCATGTAGATCGACATCGACTCGGGGAGTCTGGAGTCCTCGGAAATTCCGCGAATGCTCCTCTATAGAATGGTGCCCGAAGGATGGATAATCTTTAGGATATCGTGAATGGCTCCTGTCGCCTCGATGCACTTGTTGATAGCTGGCAGCCGCGTGTAGTCGACCTTCGAATAGCAAAGGGTCGCAATGATATCCACTGTCGTCAGGACTACCTATGTATATGAATTTCCTTCCCTGGGGTCAGTTGCGGAAGGATTCGTCGTGGTCCTACCTGGATCGTGTGAGGACTCGGAGTGAAGCGCTCGCGAGAATCCGCGATTCGAGTTAGCCCCCGTGATATCATGAGGACTGACTCGGATACTCGAATTCGAAATCGGCACCACTGTAGCATGGTGAGAAGACGCACTCGGGGACGACCTCAGCGATTCTACGGAGTCTTTCACTTTGAGACGTTCTTCCACGGGCACCGGCACGAACTTCAATTGCGCTTCCGAGGCCGCTAAGGCACCTACCACGAAGTAGTGGCTGACCAGCAGCCACTTGGCCATCTCTTCCGAGGTTTCAAAGGTCTCCGGAAAAGGGTATGCCTTCAGTTCCGTCGAGGATCGTCACCTACTGAGCGCAACCAGTGAACACTGAACATCGGATGGACTGAAGACTCCCCCACTTGCCGTTATATATAGCGTCCCCTTCGTCCTTGAACATCATCGAGAGGAACCCTAATTTCTGGTTGGGTGCGAGGTTCTGCGCAAACCACTCAAAGCTTTCCTAAGCGTACGTAACGCTCACTGCAACGGCTGCACTGGAAGACCTAGCGATACTTCACTTTCGAAGGAAAGCGATCCTGCACCTACGACGGCCCGCGAAGAACTCGCTTTTACTTTTGTTTCGAATTATGCCCGGCGCTTAAGTCTCGCTGCTACTGTCTTGCTAATCAGCGAACGTCAGGTCTCTTACGTTTTCTGACTTCGGTCGCGAGCTGAGCCTGGGAATGTCTGCCTCTTCCGCAGGACTATCCGTGAGTCAGATGACTACGTATTTAAGGCTCAGTGAGGGTCACGATCGAACGTCTCGGACCTCTCGGCGACACCGATAGGCTGATCCATGAGCTATCCACTGTGGAATCCAAGTTGTGGAATCTCGATACATGACACAACAGTTCCCCGCGCGTCTGTGCGCGGTAGTTCAGAATCCAGCGGAATTGAAGTATTTCTCGGTATTCACCATTAATAGGAAGTTTGTCGAATGCGAGCTCCGTTCTCAGAACAAAAGCGCCTCGACTTAATTATTGCTGACCGAAAGGCGACGATGACCTCGTTTTGGGAGAGCCATCAGCTACGGATGAGTAAATCAGCTTTATTCAAACGACGAAGTCCACACCGACCACAGGGGTCATAGCAAGTGCGCGAGCGCTTCAGTCGCGAAACCCGAGGTAAAGGTCACTTCGGACTATTGTACGCTAAGCGTGACTATCGCTGGCGCCAGAACTAGGAAGAGGAAGGCTAGAACTTTATCCGTAATCCATCCCTGTGATTTGAGAATGCCTCGATCGTGAGAACTCCCCCATGAGACTGTCCAACCGCAGAAGAAGAGAGAGTCACGCTGATCCTTGAGATTCCCTAGCTTGACTTTCCGAGAAACGCCGATGACGAATTCCTAGGCCAAGAGTAATTCTCGATGATTACGGTTCGGTGGTCATCGAAAACTCCGGGATTGTTGCCTGGATGACTTGAGACTTGAGATTCGAGATGTTAGAAGGTTGAATCGATCCGATTGATGTCGCTCGTCGCCGTCTCCAATTGCCTTGAACTTCTTGCGGACGCGCTCGGGTGCGAAAGTATCCCGACTAGCTGTAATCTACAGAACACGACTCTTCTTCTGAACAAAGAGCCTGCAATCAAATTTCACTGTTGACGACTATGACGAGTTGTTTTCCTTTCATCGCATGTGAGCCAGACGACTTCGCTGACGAGCAGATGAGCATCATCAGATCTGAGCACCCGATAGCCACGATCCTTACAAAACACAGCACTGTCGCACAGTCACGTCAATTGAAACTGGTGTCTCTATGATGGGTGTGCATTCAATCGGGGACGATCCTACACAGCTCATGCTGGGCTGTCGAGCTATCGAAAGTGAGCTCGTTGGCCAGCTTGCTTTGCGCCTTGAGTATGAGTCAGTCCTTGATTGATAGTCACAGGGGAAATGGATACTCCACCGAAGAATGCCGGAAGAGTTGGGCGCCATTGGTTTGCGTATTTCGGTGTAGGAATCTCAGCAAAATGCTATGTCATTGTGACTTTGGGAATAACGCCGGCTGGAGCAAGGAGTCGTAGAGAGGCTCCGCGAAAGCTCATGATGGCCACGGATACGCGATCGGCCCATCCGACAGCGGAAACCCCCATTTTTTCTCTGATTTGGAATGAGAGATGAGGCGAGATTTGCGCGCGATCGGAGCTCTCAAGAAGGCCGGAAATCACGGCGCAACACGGTACGGTGCTAGGAGGCGAACAGTGAGCCGCGGTTTGTGATGATGTCTTCATGACGCGGCAAAAATATCGAGTCTCAGCATCGTTCACGTTCGCTAGCTCCAAGTCCTCGGGCAGCATCGCCAAGCACCGTATCGCTTCCCTCATTCAGACGTAATTTCAGCTCATCTGCGCCGATAGCTCCGGGATGAGACTCGAGGTCGGCCTCACTCTACGCATGGTCAGTTCGGAGAATGTCTCGTCGAAATCGGTGTCGACGAATACTTCGCTCCAACCACCGCGCAGCCCGCGAGGATGACGCGGCCTGCCCTGCTCTTCCGATTTGAGCGCATTCGATCTCGAACGACACTCTGGTGGATCCAGGGGTAGGGAGCGACCGCGATGGGGCGATCGCCTCCCCTCGAGGATTCCGACCTTCCGAAGCGGGTCCCAGATGTTCATCCGCTTCCCTGGATCCGCTACTGACCAGACAAAGCGCAGAGCTAAGCCTTCCAACCCTGGTCCGCAACTGTGGCACCCCAGGCCAGCGAGGCTCCCGCGGCGGGCCGAGGCAGAACCAGAGTGTGCAATAGAGCAGGGGTGTCAAATCCGTGGCAATCGGGCCAGATGTGGCCCGCGGCCCGCGAGGTCTTTTTTTGTGGCCCGGCACTATTTCCCCAAATACTCGAAGCCGACCATTTCGAGAGAGTGCTTTGAAATCGAATGAGATCGGTGGAATGAATCCCCCCGTGAGACCGAACAAACGCGTTCTCCCTCGATTCCCGCAGGAAAGCATTCTCCCGTGGACGATAGGCAAATATTCTCTTTCAATACGAAAGTAATTTTTCGATGTGGCCCGCCAAAAATTTAAGTCTGACACCCCTGCAACAGAGGGTGCAAGTCGCTCTGTGTCTTCACGAGTATTCATTGCTCCGCTCCATCGCTCTCGCTCTTCAGAACTCCATCGTTTATGGAGAGGACAAGTTGGTCAAAATCTGACTCCTCAAGGTTCGTTAGAGATCGTAGTCTCGTGAAGAACCGAAAAGAGCAGATTAATTCTGTCATTCGCGCTCGGACGCTCGATCGATCCGCTCCATCCGGTAAAAAATTCCCCGAATATGATCCTCATTTGGACAACCCGTCATGCGCGCTGGGTCCCGGGTCATTGAAGATTCGCATGGAAACAAGGAGCTGCTGGTCTAGTTCACTGAAATCATACTAGGGAAAAATGGGTATTCATCTGCGAAATAGAATCGTATTCGGAAAATTGACTCGGCAGCCGACGAGGAAGAAATCCACGAGGGTCGATCCGCAAGTAGCAGCTCACTCAGTTGGAAGTCGACAAATGAAGTTGAGGCCGTAGAAGTAGATTATGACTCGGAGTGCACAGATGGCTCGGAGACTTCTCGTGGCTCTCCGGCTGATTTCTGCTATTACCTAACCCTGAGGAGAAGCGCAGTCACTTATCATGCAAGACAGCAGTCAGTTTCCCCTGTATTCTCTGGCTCGAGGGATTGGGCGGACTGATGCTTCATGCGAATAATGACAACAATGAGTCAAGGACAACAATGACCTATAACCTGGAAACTCATTCGGCTCAAATGAGGCGCCGGTCAGGAAGGAATCGATGGCATTTCTAAGCGTCACGCACAGCGTCATCCAAATACGAACGAGCGCTCGGTGTGCCTCAAGTCCAAATCTCTCACAAAGTCGTAAGAGGACCACCTTATATATTGTCAGGTAGAGGAGCATCAACGAATCAACGCTCGCACAAATTTCGGGCGATGTCCGAAAAAGATTGGAATCAGTATAACGACACACTTTTAGGCGACCCCAGTGATTTAGTCTCGTTTCGCACATGAGTCGCCACGGAGAGGATATGCGAAGAGCTGAGTCTTGTGTGAGAATGATGCTCGCCTGGGTTTTCCGATGTGAGAGACGATGTCCGGGCTCGTCGTACGTCTTTCCACCGCAGACGAGGGAGCAGTATCAGTAAGTCGTCGGAGCCGCTGCCTCGCCGGTTTGCGGTTACATCTGATCCTTTGAAGTATATATCAAGTTCTTGATCACGGCAGTTCATGAATGATCTCCTCTATGAAGATGGGTCTCGTATTTGATTTGGATGTTGCTTTCGACACCTTGAACAAGCTGCGAGATCGTGAAAATCTCTCGAAAGGATGTCCTTGAGAAGCTTCTGAGCCGCTATCAGCAGAACCGGCATGGGATCGGGGAATATGCAACGATGCTTTTGCGAAGTCTCCCACAGTTTGCCGAAAACCATGAACGGTTCATTTCCAGGTGGAGGAAGCCGTTCCGAGGATAACATCCCGTCCTCGTGAGGTTTCTGACGCTTCCTGAGTGAATCAAGTCATCGAACCATGAGCTTCAAACCGAGCTCGGATTCCCATTCCGAGGGGTACGATGCATAATCCAGAACGATCTCCAAATGTGGTTGAAGGTCGCACAGGAACAGTGACATCGAATCCCAACTCGAAAAGGAATACATTGCAAACAGCTTATTGAAGAGAACACGTTTGATGAAATAGATGAACAACGCAGCGAGCGGAAATATTACGGAATATAGATACATTCTGTATTCGAGAGTTTTCTCTTCGACAGCTTTGTCTTGACCGTGAGAGATACTTTTTTTTGCATTTAGAGAGTACCCAAGACCACCCATTGGACCTCTCCTATGCGTCCCGGCGAACGAAGCTCATACAGCTCGGAGCGTCATATTTTGACGATCCTCCTGGACTTTCGAGAGACTTTCGAATTCGCACAACGGGGAGGGCTTGGTGGAGACTGCCTAACGAGCAGGGGCGTCAACACCAGTCGGCTGTTCGGAGTCACCGAGGGCGTCTATCATGAGCTCAGAGACGGTGTCGCTTGCGACATATCGGTGGACATGATCCGGAACCGCGGAACGCCATAGCCGAACCTCCGACTTCGGTGTCTATCTTGCGGAGCTGCCTGGCAGCATCAAGTACGAGGCCAGCGCCTGGACCGTCGCCTTGTACCGCTGATCGCCATGTTCTCAATGAGGTCGGTCTGAGGCACAAGAATCGAGTCTTGAAGATGCTCGACATGGCGGACAGCAATCTTGCCGCAGAAGTCCGACAGGTTTGCCCACCGAACGCTCTAGAGGTTTCGTTCAAAGCACAACGGAAGACGAGGAGCCCCTCTCCCTCCTCTGCTATCTCGGTGAAAGGCACTCTGGTTGAAGCGACCCGATTTCGCCGGTCCATCGTAGTCTCCGATGAGGAGCTTCTCTCGTATCATGATTCATCCCTCTTCCACGGTTCCCAGCTTCAGATAATCTTCGGAGCGCTCATGCTCGGCTTCGACCCACTGACTAATGTAAGTGGTAAGTTCTGATTGCGGACAAGAGGAATCGACGGAAACGTCGAAGCGCCATGCGGAAACGTTTCGTCTTAGATAGCGAGGGTCCAGAGGCGCTCGATCCCGCAGGCTGAACCTCTCCTTGACAAGCGCTGGCGCCATCCCCAGTTTTTCGAAACAATGTCAGAATACCAGAATTTCTTCATATCGTTGATATTCCCATACAGGCTCGGACTAACATAGTTCGGAAGCGCTTCCAGAGGAGCTCCCAGTAGCGTGGGGCCTTTATTTGATTGAACCCCGCTGCAGGAGAGCTTCTATTAGATGGGGGTTCCTCATGTAGTGATGCGCAATGGCGCGATGACGCGTCGGTGATGAGGAAGAGAAGATTCGAAACGCTTGGCTCGCGGAACTTGAAGCACATTCTGCAGTGGAATTTCTCGGTTTCGATCCAAGTTCCCCCAGGAGGCCTCTGTCGGGGAGAGTCCACTATCCAGTTCAATTCGATGGGCTTGTAGTGGGATAGTCTCAGTTCCATCATGAATCGATCAATATTTCAGGACAGGCACGTCGAATTTTCACAAGAAGAGACAGTGTTTGATTTCATGACAAATGAATATTTGTTTTTTTTTATTAGGGACTCTTTCATGTGATTCTCATTAACAAGCTATATCCTATCTTTATGAATGATGAGGATGGAAATACATGACAGAAGTGATTATGACGTTCGTTGATATCCGTCGCAACACTGGTTCGTCTCTAGGTCGGTTCGCTGTTGGTTTCTGCTAGCTGGGTACGCTGGGTAAATAAATGAATGAATTAATGAATGTATGATTGAGGGACTGGTCTCCACCTGTTACCCCACATGCCGAGTTCGAATTATTTCGTTCAGATCGGTCATTATGGTTGCCATGATGCTCCTGCGATTAATTCTGAACCATGTGTTTGATTCTCTTTCTGTACAGTCTCTCTCCAGTCGATTATTATTATCTAGGCTAAGATTCCTGATCCTTTCTGACGCCGAACCATTTTGGTCTAATTGTAATCATGTACTGTATCACACGGGCTGACAGAATTTCTCTCCACCATTCCTTGGTTGTTGCTGATTTACTCAGTGTTCTCACATCGTATTTACACTAAATGCCCCAAAAATAACTTTTTTTTGTTTGTTTGTTTGTTTGCATCGTTTGTTGTTTCTCCTGCATTTCCTTGGTGATACAAGTTGTGCTTTCCTCTAGTTCCTCCTCGCTTATCGTCCGCATCGATCAGCGTTCCTTCCTCATACTCGCTGGCTCAATCGCATTGAACTGAAATCTAGCTATCTTACGTTATATGCAGTGGATTCTACAATGCTGCTCGCGGTTGTTCCACAGGATCCGCGCGCGGCTTCGGTACAGGTGATCATAATATATACCGATCGATATATTCGACAATCTCCTACGGTCGAGAAAATAGTTATAAGATCCATCGAATAGACCGGGTCGTCGAAAGCGCAACTCGCATGCGGTTGGTTGGTGGTTGATTGTTGTATCTGCTTGACTTCTTGTTCTCAAAGCTTCCGAATCATCGACATCTACGAACTCATGTATATGATTTTCAAAATACATCAGAATATTCTCATTCGAAGCGCGGCGTCGATGTCCGTCAAGCCAACCGTGCTAGTGATAATATCTACGTCATCCATAGCATAGGTGCTACAATAGTAACCTTAATTACGATCATCGAGGAAGAACAAATCCACCGCTCAGTACTCAGACAGCTAAATCGCGTTGAGGGACAGCTCTCGCTCGTTTGTGTCGACGAAATCACAAAGCCCGGCGGAGGACATGTCCGGGAGTAGTTAACGCTCGATTCCGAGGCATGTTCCTCGTTCATCAACCTCCGAATCAGTCACAGTTCACGAATACTCCCCGGTCAGTAAGAACACATGAGAGAGAGGAAGAGCATGCAGACTGCATGCTGTCGACGATTTATGATGGATGGAATGAGCTGATGAATGACAGGATGTGATAAATGTATGGATGAGTGAATAGAGCGGTCAATCGATGCACGCAAGCCTCGACGTCTACAGTACAAGCTTCTGAGTACAGTGGTTCAGACTATCCTGTTATGATGCTATTTACATTGCAATGTTTTTGTTCCCTCTCAACTTCTGCCGAAGGAGCCGGACAACGATGCAGAGGCGTCATGAGCTCCTTAATCTTCCTCGGGTTCTGTCTCCTCTTCCTCGTCAGCGCTCCACTCGGGGTTTGCGATCTCGTCGAGGATATCGGCTTCGTTCACTTTGTCGCAGCTGACATTCAACCAGTGCATGAGTCCGTGATTACTGGGATTCGAGTTGTCATCGTGCATTTCGAAATCCTCGTTCTGCTCGGATTTCTTCGATGCCACCCTGACGTCACTGTTGTCCTCGACATCGAGCGACTCTGCGTCCTCCACGCCGAGGCTGAACGCGTCCGTTTTCGATACCTCGTTCGCACGCCGTGAGAGTCGGGCCTGTGGCTCATCGAGGTCCATGGGCCGCTCCTGCGATTGAGGCTCCTCCTCAGCAGCAGGGTGTACTCGCTGCCGCTGACCTTGTTGAAGTTCATCGGGGAACGCCTTCGAGGAACTCAGTGGATCGTCTTGTTTCTGTTCCGTCAGTGGGGTCTGACCACCAGTTGAGGGAGAGGACGACGCATTCGATTTCGAGATGAACCTTCGTGGCTTCTCTTTGGGCTTTTGACCATTGCTCTCATCTACGGGAACGGTTTCGCAGGCTTTCTCAACTTCGTCCGGATCTGAATTCTCCTGCAGGATTTTCTCAAACTCCTCATCGCTTAACGGGAACTTCCTCGGAGGATAAGGTGTTGGCGCCGATGAGCTCTGCTGCATTGTCCAGTCTTGCGAGAGTGAGCTGCGGAAGACTTCTCTTTTAGTTCAGGCGTAGTAGTGAAACCGATGGCTTCGTATTTCGAGACTTGATTCGAGAACATTCGCTGTGGTAGAACTCACCGATGTTGTCGCTTTGCCTTGCTCGCGTGAAGCTTCGCGATCGACTCGGTTTTACCACCGACCTCGCTCCCCAGCAAGCTAGACTCGTCGTGGATTTCTTTGGCTCTCATGGCAGACGGGAACATCTGCGGGGTGGCTGCCTGCGTTGATGAATCTTTCGACTTCTGCGCATCCGTACTTTCGGTACGACGACCTCGATAGATGGCGGCGGAAGGAGATCCGATATTCGAAACCAATTTCGGTTGTAGATACGCTGAGAATCGTTCACGTTCCAATGTTTCTTGTCGGCTGTGACGAACTTCGAAGGCGGCGTCGCTCGTATCTTCTTCTTTTCCGTCATCTTTAACTGCAAGCACCGTATCCTCGTCGTCCATTGCGAAAGAACTCTTTCCGCTCTCTGGGGCCGCCATCTGTGGACGAACAAAAAGCATGAGGAATCGCACGCGGAAGCCCCGACTCTCTTAAGCTGCTCTATGGTAAATGATAGGAATCGATCCCTCCCGTAAATATCCTCTTCCAAGCTCATCGTACCTTATCCGATACGGTTGCACTGCCCTCAACTTGTGCGCTTTGCTCATTGTCTTCCGACTCGACAGGACCCAGGTGAAGGATCCTCCATTTAGGCGTGAGAATCTCCTTGTATTTCAACGGTTCCACCAATCTGGTGGAGCTCATCATGCCGTAAGGAATGACGATGTTGTCAATGTCATAGCCATACTCCTGGTGTACAACGTTTGATGCTGTAAATGGACAAGAAGACCGTTGAGTACAGTTTTTGATTTATAGTATTTTGTGAGAGATCGATGCAACGACTCCCAACGCGAGTCAAGCCGGAGGAAATTCGGGTCGGATGGGAATTTTCGCGGTGTACTACTCACTTCTACGCGTCCGACTCGGGTTATTCCGGTCTCCGATATCAGCAAAAAGTTCATCATCGGCTTGCTCCTGGCTGTCAACAGACACGCTCCTGTGAGCGGGCGCAGTCGTGAATCTTCGGTCGGCTCTTCGTTTTTTGGAAACTCCATCTGTTGGACGAGGAGCGCCACCGCTACTGCCGCGTTTCTCACTCCGGCTCGGACGATTCGCTGCGTGCGTCAATGGGCGCTTGCGTTTCGTCGGAGGGGCGTCGTCATCTATCTCCGGAGGTTCCGGTGTCGCGGCTGCGGATCGCTGCTGTGAATGTTGGGAGGCTTGCTGTTGAGCCTGTGTCCCGGCCGCTTGTAGATCCCGTTTCTTCTTCGCGGCAACAGCAGCGGCACCGCTAGCCGCTGACGTCGTTGCAACTGCCGCGTCTGACGAACTCTCAGCCTGAGCGTTCTTATGTACGAGGAGACTGTAGCCCATCCGTAAGAGGTTTTCATAGTGAAGACTGAGGGAGATGTCGTGTTTACCCGACAGAACCGGATGGTACGTCTCGTCATAGGTGGCCATTCGCGATACTTCGCTTTGGCTATCCCATAGAGGTATGGCCATGAGCTGTCTGGTCAATTGGAACTCTTCCTGTTGCCGCTCTTCGGATATGTCGAGGCGCTCGCGGGCAGATTGTGCGTGCAGGAAAGTGCACCGCACGCAGAGCTCAATCTGCGGATACATCGTGCCGCACTCACAGCTCAAGTTGAGCGCGTCGATCGGGACGGACTCCGCAACTTCCGCGGGAATCGTGTGCGCATGTACGAGACGCCGTTTGGTGAAGTTCTTGTTCAGTGGTGTCGTTCTTGCACAGCGTGACATATCGTCGCTGTTGTTCGGGTCTGGCTGTTGAAGACAGGGCTCTTTCCTCAACCGTAACTGGCGGCAAAGCTCATGTTGCTGCCGGATACGATATTCCAATTCAGACACCTGTGCTTGGAGCCACGTCCATTGGGCACCTAGAGTTGCTCTCTCGCTAGCCCAGCGCCAAGCCGGATGCTGGGATCTACATGAGCTGTGGCTGGAGGCGTACTGGAAGGGGGTGAGGATTCTCCGCCCATTGAAAATTTCCACTTTCTCAGGGAGATCCTCTTCCTCTGATGAACTCTCCGTCGCCGACGAATCGCAGAGTTTCTCTGTGTTTGCGATGAGGGTCGAGTGGATGCCGCAGCCTCGCACGAGTTTAGCGCTGTCGTTCTCGCCCAGCTTACGCTGAAGAGGTGTTGTGTTTTTCTCTGCAACACCGAACATCATGTTATTCCTCTGTCGAGCTTTCTATGCTACTTCATCGAGCGACGCGAGACGATTGTTTCATGGCAGAAGATGTGCGTTTTCAACCGTCTCACCTTTGTTCGCCAGCTGAGCGGCGATCTGACCGCTCTTACTCATGAGACATGGCATTTTGAATATTTCCTGGCCTTGCGCTATGACTTGTTTCAGCTCGGAGTAGGCCACCTCGACCGTGCTCTTTGTTTGGATTCGATGGATTCTCTGAGAGACCACATCATTCTTCCGATTCAACTCGTGCATTTTTCGGAGCTGCGCCTCGCAGTCGACGGCGAACATATGAGCAGGATCCGCAGAAAACCGTCCGGCGCACTCACTGCCCGACGGCAATTCATCTGCGAAAAATAATAATGTGCGTTAGCTTCGCCTCGTCGGTCGAAGATGTGAAGCTTGGAAATGAACGCAGAACCCATGTGAATGAGTTCGGGCGCGTCGATCATGATGACTATCGAGTGGACAAGAGGACGAATGATAACTCACCTTTTCGTTTCGCGATCTCGTGCTCGTCGTTGGTTTCTGACGTAAATCTGGAACGTTCGACGTGGTGTGTCCTCACCGACGTACCTGTCGAAAAAGCAGTCCTCGACGATGTCGAAGCAGCGGCGGTCGTTGTTGTCGTCGACGCTCCAGCGGCCGCTGGGGAGTTTGTGATCGTTGACGCTGTTGCTGTCGGTGCTCTTGTCGACGACGATGATGATGATGCAATCGAGGACGCGGACAACAAGGTAGAGCCCGCGGTAACCCGCGCGCAGGGAGCGTGCGGTGAGAGTCTCTGCCGTGACGGTATCGAAGAGGTCGCAGCGCCATTGGCGTCATCGTCCTCTTCCTCGTCTTCTGTTGTTGACATCGTGTTCCTGGTCACGGCTCCGGCTGCTGATATCTTTTTCGTGAGGGGTGTCGATACTCTCATCGGGCTCGGAGCTGGAATCGTGCCCGATGCAGACGCAGCGGATACCTTCGGCATTGTCGTTGTTGCGGTCGCGATCGCTAACATCGGTGTCGGGGAATTCGACGAAGCACCGATCGAGTTCGGCTTCGAATTATTTGCGATCGCCGATGCGTTCGCGATGTCTCTCATGCTGTAATTGTGATTTCCGTTGATCTCTTGGTACTGTTGCGAATTCCGGCCAATTATGATCGTGGTTTTCGATCCCGCCAGTTTCTGGTTTGGGGGGAGCATCACACCGGTGGCCGCAGCTCGGCCCGCCGGGCTCTGCCCGTAGCTTGCACCATCGTGATTGGTTTGGTTGTTGTTGCTGGTTGCAGTAGTGTTATTCTTGCTGGGGATACCGCTATTCTGGTTGCTTTTAAGACGGTTGTTGTTATTATTGTTGCTACTGCTGAAAGCCGAAAACGTCGTGGTTGGCGATGACGACGACGTCGCTGTTGGGTGCGACGTCAAGCGCGTCGTAGTCGGAACGATCGCCGTGACGGTGGCGGTTCCACCGACTCCGTTGAAGAGTGTAGGTGAGGTATAAATTTCCCGAACATGACTGTTCTCGTTGAGAGCGTTGTTTGAGCCACCATTCGTCGAGGTTGTCACCATTTTACCTCCGTTCGAGATGACCCCACCACGTTTGACCAACGTGAACGTTCCTCTCCCGTTGGTGAGCGGCTTCAGACCTCCTCCGACCCCACCGTTGAGCCCGCTTCCAGCGTCACCGTTCACGCGCAACTGCGGATGATGCTGCAGATGGTAATCGTGGTGGTCCGCGACTAGACGGCCGCTCACGGAAATACTGTTGCTCCGATTGATCGACACACTCGACGCGTTCGTGGCGGAAGCAGCTGCAGCGGAATTCGTTGAAGTACTGACAACCCTCTTACTACCAGCTCCCGGTGGCAATCGGAGGGAGACGGATGTGTTGACACTCCCCATGCTGTCGTTCACCGCATGTTTGCTTGCCGCTGAACCTTGCGCTGAGATCAAAACTTCCGATCTCCCTCCGGCCGCCGAGACGAAATTCACAGCTCCCGCTCCACGATTGACGCCAATTACCGAGGAGAAAACGTCACCGTCTTTCACGTTCGGGGGCGCCGTGGCTGCGAAGCCCACCCGACCGTAGCGTACAACCGCGACGGGCGCGATGGCTGCAGGTGAGCTTCTCGAGGGAAACAAGCGGACTGTTTCACCTCCCCGCTGGCCCCCTCCGCCCCCTCCTCCCCCTCCAATGCTCGTTGTCGTTGCACGATGATAGTTGGGATGCTTGCTGTCACTGTCGTGAAGTCTGTTGCTAGAGTTTATGTTGAGCGAGTTGGCGATGATGCTTGTGGACAGGAGAACGCCACCTCCTACTCAATCGACTGATCGTCTGCTTCGCGAGCGGGTAGCAAACTGTCGACAGTCGCTAGCGGAGGATTTTTTCCTGCGGGAGAAGCGGTATAGGGTCAGGGATGCGAATCCAAGAAGTTCGTCGGTCAGGGGAGGGAGCTATATGTATTCATTCCAAATCAATGGATTGTGAACCCGTATGGAGAAATTATTTTTAGACGAAGGCATTCATTCGCAAGCGAGTGCTTAATGATGGATCGGCCAAGGAGCAGCGGGCGTTCTCGATGAGAACAAGAAGTACGCGAGTAATAGCACAGCTGAAGGTCGAGCTTCCGGAGATCCGTGACCAGAAGTTGAGCGTATTCACCCAGCTGAGTGGAGACCTCGATCGATTTCGAGCTCAAGAAACATCATCTCAAAATGCATGGGATATGGAAACACTTCTGCAACGGTCTGACGGTAGGTCCGGGGAGAGAACCTGACCGGATGTCCGGTCGTGAAGTGAGCTCGGGAGAAAAAGCCTGACTCCAGATCCGCCGAATCCTGGTGATTATGATAGGTCGCAGAAATCGATGGAGAGGACCGAAAGAACGCACCGTAGCTCGTCTTCGCTGTTTTCGGTTTTGTCCGAGCGCGATAATCACGAATCCCGAATCATGAGAGGTATGAACGAAAGAGCAGGCCAGTAACCACCCTGCACCGTCTCAGTCAGCCCGTCTATCCGTGAGTTCATCCATTCGCCGGTGGCGTTAATCATTCAGCCTACACTCGGAAACGATATTCGTAGCAACGAAAGACATGCAGATTCCCTGTTGGGTTCCATACACCCGGAAGAAGGGCAAGGAGAATCAATGCCTCCTGGAAATTGCTTCAGACAGCGGTTCGAATCCAGGGCATCGCTCCTCAACGCGTACACCGGACTCCGACCGCATCCGGAAGACTCTATCCTAGGACAGAGCAGTGACTGGCGGAGGACAGTGACCGGAAATATGCTTCAAAATACTACGGAACCGAACGATATTATCACGGATGAGTCAGAGAGAGAGCCTCTAGCGCTTGCATGAGGAAACGACGCGCGCGCATTTCATCATCAACATAATCGCCAGCATAACCAATGCGGATTGCGCACCGAGCCCACAATGTTCGTGAAAATCTATCGAACTGGCGAAACCGGGAACCGATGATCGCTTCGGCAGTTGTCATGGTCGATTCCTCCGTCTCAGGGAGCCGCCATGCTCATGTCCCCGGGATGAGCGAAAGAGAATCAATGAGCACCCTCATCGTCGCGAGTCTCCTCGACGACAATATCAATCAATGACGAATTGACAGTGCCTTCAAAGCGTGTTCCTGGTGCGGTCACTGTACTTCCAGGGCTGGTTGGCTGACAGAAGTATCGGTTCGCGGCCGCCGTCTTCCACCGAAGAAGCTCATGCTGCTCGCGCTGCTGTCGAATACATATTATTATGATGAGCCAATGATCCAAACATGAAGATAGCGACGACGTCGTCGGGAACGACGACGCCAGGAACTTTGCTTGCAGCCGCTGCATCAGCAGCTACATATATTCGACGCCGCCGCTGCTGCTGCGGCCACTGCCCATACGCGCCCCGACGCCGCGTGCTGCTATTCCCGATTCGGGCAGTACACCAACAATGTAAATTCAATGACTTGGCAAGTTTACGGCTAACGACAAGGCTCACGAATGTCAACGAGTGAGCTGACCGGCAGTTGTCGACAGTAACCAGCACGAGGTGCCGCGAGCGAGTAAGCCAGATAACAGGCCAATCGGATAGCCAGCTAGGTACCACCGAGTGAGCGATCGTCGTAGCCGTCGTCGTCGTCCGCCATCACCATAGCCTGGGCTACGCGCCACACTTACCTCGATGCCTTAGCGTGTCCATGAAACCTCCTGAGCCAACGATTCAACTGCCGCTGCCGGACGAAACTTCACTGAAACCTCGAATGCGACCCGATGCGGCTTTCAGATAGCACCGCACACAAATCTGTATAAATCACTAGTTAGGCCTAGCAGCGCAAGGCGACCGCACACATCTCATTGGTTCAGCGGCAGCAGCAGCACCACCAACACACCATACGGCTAGACACACACGACCGACCGACACACACACACACCGACACACACACTTAGACCCAGCAGCAGCCACTACGCTCCTCTCGCTCACAGTAAGCAGCGCGCATCGTCCCGAAAACAAACTCACAGAGCGAGCCCGCCAAAATCATCATCGGAATCCGCTGCCTCGACGAGAAAAGGGGAGGGATCCCGCGAGAGAGACTTCGACTGCGCGTGCCCGCGCCCGCGCGCCGGCCATGGAGCGGGCAGTGGGTGATTTTCGCTCATTCGGAAGAGCACCTGCACGACGGCCGCCACCTCACTCTCCCCGGCCGATAAATTCAGCGGTCAGTCGCTCATGTCGTCTGCTCGGGGACCAGCAGCAGCTAAACTTTGTTTTCGTCGTCGTCATCGCTCTGAGTACGTAGCGTCGGCGGCGGCGCGGCCGTCGGAGAGAGCCCTCCCTAGAACGGTGGCGATGGTTCTCGCGCCGGCGCCGTGCTGCTTGCTGACGAACGGCTTGCTTGGCGTTGGACGTTCCTTGCCGCCTCTTGGGTCCCTCGCGGCTCGCGGACATTATGTACTTCTGGACGGCGGCTGCTGCTGCTGCTGCTCGTACTGCTGTTGCCAAGAAACGTGGTGACGCTCGAGCGCCGCGCGTGCGGCCATTTTGGATTAGCGAATTCTCTGGCAGCCACACACGGGAGGCCGGGGATATTCCTCCTCACATTCGCTACGGAATCGTCCGATGGAAATCCTGTGCAAAGGAACGATCAAGCGAATCAGGAGCTGGAAGACCAAAGCTCGAATCATCGAGCCACGCTAGAGTGGCGGGATCGATACGACAGATGCGTTTGCACCCATTCAATTCCGCGGCGTGAGCTCGTTCGAGGAGAAAACGAGTGGTCCCGAACTCAAGGGGGCCCTTATTCTCACGCGGAGGACCAGAGTCGCGGGTCCTCATTGCGGGGGATGAGCGCACCCGATCCCGTTGGAAAATTCCGCTGGACCGATCGAGACCGGTGACCTTGCGAAATTTCGTCGAGCCCTCTGGGATCTTATCATTGAAGTTGTAGAGGGGAATCAAAGAGTACGCACCGCAGCCCACGCTCGATTCTCGCTCAGACGACGGAGTTGACATCGGCTACTTGTTCATCAGCCCCGATGGGGGGAGAAATTATGATCGAGCGTGCATTGAATAATCTTGACGGGATCAGGGGACGAGTCCCGCGTTTGACAGAGATGTCGTTTCCCATGAGCCAATTGGTAGGGGATTCCCGGATTCCGTTCACATCGGCACCGATGTTAAAGGCCCTTATCAGATGAGTTCCTCGAATGTGAGGGACGTCATCAAGGTATATTCACGCCGATTTTCAGATCGGGTCCCTTATCGAGTTCCTTGGGCATTCTCGTGCGAGCGAACACAAGAGAAGTCTGTCGCGTTCGAACAGAGGCAGAAATCACTTCGGACTCTCTTCTCTCTCGTCGAATAATGTCTCCCTTCGGGGAGTCAGCTCGCTGAACTTATTCCGGACTCGATTCTCGTGAGGACTTCACGCAACCCGAGCTGCAGCGAAATCTTATCCCATTTGATATTCTCCATCAACCAGAGCATTGATTGAAAGTGGTTCTGACTCGGATGACGGTTCGTTCATGACCTCTTCCACTGAAATGAGTCTCCATTGAAGATCTGGATCTCGATTCTCTCCGGCGACCACTGTATGACGGAAGCTCTCGATTACACTTCGCCTCGGTATCCTCGCGATGCTTCGATTCAAATCGTGCAGGTCGAGGTCGAACGCAAGGTGCCCGGGCTCCGCGCGCATCGCTCATCGTTGAGCGATGGGGCGAGCGGGACCACGTGAGCATGAAGGGCCCGAATGTATCCGCTCCTCTCATCATCAGACACAGTTAGGCAGAGCTTGGTAAAGGATGTGTGTCTCCCCCTGGCGGCCCCAGTCTGAACCTCCTGAGCGCATGCGCGAGATTCGCGCTGGCCCCTAAGACTGTGGTTGGTGCTAGCGCTGGTGGCCGCCGCTGCTACCACTCTAGCTGCCCGACTGGCTGACTGGCTGGCTGGCTGGTTGTCTATCTGTATTTGTGGCCGCTGAGTGAGTGTGGCCCGCCGTTGGCCTGGTCTTTGCCTCTGAACATCAAGTCGGGAAACATCGGCTTCATCTGTTCCCCAGGAGAACGGATCCAGCCGAACACCTTGTTGTAGTCTCTCAAGGAGGCCGAATCAACCACCATGGGCGACAAGGACGATCAGGTGAGCGAGAGTTTCGTGAAACTCGATCGGTCACCCTCATGATGACCGAGACTCGATCGTTGTCGCGAACAGTAGCGATAGAGCCTAACTCTAACGAGCGGGGCTTTCGGTGCTGGGATTAGAGCCGATCCTCTGCTCATCCATTGTGTGGACACCGGCACGCGAGTATCGCTCCAGTTTGCAGTCCGGATTGGACTGGCGCCGCCGGCTTAAGAGTAGTAGAGTAGTCGCTGCAGCACCAGCAGCCTAGCTGCGAGGGAGGTGGTGGCGAGGAAGAGCCACCGGTCGATGGATAGGTGAATGAATTGACAGGTCAATGGATGAGTGAACCTACAGCCAGAACAAGGTCTGACGATCACACGATCGCGGCTCCCGTGGACTCCAGACTATCGCGAAGGGCCCTCCCATAGGGGCCCTCCGATGGAGAATGAGCGACCCGCTCAGAGCGCTTCAAGACCGCTCGACTTGCGGAGACGCTCAATGTTCCAAACGGCTCACATGGTCTGCATACCATTTGCGCGTCGTGCAGGGGCCCCCGTGATATCTCAACAGTCAGAAGGACACCTTAGGGCTTAGGTGACCCAGTGAGCGCGATAGCTCGGAGCCCGAGGAGGATGCAGCACATGGGCTCTATCCGAGTATCATCACTCTCGAGCTTGTTCGGCTCAGACTCTCGATATATGACCCCATTGAGATCGATGCCCGATTAACTCGGCCATCGGCTCCGGCAATTATGTGGAATCAGAGTGACAGCACGATCGGAATTTGTGTTTGTCCTTCATCTGATAGGGGTGACCTCTGCCAGTACGATGATGGCGGCAGCGGTAACAGCAGCAAAAGACGGGGCGGAGCCCCTATGTCCTCCGGATCTAGGTTCAGCGGAACAACAGCTATCATGTAGGATGTATTTGCGAAATTCCGCTAATGTTCGCCAGCGGCATTCAGCGAGTTTGCCGCTCTGCTTGGCCCTCTCTGTCCACCAACTGCGGGAGCTCGGCCGGGCGAGCTCTTTTCCCTTGGGCTCGACCACGAATGCATGACTGAGCAACCTGACTATCTGAGGAACGAGACGAATCAGATATCGGCAGTTTGCCTACTGATTTCGACCAATTCCCTGTGCGCGTGTTTATCGAGTGCGAAATCGATCGCTCAAAGCCCCGCGGTTCCATCCTGGAGCGCTCGTTCGCATGAGCTCTGGGCATCGACCCTTTGATTTTGTCGGCTCGATAGAAGGAAGCCCTCCGGTCGGATGCGCTTCAGAAAAAAAGACTCATACTCCTTCCACCTTCCTCGGTCACCGAATAATCCCGTACGTTTCACAGGCTCGCCTGTGGAAAGCAGCATCATTGTGCTGCAATGCGTGAATAAATGGCTCCGATTCGACATCTACCCGAACAGTGGCCACATGACACTATGCAATCGCCCCGCATGTCTGACCAGATAATCAACAGGATCCCGATCCCGTTCTCGAGCTCGAGTTTTCGTTCCGCTACCAGATAAAAAGCCCAGTTATTCGATGTGCCTTGTTCGATGAGCTTATCAGCCGTCTCGAATCGGCCGCGACCGGCGGCGCCGCTGCTCCCAGTTTCCTGTGACTGTCGTTGGCGGCCGAGGAAGAGCATCCTCCATGCAATATCTCGTGGTGCTAGTGACGTGACATGAGTGGCACTCTCGAGTTTCCGGCTGGGCTGTCGGCGAGCGACTGCGTGGACGGACAGACAGACAGACGAACGAACGGGCCGCCCAGCCAACCGACACACCGACAGACAGCTAGATGAATAGGTGGTTTGAGGAACTGGCTGAGCAGGCGACGCTTTCCGAGAGGATCCGCTGCGTTTTCCCCTTCAACTCCTCGGAGGTGACCCCTCGTGGTGGACTGCAGGCTAGCAGCCTGGCTGATTCGCAGGGAGCTCGCCCGGATGTTTCCGTAGGTTGTCTTGGCAACCACTGTTGGTCGACCAAGCCGCGTTCCGTAGATTCCCTTTCCGTCGTTGTTACCGGGGCTGAGAGCTCCGCCGTCCACATTACCCTCGTATCTGTGGCGCTTTCCGCGAGCGATCTCAGTCACGGCTTGGTGACGGCGCGGGAGCGTCATTCAGGAGCTCCAGCATGGCTCCATTGAACAGCAATGGCAACCAGGTTGGTATCCGCGCAGTGCACCCAGCCGAACGTTCTTGACAGAGCTCGCCGACCTCGTTATCTGCCAGCCGTGCCGGCGACGCGGTGTTCAGATGTCGTCACTTTGACATTCATGTGTCCCCACTGTATCGATTTCCTCGTATCGTTCGTACAGCTCCCGAGAATGCCGTCCAGAGTAGTATGCTGCCGTGCTCATCGCACAAACGAATTGGGTCTTCGTCGTCATATGACGTCACCTGTTTTTCGACGATCGCGTCTTCGCGATCAGTCGGTCGTCCCGGCTCCCGCCGAGTCCGGATTGATTCGCTCGCCGACTTCATTCGGCTGAACCGCGGGAACAGAATCAGTAGAGGGCATTTTCCGTTTTCTTCTCGCTCGTATTGAGGCAACACTCAATGTCGATCTTCAATCTATTTTGATTGATTGTTCTTATGAGCTATCAGGGTCCGGTTGGGCTCCCTTGTTGGGCTCCATGCAAGGCGGGAAAAAATTCCGATCGCTCCTCTCGGGCGTCATGAACCCTTAGATCCGGTTGCGGCAAGGGTGGTGATTCGCTCGCCGACCTTTTGAGACGGCACTACGGCTCTCGGTAAAAATAGCCCGAGCTCGTTCCGCGACTGGCAGAGATGTTTTATTCTGATTGTGAATAAATATATCAGTGAGCTCATTGTGTTTTTCGCTGAGCATACAACATGGATGGCTCATGTGACCTTTCATGTCATCTTCTGAGGGCGGGCGCTGGCCATGGAGATCGTTTCGGGATTTACGAGCCTTCGAACGCAGCGTAGCGATCCGAATGCTTACGCGCTCCACCGTGCTCTCAACTCCATCATTGATATTTTATCTGCTTGGGAACGTATCGTCCACGGCTAGCGTCAGGAAGAATTGTTTCCTGATCGATCCCAGAATAGCTCACTCCGATGTACATGTCTCTCGCTGTATCCATGATCTTCAGAGGACAAAACAAGGACATGAAACGACTGCTGGTCACCACTCGAAAAGCGACCTATGAACGGTCGAGGAGAGACTCAGTCGGTGTCATGCGCGGCAAAGCGTCCAGCTCACTGAGATTGTCTGGAACGCTCCGGTGGCATCATAGATTGGATCCGGGTGGAATACTGCACGATGAACTGAACATTGCGTGGAGGAAGCGGATGTTCGCGATCGACGCTTGTTTCGCACTAGCAGAATATGCGTGATTATACCTAGGAGCTGTAGTCTTCGGCTGGAGCAGAACTAGATCTGATAGAAGATTTTCTCCTTTTTTCCAGTACGGTCGCGGTGACAGTTATAGAACGGCGGTCAACAAGGGAACGCCCGATGATGGCCGCGCGGCCGACGGGAAGCCCAAGGTGTCCAAGAAAAAGGGCGAAAGGGACCTTGATGCCCTCAAGCAGGAAGTCGATATGGACGAGCACAAGATTACCCTGGAAGACCTCTACGCCAGACTAGGCACGAATCCCACCACTGGGTTAACGAGCCAGCAGGCTAGGGAGGTCCTCGAGAGGGATGGGCCCAATGCACTTACTCCACCGAAGAAGACCCCAGAGTGGGTCAAGTTTTGTAAGAACCTCTTCGGAGGGTTTTCCTTGCTTCTGTGGATAGGTGCAGTACTGTGCTTCATCGCCTACTCGATCCAGGCCACTACTTTCGAAGAGCCACCCGACGATAACCTGTACCTTGGGGTCGTACTCGCCGTCGTAGTAATCGTCACCGGTTGCTTCTCTTATTATCAAGAAGCTAGATCGTCCAAAATCATGGAGTCGTTCAAAAACATGGTTCCTCAATACGCTGTGGTCATTCGTGACGGACACAAGATGAATCTTCCGGCCGAAGAAGTCGTCGCTGGAGACATCGTCGAAGTCAAAGGAGGCGATCGAGTCCCTGCCGACATGCGTGTCATCCAGGCTCAGGGCTTTAAGGTGAGTTCGCCGGCGAGAGAGTTCCCACAAGCCGATATTCCGGAATTCTCGCTCCAAATCAAAGATTCGCATACGCAAGGTTGAAAACTGAAGCTCGCTCTCGTTCCACAGGTCGACAACTCCTCTCTCACCGGAGAGTCAGAGCCCCAGACTCGATCCCCCGACATGACCAATGAGAACCCTCTTGAGACCAGGAATCTCGCATTCTTCTCTACCAATTGCGTCGAAGGAACCGGCTTGGGCGTTGTTATCAACACGGGAGACCGTACTGTGATGGGACGTATCGCTAATCTGGCCTCAGGCCTCGAAATGGGTGAGACCCCCATCGCCCGTGAAATCGCTCACTTCATCCACATCATCACCGGTGTGGCCGTGTTCCTCGGCGTGTCTTTCTTCATCATTGCCTTCATCCTGGGTTACCACTGGCTCGATGCTGTCATCTTCCTGATCGGAATCATCGTCGCCAACGTACCCGAGGGTCTTCTGGCCACGGTCACTGTTTGTCTCACGCTCACAGCCAAGCGCATGGCCGCCAAGAACTGCCTCGTTAAGAATCTCGAGGCTGTCGAAACGCTCGGATCGACATCCACAATCTGTTCCGACAAGACCGGAACCCTCACCCAGAACAGAATGACCGTGGCTCACATGTGGTTCGACAATCAGATCATCGAAGCCGATACAACCGAAGATCAATCTGGAGTGCAATACGATAAAACGTCAACCGGATGGAAAGCTCTCGCTCGCGTGTGCATGTTGTGCTCACGCGCCGAATTCAGAGTCGGACAAGAGAACGTACCGATTTTGAAACGCGAATGCAGCGGGGACGCCTCCGAACAAGCCATTCTCAAATGCATGGAGCTTGCCGTTGGCAACGTCGTATCCTATAGGCAGCGCAATCACAAAATCTGCGAAGTTCCCTTCAACTCGACCAATAAGTACCACGTTACAATTCACGAAACCGAAACCGCTGATGACCCGAGCTACATTCTTTGCATGAAAGGTAAGCGACCCCCTGACATCCCTTCGGCGAGGGGAATCCCGGCTGCTCCTGAATTTTATTGTCGCTCATCGGTGGACCCGATCCCGATGATCCGAGCTGGACTCATTCATCCACGTGAAACGTTCTCTCTCCAGGTGCCCCTGAGCGTATCCTCGACCGTTGCGGAACCATATACATCAACGGCAAAGAGAAGGTTCTCGACGATGAAATGAAGGAGGCCTTCAATAACGCTTATTTGGAATTGGGAGGACTTGGAGAAAGAGTTATTGGTTTCTGCGACTACAAATTGCCGTCCGACCAGTACCAAAAGGGTTATCCATTCGACGCTGATGAGCAAAATTTCCCTCTCACCAACCTTCGATTCTTGGGCCTTGTGTCCATGATCGATCCCCCGCGTGCTGCTGTCCCCGACGCCGTCGCCAAATGCAGATCCGCTGGTAAGTTGAGGGGATTCCGCAGTACCGAACTCGAGAAACGAATGCCATTGACTCCGACCATTGACCTGACCTGTATCCCCTTGCTCATGGTTCCTGTGTTCGAACCTAGTCTCGCTTGCGCTAAGCCCGTTCTCCATACCGCTACAGGTATCAAAGTAATCATGGTAACTGGAGACCATCCAATCACTGCTAAAGCTATCGCAAAGGCCGTCGGAATCATTTCGGACGGAAACGAGACCGTTGAAGACATTGCTCTTCGACTCAACATCCCCGTGGAAGAGGTCAATCCCCGAGACGCCAAGGCAGCCGTTATTCACGGATCAGAGCTCCGTGATATCGCCACCGAGCAGCTGGACGATATCTTGCGACACCACTCTGAGATCGTGTTCGCTCGTACATCTCCGCAACAGAAACTGATCATCGTCGAAGGTTGTCAACGACTCGGAGCCATCGTCGCCGTGACTGGTGATGGCGTCAACGATTCACCCGCTCTCAAGAAAGCCGATATCGGAGTCGCCATGGGCATCTCCGGTTCGGACGTGTCAAAGCAAGCGGCCGACATGATCCTGCTGGACGACAACTTCGCGTCCATCGTCACCGGCGTCGAAGAAGGTCGTCTCATCTTCGACAACCTCAAGAAATCCATCGCCTATACACTGACCTCGAACATTCCCGAAATTTCTCCTTTCCTCCTCTTCATCCTGGCCGACGTGCCGTTGCCTCTTGGCACTGTCACCATCTTGTGCATCGATCTCGGAACCGACATGGTGAGTTTCAACGTCCTAACCAAGCCTGCTCTGTTAGAGAGTGGAGAAGAGCCGCGAACTTCTGAATCGGGGTCCCAAGGCTTCTCCTGTGACCGCCGGGCAGGTCTCTTCCGTGAAGACGAGAAGAGAATATTTCCTGCAGATCCTGGATTTTTGACGGGCTCAATAACCATAACTAACTCTTCCACAATTGTGCGCACGCTGCTATTGTTCGGATCTCCACTGAACGGTCGTATAGGTTCCTGCGATTTCGCTTGCATACGAACGCTCCGAATCCGACATAATGAAACGAAGACCTCGTGATCCGAAACACGATAAACTCGTGAACGAAAGGTACATGGGAATTTCGATGTCCTGCCCGCCTGAGTTTTGTTTTTTTCGTTTCCTTGTTTCGTAGGTTCCCGCCATTTCCCTAGCTTACGAAACAGCCGAGAGCGACATCATGAAACGGCTCCCTCGTGATCCTAAGAAGGACAAACTTGTGAACGAGAGGTTGGTTTATGATTTTGATTTTGTTGGGTTTCTCGTTTTCGAGCCCGGAGCTCGGGCTCCTTCTACTTTATCCGCTCTACTCTGATCCCCGAGCATCAGAATGCCGGAGGAACTGAAAGGCCTCTCCGGGTGAGCTGTCTCGAACGATCAGAACTTGGCATTCGCCCCTTCGAATACTGATGGAGACTTATTCCACAGGCTCATCTCGATCGCCTACGGTCAAATTGGCATGATGCAGGCAGCTGCCGGGTTCTTCGCCTACTTCGTCATCATGGGTGAAAACGGCTTCTGGCCAGACCGTCTCCTTGGCCTGCGAAAGGAATGGGACTCAAAGGCGGTGAACGACCTCGAGGATTCCTACGGTCAAGAATGGACCTACCATCACAGGAAAGCTCTCGAGTTCACCTGCCACACTGCCTTCTTTGTCTCGATCGTCATCGTCCAGTGGGCCGATTTGATCATCTGCAAAACGCGCCGGAACTCGATCCTCCACCAGGGCATGCGTAACCACGTTCTCAACTTCGGTCTCGTTTTTGAGACTGCACTGGCCGCTTTCCTTTCCTACTGTCCCGGAATGGACAAAGGTCTCCGCATGTACCCGCTCAAGATCAACTGGTGGCTCCCGGCCATACCTTTCTCGATCCTCATTTTCGTATACGATGAGATCCGTCGTTACATCATCCGGAGGAATCCTGGAGGATTCGTCGAACTGGAAACCTACTACTAAATACGCTTCAAGTGTGCTGCTATCCACGCCCGGAATTCCGAAGCGACCGGGGCGACAACAACTTCCAAAACGTTTACCGACAACAACACCAGAAAGCAATCACGATTTCCAACAACAAAAGACCCAGACTTGCCCATCGTCTGAGGGCTCCTCATGCCCAGTATCTACCCTGTGTCGGATCTTTCATTCATTCCAGAGAGATTTAATTTTTCCACTGCCAACCACCTGATGGTGAAAGTGTGGGGTAAAACGCAAGACTGGGAAATGTTGTGAGGTGATTTTAAATAAGATTATTTCCGAAGCGCACGCAACCGTTTTAACCAGATGATTCTAGCGCCAAATCGTCCGGAACGGACGCTTTGGCTAGCCCGGGTACATCTTGCAATCCATGGAAGGTCACGCCCTGCTCCCATAGTCTCATGATTCTGAAAAAGAAGAAAAGAGCAACATCGAGAAGAATCACGGCGAAGAAAGCCGCTCTTCTACCGACCACTGCTGATGTAACAGCAACCGAATCCATAACACCGACAACATCCGTGTGTTCCGAATGATGATAAGTCCCGCAAATCTCTCCGCGCGCTTGAAGCACAACGAACACGAGAACACCCCTGTTAGTGCATGATTACCGGAAACACTCGAAGCAGACAAGCTGCGTTCTTTCAGTGCTGCCCAGGCAGGAGCAGCTTCTTTGGATCGTGGCGTCTCTTTCTATCGCTAGAACTACTCTCTCATCAATGTCACTTCAAGGATCATAATAATTTGACAGCTTAGAACCATCATCGAACACAAGTCAAGCGAGCAAAATACATGACGATAGAAATTCGAATCGCTGCGATTAGAAACAGAACACCAGACCCTTTCCGGAACACTCCACTCAAAAACCATCCTACGAATGACAAGTGCGATCAACATCGAAAAGAGAACTCTGAAGAGTACTCGGAGAGATTCGAAGCGGTTTAGATCACAGACCGATCGATAAGAGCAGAATACAAGTAATAAATTGAGAACATTAAAACTTGAATTGATCCAGGCGTCCTCTCTCTTCATTGCGCATGCATCATCCTCGTGATAGGAATCAAGCTCACGCATATTCTCGCTCCTCCGAGAGCTTCGGCTTCGACGATTGTATCGAGTGCGGAGTCTCGAAGCGATTCTGAGCCATTGCGCCGTCATCCCGCATCAGGTTCGATCATATGTGCTTGGAGACACGGTCGGAACTTCAACGGGAATCGTCAACCGGTCCTGCGAATCTCAGCAGCGATTCTCCCCCATCTCTGCCTCGTGAGCCGCGTAGGGCCGCGATGGTCTACATTGCCGAACATTCCTCTTTCTCCATACGACGACGCTCCCCAACCCCAGTTTAGAGGCTCCGATCTGGGATGAGCTCGGCCACAGTCACGGTTCGACTGTTCACCGAGGGGGATACCTCACAGAAGAGAGCTATCTATATTCAAAGCCGCGTGCTCAGGGGGATGGGGGGAGCTACCGACAGGATGGCCCTGCTTCCCTCCTTAAAGAAATCCTTGGCGAAGCGGCTCATGCGACTTCTCCTCGAAGTTAGGAGAACCCATGTAGTACTCGGACGTGACTCGGTCTCATCGCACTTCCGGCTTCTTTGTGAGTGGCGACGCTCCAAAAGAGACCTGATGTTTCCAAGCTGTCTCGAATGCGGGAGGATTCCGGCTTCTCGGGTCTGAGTTCGAATCGTCCGACAGCTCTCCGAAACTGATTCCAAGCCTCCTGTCCCGATTCTCGGGAGCGCCCTCCCGGTAGACGAGTAGACCACGACCAGAGAGCACTCAAGGAGAGGAACTCTTGCTCCACTCGGTCGTTGGTCAAACGGCACCGCAGGAACGATGACTCCCCGATTCGGCTTTCGATGAATCATATCAACTTCAACATTGGAGTCGAACGCATCCCCTTTCCAGGATGCGACGGATATCGACCGTACCGGGTCGAGGGCTTGGATTGTATGTTTGAGACTTACTCGCGGAGATTTCATACAAATCAAAGGCTCTGACCAGAAGTCGGAGGCAACATGCTCTTCGCGGGCGCAGCATGGAGACTTAGGACATCTCCACGACGTTGATTCTCCCGGGATTGTCTTCGTCCCGATCTCCCGATGCCGGTGATACCTAATCGCCCTCAACGAAGACACCGGTCGGGGTAAACCCGAATGTTCACCGCAGATAACCGCCATTCGGTGTGCTTGCATGCGGATTCGGATATCTTCCATATCCAGTCGCCTAGACCGCCGAATGAAGTTGCTCTCGGGATGGACTGGTACTCGCGAGAATTCAGCGGGGCTGGACTGGAATACCGCTCACGTAGAGTTCCCGGACGTGCCGTCCGAAACCATTTGTTCGATAAAATCATCGTTGCCTTCATATCGTAGCCTGGAACCGGCTTCGACAAACGGCGACTCGAGTATGAATGTCGTCCATGTAATCCCCTGTTCCCAACTGACCTTAATAGGATTCACGGGGATCGCTCTCGATGATCCCCGTTCACTGATCGTAAGCGATGCAGGGCCCGACTGACGTAGGTGTAGAGTAAGATAACCAAAGACGTCGCTGGAAATCTCTCGATGGTTTCTAGCTCGGAGCGACGCTACCGGTTTCAGTGATCTACGAACAATTGGGGGAAGGGGAAGTTGAAGGAATATGGCAAAAAATCGAAATAGACGGGTCTGCACCTCATAAACAGGCATTCCCAAGGTTGGGCATGCAGGTGCCCGAGACGCGAAGAGTGCGAAACGTGTCTCGCAGCTCGTTTGTGCTACTTTGCAGCATGCTCTAGGTATCTATCTGATTGATTCGATTCCGTATACCCGTGATAGCAGCTGGTCTATGTAGATTCTCTCATTGGTGGACAGGAGAAATAGACGGGTAGTTTCTCTTGGACGGGCCGTTTCCAAGACAGGAGAGGGTTTCACATTAAAACGAGTTGTCCACTCCACCGCCGCCGCCGGAGTCGCACAGCTCGTTCAATATCAGATCCCAAATTGAATGCATGGATTGCCGCGTGATTTATTAGTTCTGCCTTTCAGTTGAGGGAATACGGTAGCACCGGGACCCATCCTCGCCTCGCCTCAGCGGCTTGCTTTCACCAATGATTCAATGATTGAATCGCTCTGTTCAATAGGAATTTTTTCCACGATGTGTGAAACATCAGATTCTGTTCAGACGCCTTTTCAGACGAGCCCCAAACACATGCAGACTCAGCACCTCGGGAGCGATAGGAATTGAGATCGCTAGAAGTTCCGATGGCAGAGAGGTCATGCAATGCCATGGGTTCTCGTTGTCGATGCACAACGGAAATGTCTCGGATACGCCCTTGGCCCTTGGGAATATTCGGTCAGGGCCTCGAAGTGTCGCTGCGCTCACGCAATACCCTGGCTCGACCCTTCAGAAGCTCTCGGTCATGATCAGGCGAAGGGGTTTCGAAATCGCCTGGTCCTTCAGACCGAGTATCCCTCGCTCGAAACCTTGAATGGCTGCTTTTTCCTCGACGACTCGATTCATCAACTCGCATTCATTCCCGTTCGATTCGCGCATTGTGATCGTGATCGGCAATGATGGCGGTTCCGGGCGGAGACAGATGCCTGCAGAAACTGCAGCTCGATCGAGGCACTCAGGAGTCCACGGAGCCTGCCGGTCACGGACGGAATCTTCATGGACCACGAACCGATTCAATAGAAGTCATCGAGGCGTAGCTTTGCAACCTTGCGTATCTCTCGAGAGTTCGAAACTCCGGGGCGGACCATTAGAGGGGCTCCACGGGTCATTGTTTCGTCGGCTCATCCCTTCGGCCAAGATTCCAGTGCTCTGTAATCCCGAGAGACCACCAGCTCGGAGTTCCGTTGAGTTGGGTTTGACCTCAGAATCGATTGATATGGATCGATTTTCATAATCGGCTTCTTTGTTCCATGCAACGAGCCTGTTTTCCGCATCCAGCATTCCATCTCGGTCATCATAAGGGCAGCGACGAGAACAAAATCTTTCGGAGCAATGATTCTCATGCCACTCTGCGAGATTTTACCGAAAAAATAACACATTTCGATTGGAAGCAAATCGCGGATACAGGGCGAACCATTTTCGACTTGAAGCTCCGGGTCTGTATTTAGCGACCGCATCATGTTTGGAACGTATTCCGGCAACGAGGACGACATGCGTAAAATAGTAAGCCTCAGTAGAGCCTCAATATACCAGACTACAAGGGACAAGCCGGAGCGTTAAATTCGAAGCCGCGAGTGTGCTCTCGTTTATTCCGAATCCTGAGTGAGCCAGATTCCGAATAGAGCAAGACAGATTTATTCCTTCAGCCGTGCCGAAAATGCAGGCAGAAAGACTTGGTGGAGAAAACTCCCGTTTCCTAGAATTGAAGCGCGAGAATGGTGTTTGAGAAAAAGGATGCCTCGTTTTCGGAAATACGACACTTAGGGAAGTGTCGACGAGATTACCGGGAGATTTCCACCTTCAGACTATTCTTGGGGCTTGGAAACATCGTGATCTACAGCGTCCTCATCATTGCTCAAATCTTCCCGTCTATCTCCCGGAAGATTCGCTAGCTCGACGATTCTGTGCAGAAGTTATTATCAGAATCAATTGGATGCAACGAGCGTCGTAAAGGAGAGCTGTCGACTCTTGAGCGACACCTCTTACTCCATCGAAGTGTCTCTTTCGCGAAGTGACCGTTATGAATTTATGAAAGTGGTCAGGACGGAGCAATCGGAATGAATAAGGTTATGCCCGTTCAGCTTCCACGACCTCAAGGATATCCGGTCATCTGATTCCGTATCGCAACACATGAATGAATTGCGAAACCATCGAACATCGACACGACCATCGTACATCTACTTTGCGGATTGGACGATTCATACTAGAACAAGAGGGACCAGATGTCCCGTTCTAGTGGACTCGAAATCAATATCTTCTTCTCTTTCAATCGAGAATCCGCGAGCCGCAGCCGGCTCGTCTGACCGTGGTCGACACGGAACAGATTGAGGTACCTCCATCACAGAACGAAGGAAGACTCCTCTCCGGAGTTCACAGCGAAATGAACTCAATGCAGGACGAAGAACGCTAGCCTCCCTCGCGACGATATTCACCGAGTTGATGAGCGTAATTGCTGCCATGGTGCATGAAGGGTAGCCGTTTCGCACGCTAGAATCACCTACCGATTCGTCTGCTCCGACGCAGTCACAAGAAGAGTCTCTGGGGTGATGAGCGAGTTCGAAGCTGAAAGTTGGCTTAAAGGATGGTCATCCAAGGACTGGAGGAATGCCGGAACATTGAAGACTTATGTGCTTTCTTGAGTTACTGGTGAAGACCCAGACACTTCGCGGATAGTTCAAGTTTCAAGCATTCCGCATTTCATATGCACTTTCGCAGATGAAACAAATACGTTCCGGAATCGGGATCGGGCTGCCTAAGATTTCAGATGGGTTTTATCCGTGCGACGAACCAATTTTCAGCATTCTCTCAGAAGTGTTCATAAGTTTCTAGTGTCTGGAACACAAAAATGTGAGCCAGATGTGGATTCCCGACTCCCTCACCTTTGTTAGCCACAGGATGCCGGCGTCATAACGTAAGATAGGCGTGATTCACAGATAGAGGTCCGCATCTGTCTTTCGAATCATTCGGTTTCCATCTATCAGAGACTGGAGCCTGTATACATTCCGGAGGGGGGAAATTTCACGTCTCAAACCCGTCTGAATAAGACGATCTAGCGCTCCGTAGAGCTCGGGCAGATTCATTGAGCAACGATCTTATCGCGGTTCCGAGTTGATATCCTATGATGAGTAGTAGTCGTCTGACGGTTCGAACCCAGAATCGTCAGCTCCCCTCCCCTTCCCGTCGTGGATCGCGGTTCACGGAATATGGCGACGGGGAAACAGAATGTCCTGGAGCGCGACGAACTGTGCATCTCTCAACAACGGCTAATAATTGAATCATGAATCAACGTTGGTGATCCGTTTCTCCCTGATGAGCCCCGTAAACGTGATAAGGTGAACCACGCTGCGACGTACCTCCAGGACATCAGCCGCTGCCTCACGAAGCTCGCAAAGTACCGCTTCGTCGAGCTGAAATGGAAACGAAGCCATGACTTGCATTGCGGAAGGAGCCTATTTTCCGGGGGAATTCGAGCCGGCGTTTGCTGACACTTGGATCGTTGATCTAAGCATCGATTGGGTCCCGCGGCGGGGCGAGAGCTTCCGCGTGTTGATTCCGAGCCGGCTTGATTCGTTGGTCACGTGGCAAGTGATTGATGCTCCAACGGTCAACAATACCCATCATGAGTGTTAGAGGACGAACGTAGGAGTAGAATGAAGAAGCGAGAGGCTATTTTTTTACGTTTCGAGTGCAGCTGGGCTCCACTCGACGTTGTAGGTCGGCTTTCCCGAGTTTTCCCTTCAAGCATCACTTGGCTGGAATCTACGCAAGACGGGTGAGATCGGCTGCCTCCGCGCAAGAAGACTGCAAGAACTCTCTACGACTTATCGCGAACGCTGCTCAAATCACGATTCCCTAGCCCCGATAGAGATCTCCGACGATAGTTGAGGTGTTATGTACGTGAATCTCGGGTCGACAGCGAGAAATAAATTGAGCGCGGAAATGCTTCGTGCCCTCTCGTGGCCCGCTACTGGCGGAGGAGCGACAAGGGAGTATGGCAGACTTCGCCGATTCCTTGGCGCTCAATCATCGAGCAGCAGGTTTCGCTCAACTCGCGTGTGACGTTCGACTCTCTCTCGGCATTACCGTTGGCTTGTCTGTCGAAGGAATCGGACCGAACTACCGACTGACTGTTCCTCTCAGGATGACTGAGTCCGTCTTTCTTTCCTGCCTGTCTTGTTCCTGACAGACGAATCAGCCTAAGATACCAGCGAATATACCCGACTTCCCCGATGTGGCATCGAAGTATCTCCTGATAGTCTCCAGATCATTGCTGTCTCTTGGGTAGACTGGCTCCTGCACGGCAGCACTCCAAGGAAGCGGTCGCAGCAGTCGCGGCGGCAGGCAGGCGGACGGGCGGGCGTGTGTCCAAAGAAGAAAAGAAAGAAAACTGATCCAGTCTTGCGTTCGAGTGTGCGTTTCGCCGTTAGTTGATGTAGCCATAGCCGCCGCCGTCGCGGGTGGAAGTGGTCGAGGCGGTTTTTCTTGTGAGATGCCTAGTGTGTTGTGAGTCGGTCTCTCGAACGGACGTACGTACGAACGTAGGTACGGTGGAACGATCGGTCTACTGAGCTGGGCCGCGCCAATAAGTTGTTCCCGGTCAGTGATCACGAAAAAGTGCAACTTACCGAACGAAGGTGAGCCGGCGGCTGAGGTTGGGGTTGAGCCGCTATTGGGTAGCCCAGAGCCGAAGTGATCACGTGGCCCACAGGGAGGAGGGACCACGTCCTTCCACTCCCTCGCTGCCTCACAAGCTTCCTTGCCGAGCGTTCTCTTCTCAGCCCGTTGATTTCCCGCGAAGTTCGGCTAAGCCGGAACGAAGTTCCTGTGCAACCTCTTGTAAGAAGACCAAAAAAAGACTCAGGAAAAGCAAACTTCAGCTGAAGAATCGATGCTGTTCAGGTCCATCTTAGCCAGCCTATTCGGAACTTTGATGAAGTTTCGCTAAGCTCGCGGATGACTGACTGACTAACTGACCGACCGTTCGACCGACTGAGTGGCGGACAGATCGACGGTCCAACTGAACTCCGTGATTTGTGAGAAGCATCTATCATCATGGACTTATCTACAGAAGTTCAACCCGTGCTCGATGACAACAGCAAAATCAGAAAAATCATGATTTCGATGGCATCTCAGACCAATCAGCACAGGAATGAGACCGCGATGACGGAAGAACCGCGAGAGACTTGGGGTAAAAAGGCAGACTTCCTGCTGTCAGTGATTGGCTTCGCCGTGGATCTGTCAAACGTCTGGAGATTCCCCTACCTTTGTTACAAGTACGGTGGAGGTGAGTGTCCGAATATCGACTGCCGGCGCAGTCTCCTGTGTTCTGTGGACTGTACCGTGGCTATTTTATCCGTCACGCTTTCTGGATCGGTTTCGAAGAGTTTCAGGTCATCCCAAACGATTAAAAGGAATTCAATCTCGATTCCGGCTCGCTATGCATGACAAGGATTTCGGTAGATCCTATTGAGCGAACTGAGGATGGAGCGGCGAAGTAATAACTAGTTAATAACAAACGCGTCTTAACTGGCGCGAAGCTCCGGCGCAGCGTTGACCCTGTGTCTACAGGACGGGAGAGAGAACAAGCTCAGGGGGATTCGACACCGAAAATGGATTCAAACGGCTCAAAACGGAATTGGCGAGCAATGGGCTGGAATCAAGAACTCGGAGGCTTGTCTTAGGAATTCTGTGCGTCCGATCAGTGAGAGTCCTCCGTGCTGGAGATCGTCTTCGTCCTCGGCGCGTCGTTTACGGAATCCGTCTCGTCGGAAGCCTAGTGGATAGTAGCCATTACGCTGAGAATGACATGATTGGCGTGCTTCCTCGAAGCCGTCTGGCGATCGGACTTTCTCAAAGACCACCAATGCTCGAGATTGAGCAAGTGGTCGGCCGACCCTCTTCACCGCCTTTCGGAGGAGCATCGAATGCGGACGTTCCAGGAGTTCCAGTCATTCTTGATGGCGAACAATCGAATCGGCAAACTCGACAATGTCCCATCATCGATAGATACCGACGCTGGGACGCTCCTTCACGATCCAGGCTTCAAGCGAGGAGTCTTCTTTCGGTCCTGATCACAGCAAAGATCCAGCGTGATTGTTCGAATTGCTACCGCGAGCAGAGAAAAACGTGTCGTGAGTCGACTGGGAACGGAACTCGATCACTCCAGGAATGTCCGAATCGATGGCTCGAACTGGAAGTGGCGCCGCATCGTTGGAGCTGTGAGACTTCGATGATGGTTGCAATGCTGATTTATGGCATTCCCGTTTGCAATCAGAGAAGATCGTACATGAAATCGAATCCCGGAAGAACCCTTCATCTCGAGCTCGTTTCGCTCCATTATTCCTCTCATCTCTAGAATAGATGATCAGCGAAGTCGACTTCTACGGGATAAGGTCGCGGTTGAGCTCTCCCTTGGATTCCCGTCCTCTCTAATTCTTATGTTTTTTCGCCGGCGCTACGGCTAAGGGGTACGGGAGGCAAGCCCTTCTCTCCTCTGCATATCGTGTAAAGCTATTTTTACCCTTTGCTCGAGCAGCATTCCCTCCGCTTGGGTTTTAACGGGTCTCTTCAAGTTGTGACGCCATCGCTATGGCCTTCCGTCGGTCCTGATCATGGGTCGTTCGACGAGCGGGTGGCTGGCTGGCAGACGGGCGGGTAGCCGCCGGGCTAGCTGGGGCAGCCATCCATCGCGCCTCCCGTCATCAGGCCAGCAATCAAGCAAACTGCAAACCTCTCACACTTCTTGGTCGTTGCAACCACTGATAACACTATCGTTCGGAATTAACACGATCCGACATCGCGCGGCTCGTTAATAGCTGTCCCAATATCGAGGAAGATAAATCTGGCTTAATCGGACGAGCTTCGACTTCGACGTTGCGAGAGGAAAAATAATGCATCACAGGGGCTTCATTGAACGTCATCCCCTCCAACCTGGTTCCTGACGCGATACCGCACGCAATCCCGCGGGTGTATCTGGAGTCTTGTCGATGGAGTTCCTTCACGTCCGTAACAGAGGCCAGTGGGCCTCTAATGTAGTGAGCTTTGTTGTAAATTGATTCGATCCAATGGGCCGCCTATATTCTTTTGAAAAAACTCCTCTATCTCAATGCCGTAATGTGATGCATTCCGTTGACATTGAAGGTCCAAATTCACTCCGCAAGAGGGTCAGCTATACGAAACCTCCTGTGATAACTCGACAGAGACGACGCAAAAGTCTTCTCCGGTCGAGGCTTCACGGAGATCGCCCCCTGCTTTCGGACTTGGGTTATGAGCGAATCGGAATCGCGGGCGGACGACGACGCCGTGCCGCACCGTCGTTTGCTTACAGAAGCCCACGGACACGCATTCCAACTCATGAAACGGAGCGCACAAGATCTCGAATCGTTCAGAATTATTGGCCCTCCAAGACACATCGATGCTTGTGTATTGTTCCTTCCGATCACGTTGCCGATCGCTGTTGTGAAAGAGAACCCTCCTCCCGGATAATTATAACCTAGAGGTCAGAGGCTACGATTGTTGAAGATCAGTACCGACAGTACGCTCATGATGATTCGGTATAGATGATATGAGCGAGATCGAGAGCAGCTTCCAACTCTACTCTCGCAACTGAGTTTACCGGGAGCAAAGATGAGGGAAACAAATGAAACTATAGTTGCAGAGCTGATTCTCCAAGGGCATATGTGGTTGACCAGCTTGGAACGCGAATCCTCTTTCGGTTAGAGCACAAAACCTCGACGAGTTTTTCTCGAGCGAAGCGAGAACATTTCGTCAAACAATATGTCTAGCTTGATGATTCGTCTGAGGTAATCGATATCACATTTTTCGAGTAACTCTCCAACATTACGAAGTTCAACGGCGTCTCTGCTCGCACCACACCTATGCCTGACCTGCCGTACAAACCTGCGCGGAACAATCTCCAGACGCCCGAGATCCATATACATCCTCGAGTACACCGCTTGGTTTTCCACAACAGAGGTCCTCATGATCGAGGCGCACAGTCGAGAGATTTTGCTTTTTTTTCTGTGAATAGCATTCCGTAACCCGCGGACTAGCACCCAAACAAATAATCATATCGAAGAAGCCGGACAGGAGTTCTTGGACAGCTCTTGGCAAGTCGGAGCGCAACGGCGTTGCGCTACCACATTTCCCGGGTGTCCTCATGGAACACGTTGAAGCGATCCACGGGAAGAACAGAACAGATAGACACCCCGCTCGGCTATGAGCTTTCGGTTCTCGGAACCAGAAAAGGACTGGAAGTCTATACTGTACAACTCGGACAGGCGACTCCGTTCCGTGTCGAGCAGCCCTCCTTTCAATTATGTGTTCATAATACGCTATCGGCGATATTGTACTATCGGTCCGAGAACGGTTGGCGACATCTGGTCTGAACTCATATCAGCACGAGCTCGAAGACCGTCGAGCTGAATCCGCCCGGGCCCGCCTTCCGCGGTGCCCCGGTATAGACCCAGTAAGCCGAAACCTTCACGCCGAAACCCAGACAGCCGAAACCTGGAACGCCGAAACCCAGAACGCCGAAATTCGTCCACCCGAAACCCAGTACGCCGAAAGTTGAGGTAGCCGAAACCCAGTACGCCGAAAATTCCTTCTGGCGGAAATACCGATCACACGTCCCCATAACCGGTGCCCCACACGATTAACCTCGAAAAGATCTTGAAGCTTCCAAACATCCCTGCTCCTGACGATTGATTGTAGGATGATGCTCGCGTTTGCAGGGAAATTCTCACTCAGATCGATTGTGCGCTGAGGAGACAATGAGATCGCTCTCCTCCTATGATGTCGAGGTGGAGGCACGATCTATCCCAGCACCGATTCTCTATCTACGTTCGGCGGCAATGATGTGTTAGGGCAGTGTTTCTCAAACTGGGTTCCGTGGCGGATTGCGCGGAACCCCAAAGTCGACCTGCGGAACCCCTACGGAACTCCTGCGGAAGAAAAAGTTTGAGAACCTCTGTGTTAGGGCATACAGCGCAGGAGATTCCCCCGTGGCGTCGAAACCAGCGGGAGCTTCGAATTGGAGAGACGGCGTCGAAATTCTTCCGCGAATCAGTGATTTTATAGTTTCTCTCGTACCTTTTGCCCCGCTTTCGATCCGGAGAATCTCGCACAGCACGCCTATGCGCCAGGTGCGTCCCCAACCTGAGCGGCGGAAACGATGTGTGTCGGGGCGGAATTCGGCGACGTGCGTGTCACCTATCAGGCATCACTCCCGGAGGGGGATTCCCGGTCGAATACCCGTGCCCGATCAAGGCCGAAATCCGCACGTTGTCGCGGGTGGCCGCGACTGGGCCTCCAAGAGATCCGCGATTTGCCTTGATATCCGCGGATCCCAGATCCAAATATATGTACATATGCTCAAGAGCGGCGGAGAGCGTACGCTGGATATCTCCAAGTAGAGCGACGTATATCGATGAACAATTAGCGAATTCAGCCGGTCGGAGCGGAGAAATTAGCCGAAAGATAGTAGTCTTCCACGCTAGGAATTCAATCGCAGCTTATCAACATTTGCGAGCTCCTAACGCGTTTCAGAATGATGCTCGCTCTTCTAGATGCAGCTCATTTTTTTATTCCTCTCGACTCACGACCCGGTCACATGCAGGAGGGAAGGTATCCAGATGCCTGCCCGAAGTGTCGTATCCGCTCGACATCACCGATATCCCAGAAATATATTCGAGGGAGTTTCGGAGTCTTGAGCCGTATCAGGGAGTTGCGGGACGGTTGTCGCAACAGGAAGTGGGCTGTCAGCCGGAAGGGCACAGTTGGAAGAGCGCCCCCTGGGAACTTGATCGTTGCGGATGGATGATGTTTACGAGAAATGAACGGAATGTTACAATACAAGCCTCCGAACACTTCCATCATGGATGATCTTCACATGAATCCCATTTTAGTGCATGCCGGCTCGAAGTTTCCTCTTTCAGGAACCGCTTCAAAACCGGTCATGCATACGAGGGCACCGCATACATGTACGGGGAAATTTCCGTTTTTCACGAGCTCCCGTATGAGCGGGTTCGACAGTGCTCCTCACTTTTTCATGGAGCACGCCTCCAAAGACCGCTCAGAAATTCTGATTGACCGTATTATTACAATGAGTATTCGCTTAGGTAATTCTTCTACCATTCATCTTCCGAGTCGTCGCAGTTCCTCCGTATGGAATAATGGATAATATTGGAACGCCCAATCCTCAGCGGATCCCGGAAACCCTCGATTACGGATTTCCAGAGATGGTCTCGGCTGCCGCGCCGCTCCTCAGTGAATGTTATCGCCCAGACGCTCGTAGTGACGGTGACATATCGGAAGTGGTCGAATGAGGGGCGAGTAAGCCCCCTGTCACCCCCTGTCGCCCCCCTCCATCCAGAAGTACATGGCGGAGCTCAGAGAAAGCCGTCTCATCATTCGGGGGAGCACGTCTCCCCTCGCCGACTATGAAGTACCTTCAAAGTGTCAGCGAACTTCCACTCGGAGGACACAATCTACGAAGCAGCTGAGACGGATGAGCCGGGCGTCGTCTGCTTTGTACGTTATTATGGCGGCGAGGATACCGACGCGATGTTGGACCGGAGCCAGCAGCGCGCTATGCGACCCTGTAGGTCTGAGAGAGTCTGTCTAGACGCAACGAATCCTTGTAGAAGCGCTCGTGTCGCTCCACGCCGGCCCTATGGAAGAGAGAAATAGCCGGCAGCCGTACCGTCCTGCTGCTGAGAGCTGCTACCCATGGTGTAAGAGAGAAGAAGGGAAAGGCAACCCTGTGCCGCACCCTGTAGTGGAACTCGTTCTCGGTCGGTGCCACCACCAGCCACCACTGCCGACACCGCCTGCTAGCAACCACGGGCCGAGAAACACGGCAGCGCTCTGACTTCGCCTGATTCGTGGTGGCCGTTCGAAATCACGAATTCGTTAAGCTCGCCACTCCCCACGAGTTTTTCGTTGTCATTGACTTGTCGAACCGTGTTCCCTTTTCGAAAATCCATGCGCGAGTTGGTTCTTCGAACGGGCTCCGGGAGCGAGTGATTCTAGTCGTGCTCAACGAAGAAGCTCGATTCCACGACGAGACTGTTCGTCGGTTGGCTTGGTAACGTCTAACGTCACCTGAATCCAAGTGCTGTCATTGATGAAAGGGAATTGCACCTATCCGACTTCGGCGGATTCCCGTCGATAGGAGAGAGATCAACTGAGCGAGCGGGCGAGCGAGTGAGTGAGTGAGTGAGCTTGGAGAGCTAACCGGCCCCATTGACTGCTTGACGCGGCTGGTAGCAAGTGTGTTTTCGTGAACCAGCGCGTGCTTGTGAGTCAGGTCGTCGTTATTGTTGTTGTTAGCGTTGACGTAGTCGACGTCTCTGTCCTCGAGTGGATCGAGAAAGAGCACATATTCGCTCGGGAACGATAGACGCGAACTCTATTCTCTTACTGCAGGCGACCATGATCATTTAGGATACCCACCGAAACTTTGTGGTTGAATTCGGCGATCTCGGTAGGCGGAGCCCCCTGCGGTGTAATCGAACACGGTGACGTTACCAGCGAGCGATGGGTCGCAAGGCTACTGATGAACGGATTATCTTGGACTCCTCGATCCAGTACCAGCAGCAGCGACAGAGTGAGAAGAATGGCTTCGATGAATTATCAAGGGGTGACCTCAAGTACCTCCGTGAGGGACACTTCCCCGAGGACGACTTCGAACCTATTCCATGGCTCATGTACTACGCGACCATATTCAGTTATTTCGTCCTATACGTCTTCGGAACGCTCCGGGATGTCACCCGACGCCTAGGTCTAGAGAAAGTACGCTCCCAAATCGAGGAGCACCGAAAGGGCTATCCCGCCCTCTATAAATCATTCGACGCCTTCTATACGAGGAACATCTACCGGCCGATCCGTGATTGTTGGAATCTCCCGCTACTATCGGTACCTGGCGCAACGATCACGCTGCGCGATCGCACTTCGGATAACTACAATTGGACGTTCCGTTACCTCCCGACCAAAACCACGTACGTCAACCTCGGCTCCTACAATTACCTCGGTTTCGCCGAGAACGAGGGTGACTGCGCTGACCAGGTGGAAAAATGCCTTGAATCGAATGGTTACTCGTTGTGTAGCAGCAGACACGAACTGGGAACCCACGCCGAACACCGTGAAGTCGAGTCCATCCTGGCTTCATTTCTCGGAGTCGACGAAGCGATCGTCATTGGAATGGGTTTCGCGACGAATTCTACCAACATTCCCACCCTCGTGGGGCCAGGTTGCCTCATCATCTCGGATGAGCTCAACCATGCTTCTCTGTGTCTCGGGTGCAAACTTTCCGGAGCAGTGACTCGCAAATTCAAGCACAACGATATGCGACACCTGGAGAAAGTGCTTGAACGCGCTGTCTGCTATGGCCAACCGAAAACCCAAGAACCCTGGAAGAAAATCCTCATCATTGTTGAGGGCATCTATTCTATGGAAGGAACCATTATCGACCTGCCTCGAGTGATCGCTCTCAAGAAGAAGTACAAAGCGTATCTCTATCTAGATGAAGCACACTCCATCGGTGCGCTCGGACCCAATGGCCGCGGAGTCGTCGATTATTACGGCGCCGATCCCAACGATGTCGATCTTCTCATGGGAACCTTCACGAAGAGCTTCGGAGCTGCCGGGGGCTACATAGCTGGCAAACGCTCGCTGGTCAACTACATCCGGGCTACATCATTCAGTTTCGCTTACGCCGCCTCGATGGCACCTCCAGTAGCCAGACAAATCATTGCGTCGTGTCGCCAGATCATGAGCACTTCTGAGGGTGAACAGAGGTTGAAGACACTCGCTCGCAACACACGCTATTTCCGCAAGCGACTCAAGCAGATGGGATTCATCATCTACGGTAACGATGACTCGCCAGTGGTTCCTCTGATGTTGTATCTGCCATCGAAGATCGCGGCTTTCGTTCGCGATCTCATGGACGAGAAAATCGCCACGGTCGGTGTCGGCTACCCGGCCACACCGCTGACAGAGTCAAGGGTACGATTCTGTCTCAGTGCCGCCCACACTCGGGAAATGCTCGACATGACGCTAGAGTGCATCGATAAGGTCGGCGACAGGCTCCACCTCAAACAGAGCGTCCGCAATAGAAACACCTCTGAAGAAATCCTTTACTGATATCGTGTGCCGCCCCCGTACCGTGACCAGCACCCGGACACTGGCGGGAACATCAGGGAATATCACGGCAACAAGAAACTCGCGGAATCACCGAGTGCGACTTATGACGCGTCGTTCCTCCGGTGACGAATTTGATATTCACGGCGATTGTTGAAAGCCTACGCACATAACGTCATGGGCAGCCTGCAGGAAAATCGAAAGAAAGATTTAGAGAATCGAAAAGTGCGCTAGCATACTGAAACGTGACGATGTTTCATACGAATATCGGATGGAGCTCTCGGAACCCAGCACACAGAAACCCCTAAGCTCCTCATGGGACCGGATGAATTCAAGCGTGCTGTATGGGGATAGTTTCCAGCTATTGTCGCGATACCAAGTCTTCGAGTCATAGGTCTAAAAAAGGCTGAATAGGCTATGGAAAGGCAGGCAGATTTTTAAAGGTTCTTCGGACTTATCGTGTCGTTCGGCTCCACCACTTAATATTTAGGAATCCCATTTACTGTATGAAATCAATATATGCAAGGGCGATGCTATTACATTGATGGTTGCAAGTGTTCTGAGATGCGGCGGGAAATGTTGTCGTTGTGAGACCTGACGACTCTTAGTGTTTGGCGGCAGCCGTTTTTGTCTCCGATCAGCCGAACTGCCTCCGCGCAGAGGAGAAGTATTATTTTGTGAGCGCTTAATTATTGTGAGAGCGAACGAACCAATTGTGCGCATGATTGCGGGACGATGACTCTCCATCGGCCCATCTCAGATTTGTGGGGATGATGTGCGGCGGAGGTGGTCTCTATACAGGCATGTCCCAAAATGCTCTCTTGCCCCACCCCTTCCCCAGAGTTTTATATTAGCCATTGGCGTACTTGGAGGTGGACGATTGCCAGATGAATGATGTTGTACAGCAATTCTGATCCGTCAGATTGTAGGATGCAGAGACCTTCAGAGGCTCGATGCAGGAGTTGACTACAATTATTATTTCAATAAACTCCCGGCTTGTGCTGAGTCGGACAGGCGAAGCTTTCCCCATTTTATTTGTCGAGAGAATCCGATATCTCGCTGGTTTCACTGTCACGAATCTGACACGAAGCTGAGCTCCGAATGACTCGTGACTCGTGATCCGCATCATAAGGGCTCAGAGGATGGTCTGATGAGTAAAGAGAGAGGGTAGAAGTCCTACTCTTCGAACGTCACTGGTCCAGCTAGATCCCCGCCGTGGAAGATCAGGTCTGGGGACTCTTCTGAAGTAGTACTCTGTAAATTGCAGCAAAGAAAGAAAATCACGGATACTAGCGGAATCTGCCAGCGACCTGGGGTGATGGCGCCGCATGCGATCGAGTCATGCCAGGGTCCGGAAGCCGTTCTCCCCAAAGCTAAATCAATATATATTATTACCTAGATATCCGCTTGGCTAACCAAGGCTCTCGAAGGCGAACATGAGCTCCATTGTTCAAGTGGTCCGCGAATCACTAACATAAGCGTCGCCGACGCTCGCGACGTAATCATTATTCCGGTGTCAGTGTAAGTCAACATGGATAAAGCGCTGGTCCTAGTGCCGGCAGCAGGCCCTCAAATAATGTTAGTAACCCGCCGAGACGATCATTACAGTCCGAAAATAGATCGAGCATGTAAAAAGCGACTACGCGATTCATTTGTTTCTGTCGAGTTCTGTCGATGCCGCGCCGAAGAATGGTTGGTACGGAGGGAGTAGGGGGGACAGAAAAAAGAGATAGCTTTGATCCTCGCAGACCGCTCACTTAGCTTCCCGAGCTGTCCGCATCGTATCCCTTGGTATCGGTTTCGCCGTCAAGGTCGGAATATTTCACGTGTCACTTTCGGAGCGAACAGAGACGCCAAGTGGACTCTATCGTTTTCGGGGATTAATTCTGGTCTCGACTGAGGACGTGACGCAGTCCCGCACGGGAATGAGTTTCACTGTCGCAGGCGTGTGAAGAGTAGACTGTGGCGAAGGGTAGACTAGAACGCTTGGAAGTTTCCGGATGCATATGCATATAGAGGGATGGGTTCGCATAAAAAGCGCATTCGCTGTACCCTATCAGCTACAATGTCCATTCATCGCTATCGCGATGGATCGCATGCTAGGCATGAGCATGGTTCCGGCTTGAAAGGGCATCGCCCTTGGCTCCATTCCCGGCTCGAGACATCAAGAGATGCGAGTGATTGGCGAACCGCCGCTATCACTTGAAGTGAGCCTCCGCTACTTGGGAAAACTAAGGATGACGATGTCTGACAAATCGGCAAAGCTGATCGCTTGTTCGGAGTGGAGATTCTTGGCTCCAAGGCGGACAAAAGATGTGACATCATGATCCGTTCATTACAGGGGCTTTTCTCGTGCCGTACTGCATAATGTTGGCAGTAGGGGGCATTCCGTTGTTCTTCATGGAGTTGGCATTGGGTCAGTTCCACCGGAAAGGCGCAATCACGTGTTGGGGTCGGCTCGTCCCTCTCCTTAAAGGTGAGTTCGGTCGCTGAATTGGAGGATCGCCATCCCTGGAGTATCGACATGATGATCTAGAGGGTTTTCGGAAAAAAATGCTGCATCATGTCATGATGGAGCGACGGTTGTGGAGCGGTGACTGACTCCTCTGGATTCTCCTTAAAAAGAACGTAAGCCTCTCTTTATGGGAAGCTTCAAATCAGCTGCCGAGGGGAGCCTGACGGCAAGGCGAGCGCCAGCTTCGGTCTTGGTTAGGCGCCCAGCTCGGCTGTCGCTCGAGCGGCCAACTTCTCGCTTTTCTTCCTTCTAATCCTGATCCTAACTTATCCTCCTCTGTGCTGGCTTATCTCGAGGACGTCCATTGTGTGATCCTTCATTCCAAGAGCTTTTTCAAAATGTGTGCTCCACCGTTCGGTGCAAGATCTCAGCTGGCAACCTCCGGGAATATTTTTCGCTCTCCTTACCATCCAACGGGGAGAATCGCACTGGGATGGGAGACCTCGATTCTATTCGAATTGTTCGTGTAAATACCGACGAGGGCGTACGACAGATAAGGGGAATGAATACGTCAAAAATGAAAGCAATTGCAATCGCTTTTTATTGCTTCCAAAAGCTGTCAATCGCGACAAGTCGAACAGCTCCGAATGTTTGCCGGTAGGATAATACGTGTGGAACTCTCCGGCGGGAGATACACAAAGAAATTTTCCGGTCCACCCTCATCTTTTGGGTAAACAAATGAGGGCGTCCCATGAGTTGCAAGGGGCACAATGAAAGGTTTCTGCTCGCTGTCTTCGTTCTGCGCCGAGGCATTTTTTGACAGCCGCGTCTGAGAAGTCAAGAACGCTGCGAAGACTCTGCGACTTTCAACCCACCGCCATTTGCTGTTTCCGCTCGCATCATCCCCTTGAATAAAGAGATCGTCGCCATCATTAGTGTCCCACGGAGGCCAGTGAGAGCGTCCATCCCTGGTCGATAGTCGAATAGAGAAAGTCAAGAGTAGTAAGGTCGTAAGTCGAGGTCGTGAGGGGATGAGCAGGACGCACTACGAGGGGCTCGAGAAGAGTTCCTCGTCTCCTCGTCAGAGCTTGTTAGTATATGGATAGCTGAAACTTCGATGCGCGCCCCTTCCCAGCGAAAATCCAAGCCTGGGGTTGGAGCTCATCCGTACTTAATATGATGTCCTTAAGTTTTCCTCGCATCTTTTCGAAGGTGTTGGATACACTGTCGTCCTGATAGCACTCTACGTCGATTTCTATTACAATGTGATCATTGCCTGGGCCCTGTACTACTTGTTGGCTTCATTCACGACGACATTGCCGTGGACATCCTGCGACAACGAATGGAATACCGGAAACTGCTCCGTGGAAGCGAGAGGCGGTCGAGGATTTACAAGCCCTGCGCAAGAGTATTTCAAGTGAGTCGATATCATGGTTCATTCTCGTTATACTCTGTAGATCGATGAGCTGGCACTCGAGGGTCCGGGACGTTCGAAGATTATCGAAAAGGGAAGGATAGTCCCGCCGTCCGTAGCGATTCCCGGACCTGCATGAGTACAGCTGACTATTTCCGACGACTCGGCCGCGTTCATCCTTGCGAGACCCACTGGAGCATGATGCGATAGCTTCCGTAGTACGCAACAGGTGGCTGTTGGCCAGCCAGATGGATAAAAGTTCTGTCGCGTAAGTAAAACCTAATAAGGCGCTGCGATCGCTCTCCGTTAGAGTGGAAAATCGCCGACTCGTACGATGTGCTCTCTCACCAGCATCAAGCAAAGCCCACCTGTTACGCAGCCTGCCCACAGCTGACTCGGAGAGTGACCCGTCGGCATTATAACTAACTGCCCGAAAGGGGAGGAGACTGGCGCTGAAAAGTGGTTAGGTCTCAGCTCATCAAGCGTGGGAGACGTCGGGGCGGCGGAATGCCTCACGGCTTTTGGTCGGAGTTGGAGCTTTTGGTCGTCAAGTCATCCAGATGCTATCCAGAAGATGATCGTTCGCAAAAAATCGCAGAAAAGTGAAGAACGTCGGCCTTCTCCATTTACTCTGCCTCCGTTCCGGAGTCCCCGGACGCACCTTCTCCTATTCGGGAGCACAGCGTCTCTCGGAGTGAGCGGACAAGCGGGTTGACCTGTCACCTCAAGCTCTCAGCTTTCGCAACAGGAAGTTCCCCGGAGCGAGACTCTAAGCTGCACCTCAATGCCTTCCGCTCCTTTGCTCCTTCCGACCTGTATTTAGTCCCCCGAAAGCGTCAACCACGCGACAGTTGGTCGCGGCTAACTATCCCCGGAGAGCACCAGAGGCGCTTGGAGGCTTACAAAGAAGCAGTGGGATCCGGTCGTGAATCATGGGTCGTTCTCGCTTGACCGGTGCGGCTCACACGAGTCCTATCGGATATCATAGTCAGATACAGGCTCTCGATCCCATACTCACTGACTGAGACGATCGTATTGAGGAGTCAGCAAGACCGGCCGAGTTTAATGGAGGAACGGAGATAGACAAACGAACTCAGTCACTAGGAAGGGCGCGGAAAACCTTCACTCCAGATGCGTGAGCTGTGGGTATGCTGAACGAGTCGAGTTCGGAGATGCTAATTGACCTCATGTAACAGGAGAAAATGCAAGAGCCTGAAGGAATTAGGTCAAGTCGGGCAGTTGCTTTCTTCTGCAGCAGGACCACATCGAATGCAAGGCCCGCTAGGCAATTAGCGCTTTCGCTCATTCGAAGGGCATCATGTATCTTTTGTCGCTCCGGGTACGAGCGACTACTCGATTAGCGGAATCTATTCTGCGCTTTCGCCTTAAACTCGCCCGCGTCTCAGAGAAGGCTGACTATTGTGCTTCCAGGCGTCATCTGTACCGGCTCGAGGACGGTGTCGGGCTTGACAATTTGGGACCAGTACAATGGCAGAACGCGCTGTGCTTACTCGCTGTATACATCATCTGCTACTTTTCGCTATGGAAAGGAATCTCGACTTCGGGAAAGGTAGCGTACCGCGAAAGCAGAGGTTTTTGATCTTTGAAATCATCTGTAACGATGTCGTTCGATAAGAACTCCTGCCGTCCCCGAGACCGGTCCTCGGTGTTCACAAGGGAACCTTGCCATCCGGCCAGCGAGCCTAACGACGCCGGAAGTGACCTAGGAAGTTCGCTTTTTTCTCTGCCTATGTCGTCCTCAATGTCTCGCGCGGCCATTTCAATCAAACCGTCGACTCTATTTCCTGCTACCGCAAGCGAAGGCCCAGCATCGGGTATCTTACAACGAAATCCAAGCTCACAGCCGAATATATTGACATGCCATCCTCGGCTCTCGAGAGGAGCTCCAGTGGGCTAGCTTGCCAAGATATAATGTCATGTGGGCAATCTCCCATTCCTCAGGTCGTCTGGTTCACCGCATTGTTCCCATACGTTGTGCTATTCATCCTGCTCATCCGTGGAATCACTCTGCCCGGAGCCTATGAAGGCATTCGATACTATCTGACACCGAAGTTCAGTGTGCTCAAATCATCCGAAGTTTGGGTGGACGCTGCCACACAGGTTGGACTAGAGACGAGAGACAATCTGCCGAATCACTATCTGAATGTCGCTAATCACTGGAAAACTGGGGAGTCTTCCCGGCTGAACGATATCAAATGGAGCACGCTTGACACAGGTATTCTTCTCCCTGGGCCCCGGGTTCGGCGTTCTCTTAGCCTTCTCGTCGTACAACAAGTTCCACAACAATGTACTGCGAGACGCGGTGCTCACATCTGCCATAAATTCAGCCACCTCGTTCCTGGCTGGTTTCGTGATCTTCTCGGTTCTGGGTTTCATGGCACACAGGTGAGATTCCTTGATTTGATTGCTCGCCCCTTCTCCTCCTCCAAACGTCGAGCAGGAGCCGAAGAATCTCTGTACTAAACGCTGTCATTCAGGGCCAATGTGGAAATCAGAGAAGTCGCCACCGAAGGACCCGGACTCGTGTTCATAGTTTATCCGGAAGCCATCGCCGCAATGCCGGGATCGACTTTCTTTTCAGTGATGTTCTTCCTGATGCTACTCACCATCGGGCTCGATAGTTCTGTGAGTGACTTCTCATCCGTTTCCAACGGCTAAGTTGACACATTGCATTTCAATCACTCATTTTCCTGTCTAGCGCCAATCGCGATCCCATTTATTCGCAGTTTGGCGGGAGTGAAGCTGTGATCACTGGAATCGGGGACGAATTCCCTTTATTGAAACGATACCGGGAGTGGTTCGTTGCCGGGCTGTTCTCTTTCTATTACATCGTGGGACTCCTAAGCTGTACCTCGGTGAGCCTGCTCTCCGCCACGACCCACCTATGGAAGCAAAACCACGGGGTTTCCATGAATATTTCTGTTCACAGGGTGGAATCTACGTCGTCAACCTCCTGGATCAGTTTGCAGCGACTTACTCGATTCTTATCGCGGTTTTCTTCGAGGCAGTCGCCGTGTCGTGGATATACGGTGAGTTCGCTCCGATATCCTTTCGAACTTCGAGCTCTTAGCCGAGAAGCGGGAGCGCAGCATCGAAAATATAGTCGAATCGTTGAGCCTTCAGAACCGGTAATTATCGTCAGAGATTGTCTGAGGTAGTGACAAATGGTGTGATCATCATCAGGCATTCACCCTGGCAGGGGCAGCCTCGCCTGCGTATGTAGGCGGACTTCAGTCCCTTAGACGCCTTCCAGGTTGCATTGCGGGGAAAAATTTAAAGTGCAACGATCGGTGGACGCATATCGACAGTGGAGAAGAATGAAAACTGCTCGGAGTGCCTACTCGACGCTTCTCTATAAGCCGATCAAGCTTCCGGAAAGAAGCGCTAAACTGCCCGATCATCTTTTCCCGCCGAAAAGCAGTGTTGACCAAGAGCGCCCCCTCGTGGCATCCGTCGCCTTTCGAATCGACCGCTGCGGCGGCATTATCGGAGGGGCTCTTATTGTGCGCGCCGCGCTCCCTCTAAGCTCAAGAAATGTAGAATCTCCATTCATCTACAAACCAATCTGATGCGGTGGCTGGGGGTCCTCCATGAAACGGATGATGGTAAACCCGTAACTTGTCCGCTTCCGCTTCCGCTTCCGCAGGCATCCGACGTTTTTCCGAGGACATCCGTGAGATGCTCGGTAAAGAAGTAGGCGTGTACTGGAAATTTTGTTGGATGTTCGTCGCTCCCATATTCATACTGGTGAGTTTTCAGCGAAGCGACCTCCCTCCGTAATCACCTCAATAATTCTCAATGAGAGCCGCTCCTGGATTTCACATGGAGAACGAGTTGCCCAGCAGCAGTCATATAGCGCTTTTTTCTCTAGGTCATCGTCGTGTCATCGGTCGCGGGCTATTCGGGTATTTCGGATCAAGAATACAAATATCCATGGTGGGCGGAGATAGTCGGCTTCATTTTGGCCGCCTCATCGGTCATGTGCATCCCTGTAACGGCTATATATTACCTGATCATGGCTGAAGGTAGCTTCCGAGAAGTAAGTGCGAGTCGAATACACCGTTCGATACCTGAAGTTTCGATATTCACCGGGCACAATGCGCTAACACAGTTCTCAAATCACCCTCCTCTTTGTCAGCGACTCCGTGATCTCACGACACCATGGCGAGATCGGGCCGGCAACCGGCTCCACAAAGGGATGAGCTCGAGCACTGTGAATCCTGCCAGTGAATTCAATTTACGAGCAGCACAAGTCTAGTTGGGCTCGGAGCAGACTCATTGTCAGCTCTCTTGCGGCGATATTTAGGCGGAAGTCCCTGGGGGAGCCCTAATTGGAGCGTGGCGATCGGAATCGGAGTGCGATCATAAACTCACACATTCGATTCACTTCGATGCGAGAATCCTGAGAGGACCCCGAGTCGGCTTGGAAGGAGGCTCGAACCGCTCACGTGTTGCGTCGGTGCGTCGTCAACCTGATTGAAGTAACCGCTCCGCGTGGGAGATGACGGGGTAGATTTTCGTGCGTGTAATGTGTAACGCTCTCATCGTACCACGAGTCCGTGACAGAACTCTGACTGCTCCGCGATGTCAGCTGAAAATGCAGCTGCAACCGGCCTCATGATTTGATGTTTTCCGAAGAGACTCCTAATCCGGAGGCGCACATTGTTAATTGCCGGCCTAGCCTCGGTCGCGGGTCCTTTTTCCCACAACGAGTCAACGGCACCTCGCTCGTTCATTGATCCGAAGGCTTCGAGCCTGCACGCACGCGATCCGTGCCGGAGCGCTCTATCCTGGACAGTTTTTTCTTTTCGAGATGCAAGCCCAGAAGCGTCTCGCGTCGACCCTCTCCTGTACCAGGCCTCATGAATTCATGAGGAATATCGCGATCGAGTCGGCAATCGCTACCTCAGGATGACATTCATGAGGGAAGTAGAGAAACAGCTAGGTACCTTATCAGGCATAGTTTTGAACTCGCAAACGACATAGGTTACTTTTACACGCTAGGAACAACGTTTCACTAGTATTCTATCCAGCCTGCCAGGAGCCATAATTTCATGTGAGCCCGATGGGAATCCCGCCTGCCAGATTATCACGGAGAAGTTATGATGAGTAGTAATCCGCTGCCCAAATGGAAGCTTGATATAACAAGCCTAATGGAAATGGCAAGACGCTTTTGTGGTAACGACTGTTCGCTGTACCTAATGTTTTTTCGACTCTATCTCAAAGGCGAGCCAGGCAGAGGCAGGGAGCAAAGATCCTTCGTACCCGGGAACTTGTCGAGCTTGCTGCCGTCTTAACGAGCTTCCGCTGTACATATATATATATATATATATACGCATATGATGACTCCGAAAACGATTTGGTGTGAAGAACCGCCGTGCTCGAGATGATCGATCATCTCGTATATGAACTCTTTCATCCGACGGATCACGTGGAAGGATTCTACCTACTACTTAACCGCAGCAATAAGGAGTAGGTCGGAAGTCTCGTAATGCGATCAAAATCTCATCCCTCGTATCAGTCAGTAGCGATCTCCCCAAGCTTGCACTGACCGATTGCCAAGAAATGTGGACGACATCTCTGCCTGTCTCGGTCAGGGATCTTTACTACGTCAAAGACAGCGAGGTGCGAGAAATGAAGGCCTGACTGGAGCCGAATGCGTCATTTTATCCACGATGCGAACCCTCGATGCAAATAATCTCATGTTCATCGAAGCTTGATTGGAGCGCAGTTTTCTTCGTTCTGGTTGGCGCTGTATCTTCGCTCTACGTTCCAAAGGGACGTCACATCCGAACGAATCTTGCTTAAGGAATAAGAGGATCGACGAATGAAGCTGCGCCTGTGTTTCTACATTTGTGTCTGGTCTCCTAAGTATAGGAACTCGATGATCAGGTCCAAGTTGGATGGGACGCTGGAATCAGAACCGAGCAAAATTTCACATTGGGTACTCATCAATAAAATTTCGATCTCGGGACTTTGGAGTCTTTCACTTTCCAGATGTGATGCATACTGATTCTGTGCAAAAGCAGATCCTGACTCTCTCGCTGCTAATCTGAACGAGCTCCGGATTCAGCATCACATTATATCATCATAATAATCATATATCGTTTGATCCCTATCAATATATTCCTCGTGAGCTCCATTTTTCCTCCGCTTTTCTTCGTCGTCTTCGATCGCTTTCAATCGAGTATGGAGTGAGTCAACACCGGGAGAGATAGGGGAGTGAGAGAAATGGAAAGATGAGTACTAGAACCGAGAGTAGTAAGGGGTCAATATGAGCAAGGGGGCAAGAAAGATGAACGGGGAAAAATGAGGGATTTGAAGAGACTGATAGAAACGGGGAGATATCAGGGATTCCGGGGAAGAAAAGGGGAACAGGTCGAGGAGAATATTCGGGGAGTATGGGACACCAAGGTATCAGAAGGAGAACGGAAAACCCAGAGAATCGGCGGAAGATGAGAGATCTGAGACGAAGAGACGTGAGAGATCTGAGACGAAGAAGAAAAGACGGAATGGGAACGCATATAGACGGACGGAACGCATACACATAGTTGAGCGGGAAAACTCTGGGAGAGCACGAAATGACTCAGAAAATAAGAGAGACGGCGGAGAGAGGAGGGTAAGTGAAAAAAGAGGAGGAATCGGGAGTCAACGACAAGCGGAAGAATTGAGGAGAGCTGGGAGAAGAATACAGTCGGGATAACGGGAGGAATGGCAGTCATGTGGGGGTCCGAGAGCTGAACAGAAACGAGGAAAGATCCGAGCTCTCGAAGAAAGGCGGAGAGAGGGGAGACACGCAGGGTAGAATAACGGTAAAATGTGAGAGGCTGGGGGATGAGCGGGGCAACGGGAAAGCGAGGAGATCGGGAGGGAGCAGAGACTGGAAGGATAGAGAGGATGGAGTGTGATCAGAATGGAAAGGCGTGGAGGCGGTTAAACGGGAGAAGTGTGGTGGGTAGAAGACGAAATGACTCAGAAGAGGAGACTAAGACAGAAAGGAGCAAAGAGAGAGTGGAGGAAGGAGAGGAATTGAGGATAGAAAACCAAGGGGAGAGCGAAGGCTAGGCAGGGGAAGTATAGAAAGAGGACAATGATGAGCGGTGGGAAAAGGAGAGAAACAGTGATCAACAGAGATACGGTTGAAGTACAGTGGTTCTGGAGAAGAGCGAGGACTGGAGAAGCTTGGAGATTGGGGGAAAGAATTGATGAGAAGGAAAGTCAATTGTAGCGTAGGATGCGAGTTGCGAATGACCAGGTCTTGAAAGCGTGCGTTATCCGCTGAACATGGCTGTCACTATGTTGGATCGGGATATATTCGTCATGGCCAGGGATGCCCTCTCGAGGCTGGGTCTTTCTGACGGGAGCGAAAGCCAAGACCAGGCCCGTTCTTCAGGTAGAATCCGTCTTCAGAATCCGAACTCGAGTTTGCATCCCGTCACTGGGGCTTCGGATACTCAGGATGGGAGACAATTTTCGCTCATAACCCCCAAGGTAATGCTGAGTGCACGTAGACGCATTCCTTCATGCAGAGCACAGCAACGCCCTCTCCTCATCGCTAAACCGTGAAAACGCTTCAACTATTTAAATGTGTCAACCTCCCGCGCGTTATGATCGATCGTGGCGCCACTCCGTGCGCATGTGCTCATTTGAGTGAAGAGAGGAGCTCTGCACAGCCCGAGCGCGCGATTCGATCACCACCTCGAGACATACATCGATGACGAACCAACTTCATCGGATACGCAGTGAAGTTCTCCGAGGGAAATGTTTTTTTTTCTCAGTGCGGCATCATGAGTCGTTCGGGACCCGAGTCCGCGGCCGAGTGGGAGACACTGACGCTTCGTGGTGCTCATCTGGTAGCTTTTGCTCCCGAATTCATTCTCCGCCACTTCCCGCGAATTTCAATGATTTGCGGGTAGAGAGCCTGAATCTCGTGCTGCACTGCGCGGTGAGTTGACAAGATATTTTCAAAATGATCAGCGAGCTCTTCCCATTCTCGCTGAGCAGCGGACCGGATTCCCGAATCTCAGTAAGTCACATGCAACGTGACGCGCATCACATCGTTTCTCCGCCGGGGGTAGGGATTCTGCCTTCATCGATAAATCCCTTTTGGTGAATATGCTTGACTCTCCGCAAAAGATATATGTCACAGGCTTCAGACACAGATATTCGAATCCGGATTCCAGATCTGCAATTCACCCCAATCGTGAGCTCGCAGGCGGAGCGCCGATACATCGAAAAAATGAACAAGAAACTTCTCCGAGGAGGAAAACGACGTTTGCGAGCCGTTCACACCAGTCTTGGTTTATGAAGTCAATTCGCTGTTGGAGACCCTCTGGAACCGCCATCGCGATGTCGCTACCTCCCTTTTTCCCACGGCACACGGTTACATACTATTCCCTTATTAGGAGGACCTGAGAGCAGGTTGAGCTCCAAAGCATTCCACCGAGACTTTTTTGGAAACGTATCCTTGGCACGCCGCTCGATTGCCTCGTGTGCACAGAAACGAGAAATTATTCTTCCCGGGGAGCTTCTCGATCTCCCCTCAGATCCCAAGCGATCAGCTGTTCGATGCTCCGCCGGCACAACGAGCCCTCGTGATCGCCGAGGAAATTCCGTACGAGATCCAATTGAAATCAGCATCCAGAGATCATTATACTTAGGGAGCTGACCTAACCCTGCGGAGGAATGGGGTGGGCGAAATGTCGGTGCTCTCCAAAGTCTACAATGTTCGGGAGCTCTTCTTCAGTGTCCGAGCCAGAAAGAAATTTCGTTTCCAGCAAGTGTCAACTGACGATCGTCTATGACCGAGATCATGTCGCGCGAGCCTCTTCTAGCGGAAGCGTGTCGTAAGAGGAATCCTTTCGCTCATTTAATGCGCGGTATCGGATTTCTCCGAGTAATAGTTTCGACGTTCGTCAATTTCAGGTGCCTGAAGTTCGTAAAGTGGCCTGGTTCAACGACCGGCTGATCCCGCCGATCAAATGCATGCTCCATCTTTCTCACTTCGTGATTCTTCCTCCCTGTGGTTCGAGAGCGATTTCATGTCACCTCGCTCTCACTGACGTGCCCGTTTTATAGGACGAATCAATGGAGCCGGGAGTCTCCTGATCTACTGCACCGATGCTGCGAAGATCATACCATCGAAACTGATAATCCGCTTGGATCAGAGCGGGGACTTCAATTTCCAGTGCACCATGTGCGGAACTCTGTTCAAGCGACGCAAACAGGCCCAAGAGCATTCATACAAGCATTCTGACAAGTAGGTCGCTCATTCGCTTCAACAAAAAGCTGGCCTGCCTTCGAAAGTCTTCTAGGGCTTTGCCTCATTATCTAACGAGTTCTCATCGTTCCCCGAGATTCCCGTACGAGTGTCATTTCTGCAGCTACGGGACGGTGAGAAGCTACAATCTGAAGCGGCACTGCGAAAGATTGCACTCATCTGCAAGATTAACCGTCAAGTCCGAGGTCAGCACATGCAAGAATGAGAATGATGCGATCAATGCAAAAGATTCGAGAGTCGTGGCAAGAGATTTGTACGACAGAACCAAAATTGTTCCCGCTCATCAAGTGTCTTCTGTTACCTCAATATGTCACTCGGATGATCACGCTGTCCGATCTGTCATTATTGAGGCGCTAACAACCCAAAGCACTATAAGCGGCGACTCAAACGCAGAAAAGAACACTACAGGGCAAGGCGGCGAGGATACGCCCACATCGGAGGGGACAAGAGGAATTGTTCCAGCCGGAACCTCACTCCATGCATTGAGGAATGTCTGCTGCGGACACTTTCCGAATCGTGGAGTAAGTGACGTCAGTGACTCATCCGTACGTGGGCTCGAGGTTCCGGAGGATGATAGAGGAAATGATAGCGATTGCCTCATGATCGAGGAGGCTGTGACCGATGTTGAGGATATGCAATAATGGCAGCAGCGCCGCTGAAGTTTGCTGCTTCTAGATCGTGGCGTTGATTCGTTTCATCTCTAGTCTCAATTTCCGAAGCTGTTGTTCGGTTTAGGGAGTCATCGACGGACTAGCTGTGCCATGAGTAGATCGAGGAACGATTCGAGAGACACCGTACGGAGCCTCGGTGAAGAAATTACCTAGATCCTCATGGATCAATCGACCCGTTGCTATGACTCCATCTCATGATATGCACAAGGTTCCTCGACAGTAGTTTTGTGCTGCCAAGTCTATGGAACGATTCTTTTCGATGTGCGTGGCGACGCAAATCAAGATCGCGATATGAAGCATACGTGAATTGCTGAAAATATGAGCTGGAATTACTTTAAATATCGAATGGTTTAAATGAGATTGTTCCTATCGTGAGAATGAAGTTTTACTCATCCTCGGGATGAGATCGTTCTTCCCCCAGTCATTAGCGGAGTGGTTAGATGTTTACATTGGAAGTTGATTCATTGGTGTCCTTGTCAATGATTCACTCCCGATGCTGAATCCATACATACCATTGTAATAAAAGAAACGTTTGGTGACAACTAGAAAAGACTCTTCCGCGGGAGACTTATTGTAGTCTTCACCGACAACGCGATCCCCCGTCCACTAAAATAGCTCCAACGATTCCAAGAGAGGATCAGGTCCTTCCGTGTTTTCGAGCTATTTCTCTGGGTGTAAGCCTCCGTGATTTGACTGACGCCTGTATTCCCTTGTTTGTTGGTCGTACACCCACCGACTGAGAGAGTCAGAGATGTCTCTCTCCTAGAAGTCTTTGCGGAGAAGTCGACCCGACTCTCCGCAGGAATCTCTAGACCAGACGTTCGGTTGAGTTGCCAAGCCATTCAGGCCAAGTGTAGAAATAGAGTCAATTCGCATTTGAACGGTGAGTTGGGAGATCGAATTTACAATTCGCTATTCGCCCAAGACGTTTCCGTATAGCGGTCATCAGACGCTTCGAAACCCTAACCATTCTTCAGATGTATTGTTACGACGCTGCACACCGACACGCACTCTACGCTCGGGAGCTTCAGTCCGACAGAGACCGCTACGCTCTTAGCAAGGCAACCCGAGATGCCGTTGTGAGCGCGCATTGTGCTCCGTACATACAGGTCGGATCTTCCGCGTCCACTATACTTAGCCGCTTGGCTCCAGAGCCGTACTACTATTCGTCAAAGAGAGTGAGTCTCTCTCCTTGAAGCGCTAACATCGGAAATCGCTCACACCTTCTTCATTATGAAACCCGAAAATTCACCTGATCACGAGCTTCATACCGTACCCTTATTTCAGGTACCCTATCATCGTCGGAAAGTGACTTCGTGGTATCGCGCTTGATAGCTCCATCCAGATCCAGACGGATGATCTGTCATCATACACATGTGACGTTATTGTGATTTCGTTTGTTAATAAGAAAGCCAACGTTCAAAGATGCGCGCCAAACGCAGCGTTTTCATTTATGGGAGATTATCGCTCTCACACGGTGATGTGATACAAAACTTTCTCGGATGCTGCATCGGCAGCTACCACTTATTCATTATTATTGAGTCAAGGAGTCAGGCTATGCTTTGTGCGTCTGCTGGCCTGACGGGAGTTTCACTTTGGATAAGGTTTTGCGGATAATAATCTGTCTCTCTAGCCCAGCCTTTCTTGGCTCTGGGTCGAGCTTATGTACACAATACTGTGGGCTGAGACCGATATTCCGTCAGATCTATTGACAGTTCCGGAGCCGCTTCACATTGACCAAACCGTCATACCTTCTGGAACGAGGCCATACATCTCCCGAAAGTTCGCTTATCGCAGCCTGTTCGTCCCCGGAGCGCCTATACCCGGTGTACGTGTATCGCATTCTTGACTACGTAACAAGGTGAAATGTTCTCTCTATTCTAAGACTCCGAAAGCCGCTGGAGGATTGGAGTGGGATCAATATTCGTGATATCAATATTTATATACAAAAAAGAAGGAACGATGCCTTTGGTTTTTCTACGCAAGCACTCGGAGCCGGCGGGCAGTTCACGTTTGAAAACGCTCTAGCCTCCGATTCTTTCGTCAGGCTTCATCGAATATCGAAGAGATGTTCGGTAGCCTCGTGTTACGATGCAACAACAATTAGATTACCTAAACGGCGATAATTTTGCTCTCATCGACCTTGACCTTAATGAAGAGTGTGTCGTCTCGGAGATAGTGGCATTTCTTGAGCATTTCATGAGACACGAAACGAGGAAAGCCAAAACCTAACGCATCCGGCTCTTTCGAAGGTCGTTGAAAGTTTTTCCACGTCGGGTCAGGGACGAATGATTCGACGATGTGGCACGCCTGTAAGAGAGAGCAGAACTCGTCTAACCTCTCCTCGAGTACATTGGACCGGGGCCGGGCCCTCTGGGTCTCTTCCAGTAGGTTTGAATTCTGGTTCCTGGGTAACGTCCAATTAGCATGTCCCCTCCGACCGTATTTTACCTTGTCTGGATTCAGCGGCTGATCGATCAGAGTGAATGATACGGTGAGGGAGAACGGCCATCTCAGAAGAGCGTCGTATTCGCCTGTTCGAAAAAAGATCGACTCCCATTAAAGAATTTTGCTGAAGTCATTCGATTGCTGGATGACGGCCTCCATCCGGTCGATACGGAATAAAGTGGAATCTATCCCAATCTTCCTCACCTGGTAGAATTTTTATGTACACCGATAAATGGCTGCCTTCGCCTGAACCGTTTCCATTCAGGAAGAGACTTGCTTGCAGACGGTATCCGTGAGCAGAAGTCAGGAACGGAGGTGAACAAACTTCGTAACTGTAATTATCGTTCAGGAACTCTTATGATAGGACTTCACACCTCGCACAGTCCGGAATCCCGGAGGCTTGTTCGCGCCGCGGACCTTCCAGTAAGTTGAGCTTGGATCGCAACAACTAGATATGGCTCGTCGAAGCCAGACTACGATAGGGGAAATTTCCGTACCCATCCTTCGATTTCGAGTCGTTCAATTTGGAGGAGTAATCCGGTATCTTCCACAGTAGTGTTCCGGTAGTGTTCAGCGTCACGCTATGTAGAGCCGATCTGCGCGGAAAAGAAGGATCAGTGGTCAGGAATCGGATTATTTGCGGAAATAGATGAATAATTAATCGAAGTGGATCCATGTAGAGACTTTATGCACCTTAGAGCCGATATCTGCGACTGCTGGCGGGACACAATGGCGCACATCAGGGCCAGATGGGATTTCGAGGACGCCTCCAAATGATGGTCAAGAGCCTGCGTGTTTCCCTGGAATGGCGAAGTCCGGAATGAAAGCTTCGTGTTTGGATCGCATGGTATACAATCGATGGGTGGATGGATGGAAATGAACCGAGATATGGGGTTCCGAGATATTCGAGCGGTGCAACCCAATCAAATGGCGTTCCGTTTTCCAGAAGGAGAAGCCAGATCTTCCAACGTCCACCGAGAAGATCATCTGAACGCCCGCTTGCTCGGTTCGAGTTCTGGCAACAAAACATTTTCAGCGACCGAATCGAGAAATGCGATTGAATAGGCTCGGGAACCAACCTTGAATTTGCATCCGATGTCTTTGAAGACGCAGGGTAAGAGAGGCAGCTTGTTCGGATCCTTACTTGGGAGCGTAGGTGGGCATTCTACCACGAAGCGAGGGCATTTCGGAATGTGATTCTAGAATAAATTTCAGTTGTCACTTTCGCACTTCTTCTTCTCATGAGAACGAATCACATTCTGCAGGGTGGATTCGAAGTCGCGATTCCAGAGTGCCTTCGGAACCACATGGAAAATTTTCACTTACCTTCAGGGTATCGAAAACGAATTCGCTCAAACAGTAGGGACACGGAACGGGCCTTTTGGTGCATTCCCGTCGATCGTGGTCGGCGTGGAGTTTCCTCGGAATTTTCATTCCGCATTTGCTCTCACAGTACACCGGCTCATATTGACAGCTTCCGATGTGATTCTGTAATTGAATGAGGCCGTGGACTTAGGCTCCCTTCAGAAAAAAAAACCGTCTTCCAATTATCTCAGTGCGCTGTTCGGTCATTCATTATGAAATTACAGAAGGTGATCCTGCCAAGCGCGACGCTTTCTTCAGATTGCTCGGTCGCTCGGATAGGAGAAGAGCAGAAGCCAGCAACACGCTTTGGCGATCTAGTCGGCCTTCCGCACAACAGCAGCAGCCCTGTGGACTACGGCTTCAGCGAGAATTAAGTTCTGCAGAAGTCTGGGAGCTTGGCTATCGCCACGAGCATCATCGTGCCGCGCCAAGCACCATCAACGTCAGCAGCAGCAGCAGAATCCATGGGAGGCTTCCGGCCGTATGGCCGCTGGATGCTTGCCTTGCGCGGATGGCTTGAATGTCAGATGGCTGACACAAAGAAGGCCGTTGGGAGGTCATCGTTCACAACAATGATTGGGTTCACAACTTCTACTCAGTCAGCCCAACCGGATCAAACCAGCACGGTGATGGCTGAGAAGCGCTCGACGTCGATGATGATTATTGTTATTCCTGCATATAATCATGCTTGTGCGTCAGTCACATCTTGACCGACAAGTTTCCCCTAATGATTTGAGCCGAAACGAATCATCGGGAGCTTTTGTTCATCGGCTGAGCGGTCTTTTGCTTCAGCCCTTGCTAGGGGATGAGCACCGCTAATAATATGGTCAGTCAGCCTTCATTCACTGTCCACGTTGCCATCAATGCCCTCCAGCCCACTGCGGCCGGCGAGCCGTAAGACTTGGAAGCAAGTCGCGGAGCGATTAAAATCAACTCGAGCCCAGGCGGCATCGGAACTCGCTCGAGCGGGAAGATCCTGCGCGGAGTGCTTCGCGAGATCTCTCGTATCGAAATTCCTGGAGCTAGTCGGGTCAGGTAGTCGGGTCGTCTGTGTACGGTAGCGTTGACGGAATGACATCGCTCAGCGTCGTCGTTTTGCCCCGAATAGAGTCAGTTCACGTGAAGCGTGCGCCCGGTCTTCCCTTCGCCTGCGGGCCTCCAACTGTTTCAGGGAACGAGCAAAAGGTCGCTAGAGGCCCCCGACTAACTGACCTTTTATTTCTGCGCCCTACTCTGAATCGTTGGAGCCGGGCTCTTGAGAAGTTTTGCATCCATCCCGGGCGATGCTATTCTCTCACATACGAGCGAGAACGTCAGTGGGCAGATTTTCCGTGAGATCATAGGCTCCGTCGAGCCTCCTCTGATTGAGTGAGAATGCCGCGAGTGAGAGCCGATCTCGACTTCTAGGAACGATACGGATAGGTGGAGCCGGCGCCGCGATGTGTTGTCAGCAACCGGTCGCTCCGAGTTCACAAGAAGCTCTGCTCCCTCGTTCTCCTTCGCTACGTCGATATCTTATCGTCTCGAATATCCAATGGTTTCTTTGTTTTCGCCCCGCTACTAATCACTACTACGGTTCTCTGCACTGTCGGACCATCCTGAATTTCAATGATGCAGCATCTGAGGCTGATGCTGAGATGATCCCCATCACGATGAAGGGACGTATACAAATTGCAAAATTCTCATCGATCGAGGCCTTTTGTCTTATGCTATTTTAATCTCGACGGAGAGGTTTCCATTTCGTTGAGCGGTACTTGATCATCTGGGAAGATGCTCGGGCGACCGAATCCTCGGACGTTACCGCCAGAAAAACAGAACATGCTGTCAATGAGCATTTTCTGAATGTCGGGAATTTATATCGACCCCGCTCACCAGAAAAGTGATTCGACGAGGGGGTGCGCGTTCATATCGAAACCTCTACCGGCGGAAGGTGGTGATCAGTAATCATGATGACTCATTAGTTTATCTCTGTCTCGCAAGTATGACAGACAGCTCTGCCGGCTGTGGCTCAATGGCGAAAGGTTAGAGGGCATTCTTTTGTTTTTACTCTTTTTTTGTTCGCCCCTCTTGGAAGTCCTCCGATTTTTTATTTCTTTCGCTGCGAAAGAAGGTGTCGACCTTCGGTCAGGCACAGCAGCGGAAACATTCGTCACACGAAAACAATCCGACTTGGCTAAGGCGAGGATGCAAAACGCTCGATGGATATAAACCAGAAACATAACGAGGATCCAATACGATGGGATTGCATCGAATTCCATACATGCCTTTCGGACGACCGCCCGGTCTACTAAGTGATTCCAGCGATAGCTTTCGAAAGCCGAGTCCAAGATACGGACGAGCTAGGGATCGGTGGTCACAACGCTCAAAAGGAGTGGACCCACGGATGAATGCTTGACAGGATTGGGAATGGGGAAATCGACGCCGGCGAAAAAGACGCTACTCAGACTTTGGCGACCGCTTTTGCAGGTGACGCGCATATTTGTGCAGCTTCCAAAGAAGGAAGAGCTTTCCTCGAGGATTTCTTTTGGATTTATTCGTCCGGGAACACGCACCGTCATGACGGCCCAAGTTGCAAGAGCGAGAATTCGTCTTGTAATCCCCTCGGGAGCTGTCTTCGCAGATACCACCGCGAGCTTCAGACAACTCGATGTGGAAAGCTTAGCGGAAGTTTTCAGCTGAAGAGTTTCACCTTTTGCTTTCGTTGTGAATCACTTGAGCGTGTGTTCGTCCTCAATACATAACTGCTGCCCAGTTATCGGCGCTGGAAGCGGAAAGGCGAAGTCGCGCAAGAAGGTCCCGCTGTAGAAAATGTGACACCCCGATGGGAGAAATTGTCAACTCCATATGACCTTGGACGCCGATGACCCACAGCTCATATGGGTCGACACAAGAGAGTCGATGAGGGAAAAATTATACCGTCGTCGCTGCATCTTTGTCTCCGTCTATTTTTGACTTTAGTGTCACCTGCGATCCGTCAAACGCGCCAGCGGATAACTACAGATCGAAGCAGTCAGATTGATGCTACGTTTCGGGCGTTGCCCCGCCGCGCCGATGGAAACGCTTGTTTCGTTGGTCGGTCGATAGGTTTTCGCTCGCTCACCCGGTCCATCCTCGTCGTCGTAGGGTGACGACGAGTCAAGGAAGCACCCGGACAGGTTGGCCAGCAAAGCAGTGAGGTTAGCGGTGCACCCCCGCCGTTCCTAGGCGCTAATACGCGTGCGTTGTTCGTATCGAGGTGCCCCCCTCTAATCCGTCAGTTTCGCAAGTGACTTTTCAGAGGCCCAACCCGCCTCACTCGCCTGCCACTGAGCTTAGCTGCTCGGGGGCTGCTTGTCAGTGCGATTGAGTAAACGAGCGAGCGACCAAATTCGACTTGTTTTGCTTCTTTGTCCGCTCACATTCGCTCATGCCTCCACTCCCTGAGAAGACCCTCGCTTATTTACAGATGTTGAAGATAAAACACTTTGACCGTTATGGGAGTCACAAAACCAAGTTTAGCTAACACATTGTCGCTGGCACACACATTGCTTGCTTCAGTTTTCGACTCGTTTCGCTGATTCTACTGCTGACATTTGTAGCACAAACAGGAAGCCGTATGCTTTCCCGTCTGTCATAAGGACACCTAGAACATATTAACCCTGAAGCCGGCAAAAGTCGATGTGTGAGGTGCACTGATTCTTGTCTCAGCTCGCGGATTTGGTCGTCAAGCGATCCCGCGGGCGAGATGCCGTATACTCTCAGCGTGCAATCAGCAAAACGAGCGACCGATTGTCCCCGAACACGACAAGACTGCAGGTGGATGTCAATCTCAGCGGAGAGAAATGCGATGAAGTGCTGAACCTCATCGGTCGCTCCCATGCGTCAATGAAGTCGAAGGTATCAGCTATGCGATACCGAATGCGACAGATGATCAACTCAGCTCCCCTAGCTACACTGGACTGAGTTCCGGCTGGAACATGGTGAAGAATGGAACTCTGTTCCAGAAGGTCTTCCCGGAGAGCTTCTCATTCGCGAATGTGTGATACGAGAACTTCAAGGATGGATCGGTGCACCGAGAAGGGGACGCGACGACTTCAGCTAACTACGAGTCTAACGTGCGGAATCTTCAGACAATCCTCGAGAAACGTCCTTGACCCGTAGACAAACACACGCACTCACGCATACGCATTCATAAACAGTCTTGGTGGAACGGAGAAGATTGCGGCTTGTTCAGCTGAATAGTTAGACTCAATGATTTCAAGCTCGCCTTTCAAGAGACGGGTGAAGTGACTGAAGCTCCATACACCTGACCCACGGGCAAGCATCCGTCGGAACTCGCAACTCAGATGAGCGATGAGAACTTGAATCTCCGCCATAATCCATCAGCGGCGCTAATATATCTAGCGCGCGAAGCTTATAAATGTATTTTCGTCCACTTTTTCTGCTGAGCTACCGTGTCAAATAAGTTGAGAACAATCGGTACTCATCGGGGCTAATTCACGGCGGCTCACTCAGTCGGGATAGAATTATATATGCGGTAAATTGAACCCCATTGCAGAAGACCGCTGACCGCCCTAGCTCGAGCAACCAAATCGCGCAGGCTCTGTCGATAGATAATATCAGTCCCGGCCACGACTCGTAGGTCACGAGTGTACTCCCGGAGAATATTCAAAACACCGACAGAAATGCGATGGAATCAGGGAGCGTTTTCGACAGCTCGTTTTCGATCGTCGGTCGCTCCTTCGGTCGCTAGCCCGGTGGGTGTTACGGAGACAAGCGACAACGTGCCACGGATCTGAGCAAGCATCCAGCCAGACGGCGACCTGAAGCAAGCCACAACCACCTGTCTAGTAGCAGCGCTCTCTTCGGATACACGTAGGACGTTCCGGCGTGATGACTGCCAGTATGTATGTGATGCTACTTCTGCCGCGGCTGCCGCCACCGCCGCAACCGTCATCATCGCTGATGGTGAGGCTTGTTTGGTGAGAAACAGTGAAAAGGAAGGGTCCGACGCGCAAGCGAGCGTTTATTCATATCGCTTGGATGGGAGACCAACAGGAAATCCACTCCTGGGGACTTGGATGGCGGACATAACCCGACTCGTCCGCTCGATCGCTCGTGAAGAAGGGAATTCTTTTCTGCCAAAGCCCCGACCGGGTCAACAGCGTCGGACAACTTTTCCACGCAGCTTTCCCCAGGGACCGGAAGTTTCGCATATGGCTCGGACCATGCATGTTTGTTGGCATATCTATGCCCCTGTCTCTGGGTCCAAATATGTTCGCGACGTTTCTACGTCGAGATACTTCAGCCTGAGCGGGAATCGATGCGGTTACGGAGCCCCCGCAAATCACTCGGGGAAAATCGCATTAAGAGCCGTTTTCAGCATAACGGAGCATTCCGAACTGAAAAGTCTTCATGCGACCAAGCGCCTTTGACAGACACGCATTTCCGCTTAGTGCACACTCCTGAGAATGACTGCATTCTGAATCGATGAACATTCCATGTATTTCCCTGCTCCAGAATATGTTCGTCAGAATATAGTTTACGAATGCTAGCAGGTCGAGCCATCAATACGTAGCCTGCCTGAGCTCGGAGGCGGAAGAAATAATGGAGATAAAACATCGCGAGCGACTGATTTACGGGACGATGGGAATAAATTTTCTCACCTCGAACTCTCATCAAACGATTGCAAACCACGGTACGGCGAACTCCTCCCACTCCCTAAGAACAGGATGTTCATCGTTTCCGTGAACGATGAATCCCCCAAGACCAGCGATTCGAGCGGATCTTCATTGGGGAGTTCAATGAGAAGTGGAGCTTTACATACCGGGGGAAATCATAGTAGCTCCGAAGCTCCCGCTGAGAGACCGTATGCGCGAGTAAATGTTTCTACGATTCGCTTCGAACGTTAGTGAACCGTTAAATGTTCAGCGAAACAAAAGGTTGCTTAGACTGCTAATTATCTCGCAGGCAACCTGAGACGCAAGTTGGTCAGTTGAAGATAGAATAGCGTTTGGGTAACAATATAACGCTGGAGTAGCTGCTTACGGAGACGCGTTGCATCTTTCATTGATTGCGCAAACTGACCTCGAAGGCGCATGCTGTTGTGACTGACTGAGTGGAGCATCCCCTGAATTCTTTTTGTTGGGATATGTTTCGGCGCTCATGGAATACCACGAGTTTCGAGCATTCGAAGCACGGGGTCGGGGCGACTACCCTGCAGAAGTCCGGCAAGACTCGCATCAAAGCCCCAATCGAAATCAGGATTCCGAGGGATTGTCGTCCGCGAATCACGGCACATCCGCAGCGGACGTCGTTCAACATTCTCTCTACGGCTGACCGCCGCATCTTTCAGCCGGGTATCCATAGTTCTCGGAGTAAGTTATGATTACCGAAACTCACCTCTAGTTTATCGCCGGAGACTTGGCAGAAGGGACATCTTTGGTTGGATGGAGAATTTTTGATCGGAGCCAAGTGAAACCTTTGTTTCGTTGGAATCGGCGTGGAATTATACTTTTTCGCAGGCCTGGCAGGTGGTGGGGGAGTTGTGGGACTCAACGAACACAGAGGTGGGGATGGGGTTGAACTCGAAGACAGAGACATCTTTCATCAGAATTGTCCAATGATTCACGAAACAATTTACAGCCACAGAACAAATGCAAAATACGTGAATGACACCGGATAGCTGGTCGACTTCGTTAGCGGACGAGAGACGAGAGAATGCGTCTCGTGGACTTCGCTCGCGATCCCATATTCCGTCGTGAGGGACGTTGACGGACCAGATGGATCCATGGGGAAGGGTCTGTTTGGGAGAGGGCACGAAACTTCAGCATTTGAGCCAGTGGACGAAGACCGCTCGAAGAACAGATGGGACCTTTCAAAACTCGCAGGTTGTCCGCACTCCATGCCGACCGGTCTTATTAGCCTGACGGGGCCCGAAAACAACGAGTTCCAAAAAAAACCCTCTCTCTGAGCTCATGTGTTTCATATTTTCTCGAGTTGAACTCGCATTCTCGGTCGAGTAAACTCAGCCACCAATGTGCTTGGTCATCTGGAGAGCTCTCCCAGGCGATTCGCCGGGCAGCTTCTCCGATTGCGTCTTCCTGATCTGAAACTCTTCCCGCTCGGACCGGAATCCGCTTTGAATTTGAATCCAATCGAAGAGCGCGAGGAGCTCAAGCATACAATGATAGTTCCCGGTCTCCATCCAGAATGCGAAGCCTCCGATTCGCATCCGGATCGCAGAAATTGACTAGCTCAAGGAATTCATTTTCTGAGGTTTCCTGCAAAGTTCCAGAAGTTTCCTGCGGAGTACCACATCGAGTAATTTCCAAATGGAGCATTGAGGGGAAGGTACGATCAGCTCAATCCTAGTATTTAGCGACAATTCGTGATAAGATTCCGGATTCATTCGTAAAGAGCGAGGAATAAACGAACATGTTTTCTCTTCGACACGAGAACTGATGTCAGAAGTTTAAAGCTACGGAGCTCGACACTCTCGTTTCGGGAGCCCTTAAAATCGTTGCTCTGTCGCACGCTCTCTCCGTATCTGACGCTCGAGATGACAGCGGAGCAATGCGAGGAATTCCTCCACCATATGGGCCGCTCTGAAACCGGTAGCAGCAGGTGAATCATTGTCCCAGGGGGCTCCAATGCAACGAATATTCAGCAAGAATTTCCAGTACAACGTAGCTGAGGAATCCGGGAGGCCCCGGCTGTGTGATAGATCGCGGGGACAAGGGGTTCTGAGGCGTCCTTGTTTCTTCTGATCGGGGTCCTCATCGTGTTTGTGGCAGCGCTCCTTAGGATGGAACAATCGTACCGAGCAGAAAACCACCCGAGATCGGCAGCGGAGGGATCATCTGACATGACCAAGCCCCTTCGAGTATCCATGCTATCTCCGTTTGTTGAGCAGCATGAATAACGACTCGATTCGTGCATCCTATGCGCCTTGCTTGCAGACGGCTCGTGACATACGTCCGCATACGAGTACGTCGAGTATGACGTATCTAGTCGTGAGGAGTGTGGTATTCTACTCGTATTTTTCCAAGAGCAAATTAGGGATCGACGCCGAGAAAAACAATCGGCCGCTGTGGAGCTCGGATCGCGAAACGAAGGAGGTATTCATCGTTGAATCGTCACGGATTCGCGTCCGCCAGCGGGAGCGGATGCACTGAATAGTCTCCTGCTTCGTCGAACATGATGAACGCGGGAACATGGTGAGCCCCAATTATGCCGTACCTTAACGACAGAATGTATCGTGAGCACGAAAATGCTTTCGGGGATATGAACAGCTTCTCGGAGCGCCTATACGGTTAGAGAATCTCCAGTCCAAGCACCAGAGCAAAGTCATTCAACTTCCTCGGAATTCATCTCGGGATGATGATTGAGCCACGGAAAATCGGCAGTCATCGCTGGCACTCTGTACCGAGCCTTGCAGCGGGACTGGCACACTCCGATATTCAGGCAATCGGCGGTTCTCTATCACAAATGATTTATTTTCGAAAAGCGGCGTAAACTCTGAAGACCTATCGTGACCAGAGGTAAGCCCAAGGAGCCGAGAGCCGGGAAGAACCGAACTCCGATTCCGGAACGCTTCCTCCGGAACGATTGACACCCACAACGCCTTTTCAGACCCGCGAGCTCTGATTGAAGGCTCGAAAGTGTACTGTATGAAGCAGCAATATGGAAGAGCTTCCGTCTTCGCAGCAGAAAATCTGACAGCTAAGCTCTGTTGTCCATCGAGAACCCCCAAAACCACCGAGACGCCGACTTGCAGATATCGGGTCGAAAGATAGGATCCCGTGCGTGAGCTCTGAATATAAGTAAACCTAAAACACACACTCATAGGCATTCCGAGCGGTGAGGCAAGAGAGAATCTCAATGTTCCTGGCGTCGAGTCGCCCCAGTTCCGCTACATTTCTACAGCTTCGAGCCGTTACGGCGAAGCGTCCGAGTCGAGAATACACTCGATCGTAAGGTCGAACTTGAAGTCAGAGGTAAAAAACGCTTTATTCGGACGAATGGGACCGTAGGATCTCATTCAAGAAGATTGACACGGAGCGAGCATCTGAATTTTCGGGGATCATTCCTCGTTCCCTCCTCATTCCTGTCGTTGCTATTCGAGCGAGAGGTCCTCCTCACAGTACAGTGTCGGATTCGAATGGGGAATCTCAAAGAATCATCGCATCCAATTATGCAGAGTAACTGAATGATTGCGAGGAAAATGCATTGCTCCCAGCGGCGTGGAGGAGCGACGTGGCGCCCGTTGCGGATTTCGAGAACAACGCCCTTCTCCATCATCCCATCTGCAGATTTCAATGCCCGTGTATACATTCGGCACTCATATGAGATTGATTGTTATTTTTTCGGCCGTAACCGGCGAAAATGGCATTCCCGATCGTCTGAGAGAGTGGCGGCCACTGCGGTCTCCTCTAAGTACGCCACCCATTGGTGTTCGAACGAACACCTCGGTAAAATCCCCGACTGTATCGGCATGGTCATTCCAGAAGCGTTCCGTCTCGACCTGCGACAGCCTCTCGGTTACATAGAGAGAATACTCCTCGTTCAATCAAACTTTTCATTCATAAGCAAGCGTCATCGGAGCAGGTCATCTTGGATCGAGGCATGCTCGGGGAACACGAGGAGCTCGAAGATATACATCGTCATGTTACAGAATATCATTTAAACATCATTTTCGTTCAACAAAGTCGGCATTCGACGGATATAGGGGATCGGCGTGCGAAGAACGTTGCCGACATTATCTTACCACCCCGTCTCGCGTGGCCTGAAGAAGCTCCGGCAGTCGTCCCTCCTGTCTACCTTAAATCATAGACTGGAAATTGACGTGGCTCGTACCCGCGTACGATATAGGGGAAAGCATTCCGCGCGACGGAGTGATATTACAGTGAGCACATGCGAAGGGACCCTGCACATCGATTCTATTCAGGTTGGAGCACCGACTTCTCATTTCTTCTAGAGAGAAAGGGAAATCCGGTCCTGGTCCGACGCCGAGAAGATCAGGCTCAGTAGGGTAAAGATCATCCCCTGGTAGGAGGGAAACCACGCCGTCGCTAGTGGCTCCGATCACAGGTAACCAGCGGTCAATCCCGAGCTTGTTGCGCTCTTGACAGAATTTGCTCAGTTGGCCATACGAAGACATGTTGGCTAATCTCGACATTTCGTAAACTTGAGGAGGGGCCAAGAAGACGCTCCCGTTGCTGTATTCGGCGAGGATCGCGAGCGGGCGCGTCCATCGTAATGACACAACCTCGCTCTGGTCGAGGACAACGTTTGGAGTCTGATCCAGACAAGTGGCGTAGAACATCGTGTCGTACCTGAAAGGAGATCTCATCTCATAAATGCGGACTTCGGTCGAGAAGACGGGCTGGAGAGTCCCGGAGCACATATGTTTGCACAGTGGGTTCCGGAATATCGGAGCCACTTTGGATTTAAAACCCCGCCGAAACAGACTGGGATGTGCGTGATCAATGCGCGAACGGATCGTTTCTAGATGTACCGAGCCAAGTTACGAACCTTCGATGACCCACACTGACGGGCGTGAGCCAGTCAGCCCACTCATGAAGCGCCCAAATATTCGGACAGACTTTGTTCTCGAGACACATATCGAACAGAGCCCGGGGTTCCGAACGCAGTTTCTGTCGCCAAGCGTTCTGATCGATGTCCTCCTCGAAAGCGCAACTCTTCGTTCCCGGGGACGGCGCTCTGCGGGTCAGGAGTAGCACACCTGTCTCTTCGAACATCTCGCGAATTGCGCAGATGCGAAATCCAATGTCCGCGGGTAAGAAGTCACTCAGCTTAGCGTTGTTCGAATTGTGCGTCAGAGTGATAGGATTTTCAATCATTGGCGGCCGCGGTCCTCCGATCGAGTCGACGAAGTCTCGGCGAAGCTGTCCTTCGGATACTCCGCACTTTTCGAAAACTTTGAACCAGTCCGCGGCGAAATCACTTTTCTCCGCTAGACCTCCAGGAAAAACGTAGGCGTTGGCCATGAAAGACGAGAGTTGACTCCTCTTCACCATCAGAACCTGAAACCGACGAGCCTTAGAGTTTTCCTCGAACTTGGGCTTGGGGTCCACGTCGCCGGGGGATCATGAGAATACCAATGAGTCTTAAGGTACCTTGTAGTCACACGGTTGGAACTCGCTTCCTGATTCAGTTTTCTTGATGAACTTCGTCGCACTCATCATCTCTGCGAGATTCTTACCGACCACTTCTGATACCGAAGATCTGCAAGCCAAGATGATGCTTGCTGCTTCTCTCCACGGCGGGGCATTCATTGCTGGAAGGAGTCGAAAATTGCGAAAAATGTTCCCTGGATATCAAAATCAACCAGAATTACGACGGATTTTACCACGCCGTCCGGGCATTTCCGCCAGACAGAAAATTGAAGGCTTCGGAAATCCTGAGGGATGCGCTCTAGGACTGATTCATTGATGCTGAATTCATGACAAGGGGCAGAGGAACGACTCGTACAGCGCTCCGGTGGACATTGTACTTTGGAGCGATGGATCGAGAAGTAATCTCGCGTGAGAGGATGAGGGCCAACCTCCGAGGTCACGCGAATAACCGTCTCTTAATTAATTTGTACAATAGAGCACCTCAATCGACGGGAGGTCGCTTCTCGAACTCCGCCGAGCATCCAAGAAGGTTTGCGGCTGCATCAGTCCCCGTTCCAATCCCCGGTTCGACTCGGAGCAATTTCTGATGACTCGGAAGCTCGTTTCGGAATAGCTCCGCCATTCTATTATTCTCGACAAAGGTGGCTCTTCATGTATCGTGGGTGTAGATTCGGTCAGTCCCAGACTGGGCTCTCGGCTCATGGACGTCCAGATGGATCAAGTACACCACCGGGATCAGGGTACAATAAGCGAACTTCTCCCCGCACTCCGTTCTCGCATCGCCCGAATCTGATTCTCGCGAATACTCACCCGCCTTAGCGGCGGCCGTAGTCATCAGTCGACTGGCTCGAAGCGCCATCCTTGCCCCGGCCGAAGCTGTCGACTCTGCCACAGGCGGAGTCTGGCAGAATACTGCCCGAACGTTCGAAAAAAGACCCGCTGCTAGTTTATCAGCTGAGTTTCGAGTTTCGATGCAGACTACCTTCTCGTCGAGCGGATGGATGCATTATCGGTGGTGCCATCTGGCTTCGTAATCGCAGCCAGCGCTCGCTGCTTTGAGAAATCCCCAAGGATAGAGACGCTCCTAGCCCATGAGAGCTTTCGTCGGTCCATCGTGAGCCGCAACGGATCCCCATCAAGACGTTGCGGAGTTCGGAATCTACATCAGTTGTACTCTGGTTCTCGCTCGGTCTCCCATTCTCATGGATTGAGACAACTCCGCAGACCCCAATCATTTCCTATGGCATGCGTTTGTTCACCCAGCTCGTCTCGAGCTGCCTTCCCAGAGCTTATGGGAACCAGGAGGTTCGGAATCGAGCCACGCATGGGGTAGTCGAGGCGATCCCTTCATGAAGGGACCATGCCTCAGCCCCAATGACTTCGATTTTCTCTTTGGTAGCCGCCACATCGATGAGTTGAGACTTCGTATAGAGGCCACGAGTGTTCTGCTACAACCGAACGGGCTCCGACCGGGGGAAAACAAGATCATAAAGGTCCCTCATAAAGGTGGCTTTGTGTACCTCCACCAAGGCGCTCATGACGGGGAAAAGGTTTCCTCCCGGACCATCGGACGAAAGCTCGAGACTGGGATGTCACAGATCCAAGCGAGCGTTTTCGATCTACTCGATCGACGATAGTATCGAGGAATGCTCCCTTGAGACACCCCTTAGAGCCGTCTTCAAGGTCGCCCAGATGCAAGCGGGACCAAAGCTCTCTAAGCGAGAAGATCATCGGTACCCATCACTTTCAGCTCTCGGAGATCACACTCACGCAGGAGCGCTTGGAAACAGAGTTTCTCGCAGAATCGCCGAGGTCCCGGGACGGGGCGATGGGAAGTGCTCGCATGGCTCCCGCCGCAGAAGCCCGGCTTTTCTTTCACCCCGACCCATTTCGTGCGCCCCGATCTCTGAGCTTTGAAAGACGCCGAGACGGCTCAGAATATTCGACCAGAGCCTCGCGGGGAATGAAGCCGGGGAGGCACGACGATTCTGGCAACACTTACGGTTTCTCCAACTCCAATAGAGGGGCTTCCGACTCGCGGGATGAAGGGCTGTGGCGCGGCGTACCTGGGAGGGTGCCAAAGGTCTCGAAGAACGCCCCGCCGCTTCGTTTTCACGGAGGGTTGTTCGATTCCGAGACTAGATCTGAGCTTCGCGAACGAGAGAAAACGATCCAGTAACCCTCCCGAAGGGATCGTAGAGTTGTGCGGCTCACCCGATGAGCTACCTCTTGAGTCAAGGATGTTTGATCATAAATCCGGGTAAACTTGAGATCATCGCTGGAGGGAAACCACACCACCAGATTGACTAAACCCTTCTGAATGCTCCTTGAGTGAGATGAATAGCACAGATTTCCGTCGTGGCAGCACTTGTCAAATACTTGCCAACCTTGTGGTGAACAAATTTTCATCGCAAATATTCACACGCCGAGCTTCTGCTGATTTGGGTTTCGGGATTCTATGCGAAGAGTAGTCATCGAGGAGCTCTTCGCTGAAGACAATTTATATGCTCTCGTCGGTTTGGCGGAATCATGGACCGTGTTCTCCAGTGAATGAGACTCGCCAAGAGTGCATCTAGTCTGTCTCTTCTGATACCGCTGAAGTCAACGGGAGAATGAAGTCTTCCAAGCACCGGCGTATAAAACTTCGCGAATCACGGTGAGCCGTAAGAGCGATGAGAACTCTACGGATACGAGCACTCAGTCTGGAATGCGTGCCGCATAGAGTTGGGAAACTTATATTTGAGAGAAGCGCAGCTAACGATTGACGTCAGTCGGGCGGAATATTCTCAGCGCTCATTCGTTGGCTCGCCCGTAGTCTTCGTCCAGTAACGAAATTACGGATTTTCCTCGAAGGGATCCTCAGCCCTTTCGAGTGGTGACGTATACCGCGCCAGGTCCGGCAGCGGTGACCGGCAAGCTCACGAACAACAAGACAGAAACAAATAACGGTACGACGTTTTGTTCAGCATCTTTCTCTGAGGTTGCACGAGCCAAACCGGATCACGAACCAGAAAGAACATTCTCAGTTCCGAACCATTTCTGCCGAGATTCGTGCTTCTACGGGAACCGTCGGCGGATTCAATCTCATACGGTCGGAGATTTCTGGATCGATTCGAAATGAAAAGAAATTGCACACCCTTCTTGTGCCGAAATCGAGTTGACTGATGGGGAGAGCCGAGTAAGCGTGAACAAGAAAACGGCAGTCCACCAGCATCGGTATAACATTCGACCCATTTTTCTGTCGGAACGAGGTTCACTGACTTTCCGCGATATCTACAAGAGTAGTTATTCCCGATGACTGGTTTTGTGTGCCCCGCGAAAAAACACTTGTTTGTTTTTTCTCTCGTGATCGTATGAGGCTGAGCAATTGAATGGAAGAAATTTGCCTATCGATCTACTGCGGAGCCGGCGTCCCCGCCAGGCTCGCTTCTCCTCGATATGTCGCGGCTAGGATCATATCACTCGGAATTTGATCAGTGGTCTCAGAAAAATGAGCATCCTACCTATCGCGGCCTGCTCCTTCCGATTTCGTATGGGGAATGTTTTCGAGGGAGCGATATCTACGGAAGCAGCTCGGGCCTTTACTCACGGTGTCTAATCTTGGGGTTTTCAGGGGCCATTTCTGACATTGGTCGAATGGTGAGCGCCTCTGACGGCCAGAAAATTCCTCACACGGCGCGGAGCACGGAAGATCGACGGAGACAGGAACGAATGATCCTAGAAACGCTGACTCCACTTGCTCACTGTCAGATCTATGAGTGTGATGTGGGGAGCTCGGAATACGATTGAGAGTTCACTGCGGAGCACTCTTCTTGAGGATCCTCCAAGTGTTCACTTTCTTGGAGAAGCGCAACCGAGGGGGCGACTCGTACACTTGAAGACCGTACTGAGGCGCTGAACGGGACTCTTCGTCTGACCGGTGGTTCAGCGGTTCATCTGCCTAGCTCGCTTGGCCGAAGACGGCACGGAGCGACCCGTTTTGAGACGGTGGTGCGTGAGGGAGGAGGAAAGCAGCAAGCTTCGAGGCAAGGGCTGCTTCAGCTAAGCGATGGATCCCCATGGAAGTTCTCAGCCGCCATGAGCGATGGCGGCGAGACACGCTCAGAGCAACGCAATCTCATCGGGGGTTCCGGCGAGGTGACCCGAGACACCTTAATCTCCCCACACCCGAGGTCTTCCGCGTCAGCGATCTCTGCGACAAGCTTGAGCTCACTATCAAGGAGGAACTCGAAGGGAGCTTCGTGCTCACTGTCTGAGTGTCGTGAAAGGATCGTCCTCTCCTCCTGAGGGCGAATTTCGGAAATATCTCACGCTTGAAATCAGGAGCTCGGAGCGGTCGGGCCGTGACAGGGGTTACGGCTTTTCCGCGGCTATGGAAATAGGAATTCTCCGACGGGGTGCTACATGAACCACTGAGACTGTGACGATTTCTCCGCTCGCTTCATGGGTCACTTCATGCTGTCTCTCTATTCGAGAAGCTTCGCGGGTGGATCCTGGACTCCGCGAAAAGTCGTTTCGAGAGCGGTGCACATGGCTTCAATCGCCTGCTAACGATTCTTTCGAAGCACCCAGCTCTCAGAACTCCCGAATTTCGGAGCCTCGACCTGGGCAATGATTATTATTCATCATTGTTGTAGGAATCGGGACCGCAGATTTACTCAGAAGAGCCAGGACTCAGCTCTGATTTCCAACGGATCGATCTAAACTATCAGAGTGATGTGAGCTCCAGGTTCTCGGCTGCCAACCACATGGTCAGAGAAAAATGGGCAAATCATGGGGAATCCTTTGTTACCCCAAAGACTAAGTCGCGTCGGAAGAAATTCGACGGCTCGAAACGACGCCAGGTATACTACATATTCCCAACCCACCAGTCGGACGTGCTTGGAGCGAGTTTCCGATACTAACAGGTACTGATAAAAAAAATACTCCGATTAAAACGCCCGATCGCGGGCATCATTGGGCCGATCAGATCGACGGCGGCAGTCGGTTGGTTCGGAGACTCCGGCTTTCCGAAGACGCTGCATTGTCTTTCTAAAGCATTTCAGCTCGGGAGTCTGCGGAAACGCGTTTTGGGGGGGGGGAATAACACAGAATTCGTAATTTACGACACAGTCGAACTTCAGAAGTACATGGTCTGTCTGAACTTACGTCAAGCTAGTACTGGCGCCACCCTCTCCTGTCCGATCTCCTGAGTTGGTAGATTCAAGTGTGGGCTTACTGGAATGCAGGTTCACGGTCGAGGACGGTGTTCGTTTCCCTTTATTGAGCAGGCCGTGACCAACTCCCGGGAAAGGCATCCCGATCGCTCTCCGAAGATTATAGACATCGTAGATAACGCTCTCGTTCCACACCGCATCGAGTTAGGAGACGATGAAAAGCAAGTTGTTCACGTGAGTTATTTTCAGGAAAAAGGAAGACTGAATTGTAGCTTGCTGCTATGTGAGACGAATCGAACGACTTCTGGATAAGACCATTACCTGCCGGGCGACAGACAAACATACCGTGTCTTCGCCGCCGGGACCCTAGAGAAGCATTTCCCAGCTTCTCGGAGGACCCTGCCTCGATTGACGTCCCGACGTCTCTCAACTGACGTCAGTTTGTCGCGCACCAATTAGTGACGTAAGTCAAGGTTAAACAGTATATGTATGAACCGTACAGTGTAGAACGGAGCTACGGACAGCACTCGGGGGTTAAAAAAAGTGTGATCAAATTTGTGAGAATCGAACTTGATTGCTTTCATCAAAATATCAGCTTACCGAAAAGAGGGAGGATATTCGGCCCCCTCCAACGGGTTGCTTTGGCTCTTGGGAGCAGATGCTGAGGACCTTAGCCAAGTGAAAACGGAGAGTGAATGAGCTGAGATAGAATCAGAATGGAGATGAATAATGGAGGCTCAGACATCAGGTCCTCCCTATGCACCAACGCGCCGACCTCGGCCTTTATGCAGACATTTGCCCGAGTTCCACCGATTTTCGATCGATGCTTCGCCGCGAATAGTCCTCGGAGGCTGCAAGGATTTCAGCGGAACTCCTCCTTGATTCTTGCCATCTTGCTCCGTCTTTTGGAGACGGTACCAATTCGGATCTCCCTCTTCGCTGTTCAGGTGGGTCGGCGATCGTGTTACGTGCTTCCGAGATTAAACCTCACCGATTCACAGATAATCACAGATTCGACAGTCTACGCGAGATGAGGGGTCTCAACGAATTTCTGCTGGACATGGTCCGCTCCCACGACAACACTGGGTGCATTTCCTCCTTCCATCGTGACGGAGAATCACTTTTCTTTCCAGTACTTTACAACCGAGTGTTTCCTTGCGCTTCGGAGCTCCGATGGTACAAGAATCGCGAGAGCCCGCTCCCATCTCTAAGATGACTCATTCCTCTGACATTCGTGGCCAATGTCTTCCACCAAACGGAGAAGAATTCGATAGCTTTGTCGGGTATTCGTGACGACACACGATGCGTGGCCGGAAAGGGTCCCGTCTAATTTAAGCTCCGCGTCGTTTGTGTTCCCTAGCAGCTTTAGTAATGCTCGCAGGTGGCTTAGCCGATATCAGCTTTCATCGGAGTGACAATCGAATCTCAAACGTAGAATCATAGGAATGGCTCTCGACAGGGTCTTGCTTCCACAATTCTTCCGGAAGACTTTGATATTATGCATCCGGGATCTTTCCCTCCTTCGGAATCACTGGCTTCGGGAAGATCCGGAACAGAATCCGAAGACTATCGACTGCTGAAGACGCTGATGGAACGAGTTTTCCGGAACCTGTCACAGAAGTCGAGGCTGACTCCACGATTCGGAGGCTCGTCCATACCCTCTTGTAAACTTTGAACATTCCAGACTCACTCTTCAGCTCTTCAGCATACCCGCGCTGGTCACTCTCGGAAACTACGCAGGAACTGGTGGGCCCGTCGGTTATCGGATCCCCCTCTTTTCCTGAGACGGTTGCCGGAGAGGCTTCGGGGCTTCGGACGCCGAATCGGACTACCCGAGTCATCGAGCTCCGGGTCCTCCGGTGCGGCACGGATGGTCCAACTAAAGGACAGTTTCCCCATGCATATCGTGGGATGGCATACTGCATATGTTCCGAAGTCAGGATCTCCGCCTATGGATCAGATTTCCGGCATTCAAAAGGCCAATCGACTCAGAAGTATTCCCTAAGGGTTCGAGGCTGAGATAGCCTCGGAATATTCACAGTCTGGGGAACCATGAGCGATGAGGGAAAATTAGCAGAATCCGCAAATCACACAGACTGCTTCGGCAGCACCTCCGTTCGACGGTGCGAAGGAATCACCCAAAGTGAGAGATCATGACTGCCTCAAAGTAGGCCGTCGCTCGTTTGCCATTGTTTTAGATTCCGCCTGACAAACAGACGTCTCCGCCGAATGAGAATACGACGGTCTGATGCGACCGTAGGCGCAGTGTTTGCTTTCGGGAAGTTCTTCTCGAGACTCAGAAAACATCAGCTCAGTATTTCCTTCTCCTACGAGTCCGCCTCTCGCGACGAAGCGCGAGACAGAATAGCAGTCTTTAAGCAGAAGAGCAGCTCCGTAGAATGAAAGTCGAGTAACGATGTCAACGTCACCTAGCGCTGTGCGTGCCTTTGCTCTTAGTCTTGCAGCAGAGACTATCGGTTTAACGGCGTGCCCCTTTCCCCTTCCGTAGACTAGGCGCATTGTTTAGGAGACTATCTTGCCGCGGTCACTCCCACAAGTCGTTGAGCTCTGAATTGAAAGAGTACGTGTCTAAACGGTCAACGCTCGCGAGTTCCGATTCGCGGTCAGGAGCGAGTGACAGATATTCGAAGTGTTCTTCTCAGAGACAGTGCTTCTCATCCGAGACCCGCAGTGAGCATGGGAATTTTCGACTTGGAAGATTGGAGATCCCTCTGGAATCTGAACAAGCCGCCCAAATCCTTCCGAAGTCAGTACAGTAACTTCTCCGTGAACTCGACGCTGAATCGGAGCTATGGCGACCTTTCCACAAGTCAGCGGAGATACATGGCCAGGAAGAACAACGATGAAGTCGATGCGCGTTCCTTCCTATCCTTGGAACGACAACTTTCGAAAGCAAGTGGAAAACGCGGCGGATCCCTTCCGCCCCCATCCGGTCGACGGGCTCTGAGTGCCGCCAATACACGAGTCCACAACGCCAACGGAATGGTGGAGCCGACTCGGCAGCCGGAAAATTTCCGAACGGCACCCACCACGAATGAACTGCCTGCGAAGCCACCACTGAATGACAGCGATAGCTCTCCGGAATCGAAGGGCTCCGCGAGGGTGAGCAGGCAGAATCAACCGGTACTCCAGCGTCCGACCAGCAAGATCGCTTTGAGTGGTGATTCGTCGTGGATAAAACCGCGGAAGGATCTGGACTCCTCCTTCGAGCTCGTCGACAACGACAAGAACGATCTTGGAGCGCAACGGCAAAATCATCTTGCGAAAGAACCAGTGAAGAATTGGGAAAAACAATTGAATCGCAAGTCCAACGAGAATCTGGGCAATCGGTACGGGAATGCGGCACGATCCAGTGCACGGAACTTGTTGGCCGACGAGTCCGACGAGCAACCTACGACGTTCATCGAGGCTCGTCGTAAATTCCAGCAGCTCGCTCAAGCCAGTCATGAACGACACGCTCAAGCGTACAGCGAGCCGTTGCGTGTGAAATTCAATTCCCAGCAGAACATACCGAGCGGCGACAGAGCGCAAATGAAACAATATCAATCGGCGGCGGGCTTGGACGTCTATGATTACCCGAGAAAAAACGCGGACATCCAGAAACGCGACAGTCTCTACAACAGAGCCAACAGCTCGGGTCTTCCGGAGCCTGTGCGTAGCAGCAGTTCGTACGACGCCAGACCCGCGCGAGTCGAGCCGGCGAGCCTTCCAGCCGCCCGTCGCAACATCGCTCTGCTCGGACTGAGCTCCGATAAGTCCGAAACCGAGGTGGCTGACGCGGTCGTGACATCGACACCTCGCTCTTCGACGAGGAAATCCAAGGTCAGTTCGGCTGGAGACGACTCGACTTTTTCGGAGACGATTCGTTCTCATTCAGCGACGACCGGAAGATTTTCACGTGCTTCGAGATTTCAGTCGCGCGAAAATCTCCTCGATCCTGACTGGGATACGCTAGATATCGTCTTGAAAAGATCCAAGAAGAGATCCGAAGAACTCGGTTTCGTGATTCGCGGAGGTGAGGTAAATCAGAGTTTGTACGAGATCAGGGGCCGAGCAGACACATTGGTTTTGCCAGCCCGAGGATTGTCCGAGTCGACAGCCTCTGAACTTGGCTGAGAGTTCGCCTTTCTCAACAAATCCCTTGGCATGATTCTAGGACTCGGCGAAGAAGTTCGGTCCGGGGATGCTCAGATATACGTGTCACAGATCATTCCTGGAGAACTCGCGGCTCTCGATGGAAAGCTCCGGGTGAGTTAAGTCCTGGTTTATAGAAGGTTTCGATATGGATCGGAGAAGCGCGAAAAGAATTATAGCATATCGAAATTCCGACAACAGGTTGGAGATATTATCGTTGCTGTTAATGGACACGACATGAGATCCATGTCGCACAAGGCAGCCACCCGTTTGCTGAATTTATCCGGAAGCATGGTTCGACTGACGGTGAAACGATTCGTCGGCAAAATTCACATCATGCAGGTAAATAGTTCAACTTTCACAAATCCACCCTCCCTCACGTAAACAACCGGAGAATTTTCTCGAACAGCTATACGCTTCCAGCTGGTTCTCGAAAAGAACGGGCAACCGCTAGGTCTCACTGTGACGGGGGGTGTCGGCAATGAAGTCCCCGGTGGAGGTACCGCAATCTACGTCAAGAACATCAATCCGAACGGCGTAGCATATCGCGTCGGGGGGATCGAGGTTCGTGAATAGAAATAATATGTTGCGGATAACGGAGAACGACATTGTTCGTCCCCAATCGATGTCGGACTCTGAGGGGGACGATCCTCTGAAGGCTGATTGATGCCGATTAGAGCTCCGATCGATTTTAATGAAACTCGTTGCAGGTCGGCGATCAGATACAAAAAGTTAATAACACCGTCTTGACGGACGCTTCTCATCATTTCGCCACGGAGTGCCTGCGGAACGCGGAAGATCCCGTAGCTCTCGTCATAGCCAAAACCGGCAGAATAAATCCCATGCTATTCATTGAGCAATGAACTTCGGACAGAATTTGCCTGGGTCGCGCAGCAAACGCTCATCTGCGCATAACGGCGAGCTGAGTCAGCAAACGTAACTGGATCGTTCGGTCGAAGATGGCGCTGACTGAGAATGCTCGTCGGCTCAGAGGGCCATTCCATACTGTTATTCGCTTTTCGGAATCGAGAGGAAGATCCCTATACACTAGAGAGATCGGAGTGTCCCATAAATCATGAGATTCGGGCGCCAACTCTCGTATAAGAATATTTCTAAAATTCATGCGAGCTCAGACCGTCCTCGGCCTCTTCAGCCCAGGAGGCTGTGATGGGAAAGCCTCATTATCATTATTTCTCATTATCGCTTCTATAATGGCCGAAAGCTCCCGAGCCCCCCGGGGGGATAATTTCATGACTCGAGGATTCGAGTAGAGAGCGACACCCCGATATTCTTCATTGATTCTGGAAGGTCCATCGCTATCCGAGGTGTGCATGGACTAGATCAGGAGACCGTCGGAAATATTCGGCTCATGAGGAAGGTATGCGTTGATCACTGCCGGGGGATCTTCCGTCAAGGTTCAGCTCTCGATGTGGGAGACGTCGGGAGAGTCTACCACTGTTCTAATAAACATAACTCACTATTCAAACTCCAGACGTTCCCTCAATCGCTAGCTATGATGAAACCGTGATTCGACCGGGGAACAATCAACAACATTTTCATTCATCGCTCCCGATGGAAATCATCGCGTCGCTTCGGGGAGTCCTAGCTAGTTTTAATTCTAAGTACAGGCGAAACCCTCTTCAGACACTTATTCATACGAGCAAAAGTCACGCGACTCGACACGATCCTTGTCAACGCGCCCCGTGAGCTCAATGTCTTCAGCATGATCTTGACGTTCGCAGGCGGCCCCATTCGGCATGCACGACTGATCAGCTTAAGGCAGCGTGTCCCAAACGTTTGAACCCCGCGACCCACCTGTCCACAGCACTTGGGATCTCGCCCCACCGGCTCTTGAGGTGTATCTTCATCTCAATGCGGTGATCTAAAGATACAGAACTCATTTCAAACTGGCGGCATCAGCTGATGAAGAGCTGAGCGGGAGAAACTTTGGCGCAGGCAGACCCGTGCATTCGGCGGAGCTCCTGTCGCTCGTGAGTTGACGTTGGTGACAATTTCTGTGATTCTCGGTTCATTATTGTACGCCGACCTCCATCACTTGAAAACTCCATCCCTCACCTGACCCCTCGAGCTAACTGAGCGAATTATGTCCCCCTGGATCAAATCCGAGGCGAGGAAGAATCGATCAAGATGTCTTCCTCTGTGCTACACGGCTCTGGCACACATGTGTGAAAAAATCGAATCGACCATGACAGTGATCTTCGATATATGCGAGATCCATACAAATGCTTTCAATGGAGGCAAAATTGTGATATCATCGCTATTCGGAGTCTCCGGCTCAACGACTCCTATGAGCTTACAGCATGCAGCGTGTGCGGAGCTGTGCGATCCGCGGCGTATGATTCCTTGGAAGCGTTGGAGGGCAAACGCGGGAAACTTCCCGGGATGTCGTCTCGTGGACGAAGAGCCTCAGAATAATCGGCGTCCCACAATAGGAGAGATGCGACCTGGCATGGGGTCCGCGAGGCTCGCGAGGGAGTCCTCACGATCATTTTTCCTATTCCCCATAGTCCGGAAGAATTTCATGGTTCGAATATCATAGAATGGTTGATTCGTCGTGCCTCCTCTACGATATTATCCCTGCGCGATCTCCCTAAATCGAGCTCCCCTCAGCTTGATCATGACGGGACTGAAAGAGAATCGTGATAGCTACGGAACGGGCATATCAGTTTTCTCTCTCAGAGCTCTCAGTCCAACAACCTGTGCGTTGGTAGTAAAGGCCCTGCTTCTTTATAGCCCAGCCCGATAAACGGTCACGTGTTTTTAACGTTACATCGCCCGTCACCACCCTATGCACCGACCATCCGATGTGCCGTGAATACTGAGACCCCCGGCACATTACGTCATGTACCGGCAGGAGCTCTTCGGCCGCCGGAATCTCGGTCTCTATCCATAGAGCTCGTGGACTCAAATATTCGCAGACCAATTTGATTTGATTTGATTTATTACATAGCGATGAATTGGGTGGATACCCGCAAGCCCGGTTAGGCTGCACTTTGAGTAGACAGCACATGAGTACGCAGTTTACCGTTGAATTCACGGTAGTGGGTAACTCCTCGAAGATCAGCAGGGAGGTTATTCAAAACATCCGAGAGTTGGTACAGAGGTGTGGCCCTAGAGGACGACCGAACAACCCGTGGTACGCGCAGACGATGGTTTCTCAACGATCTCAGGGAGGTGACAAACTCTGAAATGCACGACTTAGGGAGATGCGCAGGAGAGTAGATCGACAGAAACGCCAGGCAAGCGATGCGGTAGGTACAGAGTTGGCGAACATTGAAGAAGGAGAGCGAGCGGAGAAGAGGGGAGACCGACGAGCGGGGCGGAAGTCCATAGATAGCTCTAGTCGCATTATTCTGGGCGATCTGAACTGACCGGAGGACGGCGGAGGACGGGGACAGGCCCCAGACTGAGCAGCAATAGGAGATGGAGCTACCTATAATAGCCCTATGGACAGAGATAAGAATGTTGCGAGGGAGTCCAAGACGTCTGAGCCTATGGAGGCAAAAAGCGTATGATGCAAGCCTTCGACGTAACTGAACGGAGTACTTCAGCCACGAAAGATTGGCCTCTAGGACCAAACCGAGGCAAGTGACCGACTGAGACAGAGGGAGCGTCACACCATTGAGGACAATCAAACCGTCTACAGGTGATGGAGTTTAGGGACGCTGACGAAAGTGTAGAAGCTTAGTTTCATCAGCATTGATTGAGAGGCGAAGAGAACAGAAGGAGTCAAAGACAGCCGCAAGACAAGTATTTACCAATGCAATATCCTCGGCCAAGTTCTTGGGATCAACCCGAACAAGCACAGTAGTGCGCGAGTCTTGATGATTTTATCCGTCAACTTCCATTCGACCGGAGGATAAAATCACGCGCCTCGAGTATTGTATTTTAGACGAGGCGGTGTGCCGGGCTCCGTTTGCTCCTTCAACATGGGAAGTATAGGTATACGGAAGCATCATGGAGAGGCACACGCCTGATCAGCACTCCACCCTCTGGATGGGGCATCCGGGATCCGGGGAGACAACGGATGGTACCCATCTGCGGCTCATTGCTTCTCTACCCCGGAACGATGACTCATCCCCATGTTCGCTCCCGCGTCCTCGATAAAGCATTATTTTCTCGACATTTTTTATTTAATCCTACGGAGGAGCTTTGCTCTCCATCGCGGAGACTCCGGGAGGCCTACGATATCCCGTTTGCCTCCGTGCGCGCGCTATCGTTCTGCTCGGTCTGGCCAGGAAGTTCAGCTTGTCTCGGAAGCAGGCTCAAATACCTCGGTATTCGAACCGCCCATTCTGCGTTAGGAAATATGTCTCGGACGATTCCTCCCCTTTGTTTTCGCATGCACCCCATCTGGTCCTCTTAAGTCCCACAGGAAGTCTATTTCCTAGCGCGCTTCTCAGGGGCCGCGTAACCTTTCACAGCCCGAGTCCGATGAGAGCTGGCGGGATGAATCGCTTCTGCGATCCTCGTTTTGACGGGAGGAAAGATACGCTGTCGATCGAAAAGTGTATAAATGGTTGACCAGTCCCCCCTTTTCTCTCGGGGATTCCGTCCCGTAAGCTTTATGGAATCATAATTTTTGAGAATTGAAGCGGGTGGAGTATCATGACTTTCGACAAGACTTCGGGATTGGAGGCGCCTGTGTTCACCCCGGATGAAGAGGTCCGCTGCATCATCATTAGTGGCTTATGGCCTCCAGAAAGAGCGGGGATTCCTTCTTCTCGGAGGAGGAGAGATGGCTGCCCCGCTCGATATGAGAAGTTGAAAAAGTCAGCGGATGGTCAGCGGCTTCGATGCCGAGTCTGAAAGAGTCACGGTCTGCGTGTACCCCAGTCCGATAGAATATGGTAACGAGAATGCCCGCCACTCGTTGGAGTCCGGGATGCGCACGGAGCGATTCCGACAGTGTCACTTTGGAGTTATAGAAAGCCCATTTTTCCAGTCATGGATCAGACTCGCAATTATTTTGTGCTGAAAGAAGTTGCCCGTTTCATTCATTTGCATCCAAGGTCCCCGAACTCCGCCAGTAATAAACCTGTCATTGCACCGCGGGCCGGATGCTCCAATCTGAACACTCTTCGAGAGTGATCCTCCATTGAACCTGAGTGCATGACTGGATCAGACCATACGGCCGAGAGTCAAGCACCAGTTCCCACCGGGTGCTACAGAGGCAAAGATCCTTCTCACATCTGTCAACTCTTCCGATATCGAGAGGGAAAATACGCGGTTGCTTATACGCGGGCGCTTGGTGAGGGTGGTATACCGATATATCTGGCTTCGATTGTAAGTATGAGACTGTGATGGGGAAGACGGGTGGTCTCCTGATGACCCAGCATTCCCCATTCCCTTTCCAGGATTCTTGACGTATTCATGAGATGGGTGCTCTCAGCTCGAGAAGTTCGAGTGCTCCACTCACCGGCAATCGAGCATTTCGAAAATAGAGGAGAAATTGTGATCCGCGGAATTCCTGAACGGCTTGACCGGTGGCCGTGAAGATTCTGCGGTGTGTTCCTCGGAGCCCGACCGAGGCAATAGGGGCACTGAAGTTCCATGCGACGGGATTTATCTTTTCGGAATTATTTGGAAGCTTCACTCACCAGAAACTGAAGTCTTGGGAAATAATTGAAGGAACGGGAATTCGCTGTGAGCCCGAACGACTGAACCAATCAACGTGAATGTTCAGGGTTGGCTTCGGGCCTTGCGGAAATTGAATTGCGCTCGAGGTTTCCATGCGATGAGCATCATTTCTCTTAAGAATGGGGTTAAAGCTCCGTGTACCAGAAATCGATCACTAGGATCTAGAGGGGAGAACAAGGATCTCGTACACAGGCTCCTGACTGACTGACTGAATGAATCGATCGATCGTCGAGGAAGTTTTGGCGAGCGACCTACGGACTCCTGAGTAGGTCCTGGGAGGGTAGCCGTTCGCAGGGATACGGGCAAAAAGGCAGAACGAATAGGAGTAGGAGGTTGGGACAGATGACGATGGATGACGGGAAGAGGATGATTGATGGGAAACGAACAGCGAGCGCATCCAGAGTGGACGCACACAAAGCAAGTTCAACTAGTGCAACCCCACCTGGAGCGAGCGAAAGCGTAGAAAACCTAGCGCTCCTGAGTCGCTGCGGAGTGGCTCCTGCTCCGTTGAATTTCATTTTGAACATCATAATGATGATCGGATCTCATGACCTCCTCAAGCGAGCGGAGCGCGACCTCGAATGCCTAGGGAGAGGCGCCCGAGAAACCTCCGCCTGTCCTGCTACGGAATCGGTGAAAAATCGGAGAAGATCTGCGAATACATTCTTTCGATTCAGAAATCGAAGCCCGGAACGGTTTTATTCGATCCTAGGTCGGGATGATCCGGGCTCATGCCAGGCCTTCAGCTTATCCAGCGAATTCACAAAGCTGTCACAGAAGATGACACCGAGCTCCCGCTCGTCTCTGCCAGCCAATAAAAGTAAGAACTCCTGAGTCGCGAGGATCTTGAGTCACGGGCGCATAGACTCCCCGAATGCTTCTAACACTATTACACGTTGGATAGATCTCCTGGAGAAAAGACTGGGGCCGCATCGTGAACGCCGGTATGATCAAAGAGCGTGTTCTATCCTCATTTGCGGTTTGTTCTTCGAAAAGGACTCGCATGGATGCCAAACTTGAACATCTTGAGATCCGCTGCGCAGCCTCGACTCGCTAGATGATTCCAAGCTCAAAATCGTGTATTGATCCAAAGCCGCGCCGGCTCGATCAATCAATCCTAAGCTAGGAAGGAAAACACAGTCCGCGTGGATTATCTGACAGTCGAGGAGAGGCATGGGGCCAATACCGGGCGCTTCCATTCTTCCAAGGAAAATAATAGCGACCGAGACTGAAGTTAGTCCCAATGTCAAGACACTGTTCCGACGCACGCACCGAATCGACGGCAAACGTCCCGAATGAGCGATCAGAGTCAGAGGGGATACGCGATCGAGTTGCTCCGCCGTAGGTTGTCTCCGTCTTCACCCATGTTGTGGGTACATTGGTTCTCAGCTCCATTCTCGCTTTTTGAGCGTATGAGATTACTTTTGGGACTCGGAAAGGAGAATCGCGCGAAACACTCAAAATCTGGAACGAATTAGCTCTTCTGTCGTTGAAAAGGTATCCCCTCATGCGGAGAATCATTGTTTGTCAGCATTCATTTGTCATCATTGTTTGTTCTTCATTCCGATACGAGTAGAAGAGACCAGAATCCAGAACCCTAGCTCACATCTCCGCACGTCACTTTGGTAGTGGTAACGGTATTAATTGATTGATATTGATTGAATGGTATTGATTGAATTTTCCAACGGGAGATAAGAAGGGCTATGACGAAGAATTGCTCCGATGGATCCCTACAAGGATGGCGCGACCTGATCACCCAGTCTGTCCCCGCTCGTTCGGTATTTTTGAACCGGATCGCGGTCAAGGATTCTGGTCGAGGATTTCTGATAATCCGAGCTGGACACAGTGTTGACTTGGTGTTCTGAATCCGCAGAGCCTTTAATAAACGGAATTCCGCCTCCGGAAGCCCGACGAGCGGTGAGAAGGATTTCCTGAAGCGAGGACAGAGGATGGAATGATTCCCGTTCTCCTCGGAACGGGGGCGTGGATTATTTCTTCTCCGACATTGGACGGAAATTGCTACTTTCGCAGCTTCTACAGTCAGCGCAGAGACCGGTCAGCCGACTCGATGCATTGAGCAAATGAGAGTCTCAGACTGTCGGGGTCGAGCCGCATCAACCCAGCGGCTTCCCCGAGCCCGATCGCTCCTGCTGTCGGTGCCGCTGCGATGGAGCTCGACGGCAAGGTTATCCGATGAGCCCCGATTCTATTTCGCGTAAGGGAGGAGGAGAACTCCAAAACTCATGGAAGAACTCCGCAAGCCAGGTGCACTCCGAGAAAGAGGGTAAGCGCTCTCGGAACAGGGTGCCTTCGAAGTTTCCCTGTCCGTGTCACATATTTCCGCCCCGTTCCGTCTGGATTCGTAGTTTCCTAATGTTCGTCGACAGACAACTCTTGGGGGCTCTTTTTGTCATGAGTACGGTGAGGATCGCTCTACAAAATCTTTAAAATCTTGAGCATCGTCGGGAATCCTCCCAGGATCCGGCACACCTCACGGCCACCGCGTCGAGGTCATTTAGCCAGAGCTTCAGGTCACTTCTTACAGGTTCCTCGATCTCATCTCTCGTATCGTCCTCTTCAGCAAAGATGAAGGACAAATGAGACGGGGATCCCACATCGCCCGATTCTTCCACCGCATCGGTAGATCCGGAAGCTTTAGGTTTCCAAGTCAAAGAGATATCTTGACTTGATGAAGAATTCATATCCCCAGAGACAGGACCGCGAGAATGCTGATTTGGCGCGACGATTGGTGGAGATTGACGCCATAGAAGGAACTCAACGGGACACATCAACGGATCCCAATGCAGGTGGAGCCTAAGGGAAACCTTCCGACTTGATCGAGGCTTTTGAAAAAGACACGTCCCAATCGGAGCCTTGCGATATTCCTGAGCCTGCGATGGCTGAAAACCGACAGGGTGGGGCGAGGGCCCGTGCCAGCTACAGCTGGCGAACGATCCACGAACGCTCAAGAGTCATCGCCCCCATTTGAAACATTGGCCGCTCGGGAACACACCGCGAAGCTATCCGGTTTCTCAGTGGACTCTCGCTCTTACAAATCTTATCGTCGTTTCCGTCGAATTCCATACCGAACTGAGATCTTAGGTCTCTCCATCATGAGCGGCGATGATTTTTCCGTCGATAATGTTTGATCCAGATCACGATTTCTGAGTGGACCGGTACCGGTTCAAGAACCAGGGGTCAGCTGCTGCTGCATGGCGGGTAAGAGTCGAGAAGAGAGGAAATATTTGGGTTGCCGAAGATCTTTCGAAGACAAGCTCCAGAGCATCGGAGAAAATTCGGAGGAGACTTCAGACTTCGATCTTCCTCTGTGCTCTCAGGGATTCGAAGCTTCCGAGAAGAACCAGCTCAAACGTGGAAGGTGAGTGATTTTCAAGACCCAAAAAAGTCGGATAGTTCGAAAATAGTCCGGGGACATGCTCGAGGCTGAAGAGCAGCCAAACGCCTCTCGATGTGTGCCGTGAGAATGTCACGCGGCTCCTCTGGGGGGAGCTCCCGTTATTGGGTGCGGCGCTCGAGAGGACCGCTCTCCATGAATGTCAACGATATGGGGAACAGGAGCGAGATTCTTGGTGGTTTTCCTACATCGAAAATCGGCGTTTTCGAGCAGTGATGCCGCTTGTGGTTTGGACTTTCTTGTATCATCTTTCGTTATCCTTCGGTGATATCCTTCTCTCCTCAATTTTGTCACTGGGAACGATTTCTGGCGGCGCTCTTCGGCGCTGCGAATAGCGTAATTCACCTCGCGTTCTGTAATAGTCTTCGACGCTTATCGAAGAAATCCGTCAACTTCTTGCTGAAAGTTCCAGAGCAGAGCGCGGCGGCTTGCTGATCGAAAGTTTTTGCGAGGTCTTATGAAACATTTGCGAAAGTTTCTGATATCACAACTTTGTTCCGTCTCTTGGCATTCTTCCGCGTGCTAATGATGCGAAGAAAGTTTTGAAGGATTCCGCAGCGAATTCTCCTTTGACCCACTACACGAAGACACACTTCGCGCGAAATTCATGAAGACAGACCGTGAACCACTGACAAGGCTGGTTTCGCGGTTGAACTCCGGGTTGAGACAATGATTTGTTTTCCGAGAACTACCCTTTCGATTGGGGCTCGGCGGTGCCGTGTCTGATGGTTTGGCATTAGTGTACCATATGAGACACGCGCAGATGATGCGGATCTGCGGCTCCGAGATGGGTGATCATCGATTATTATTAGAATGATGATCACACCCTCTCTAAACACTCGGGGTCGCGAGCTCGAACGAAGCAGTGGAGACCTGATAATCCGAGCTTCGCAGATTCCGAACGAATCGTCCCACGTACTGAGAATATGGTCTTGTAGTGTGAATGCGAAACCAGGATTTGCTGTGGTCAATGTTTGAGGAAGCTCCGCTGTTCTCGGGAATAGCTCGCTCTCGATATTCATGACGAAGTATTCTCGAAAACGGCTGTGCGATCCATCGGCGACTAGCTCCTCCTTCCTAGAATGTGGAAGAAGGACGAAGCGATCACGAGAAGAACTCATCTTGAGAATTTTCTTAAGCTTTGTGCACAGCCGGGGCATGCGTTCTTATATCATGGGATACTTACTCCATGCGAAGCTACGGCTCACAGGGTTTTTCATGTCACAAACAACCCAGAGACAATGCCTTTCCCGCCAGCCTGGAGCTTCTTTTCTCGCCACCGTGAGCTTTGGCCGTCACCTAGATCGGCCATGACATACGGTGTCTTCACCCCATGGCTGACTGAGTGGCCGCTGATGGCGGCTGAATCTCATTCCGGGTTGAAGAATCGTAGCACTGGCCGAATCGAGCGGGTCAATGCGAGTCGAGGAGACCATCTTCCGGAACTTTTCCGAATGGCTCAGTGTATGAGGCCTATCCCGCTATTTACACGGAGCATGCCGAGAAACGAGGACGGAGGGCCAGCCGAACATTAAACACCCGAGTGAGACGCATATCGTGGTTTCTCCACAGTCCACCGGTGAGCCACTGGGAGAGAAGTGCTCCACAGAATTTCAATCCGTCGAGATATATATCTCTCCTGAAAATGTGTTCCCGTGAACGTCGTCTGAATGATTTTTCGGCGACGGCCGAAGATCTTTCCTTTCTCCCTCTCCTCTTCGTTATGTCAGTGGCTATTCAGCGCGCCGCCAGAAACACCTCAGACCCCAAGGAGCGACGTGAACTTCCACAACGAAGTTGATCCAAGGTCCAACTCCTTAGCGGACTCAGAAACGAAGGTTAATTTCCAATCTGAATGTTTACGGTGCCGTGAGACTGTAAAGAACTTCTGAATGCTCAAGTATATCACGTAATTATTGTGAGCATCATCTATCGTGATTTTGTGCATAGAGCTGGATATGTGCTGAGTTTGTGCCGAAATTGGGACGAAGGTCGACCGAGAGATTCGGCGGCATCGCCAGGCTCGCTTCTCGCAACTGTTTCCACAGCGGTCTTCCGCGATCTAATTATTCGGGCTATGTCAGAGTTTCCTGCGTGTATGCCTGATCTGCCAAAGTTTCGAAGCTGACTTGTCTCTGAATGGATAAGCTCACGACGCGACGTCTCCGAAGCGAGGGCCTCATATCACGCCGTCCAAGTGCGACGATTTTGATTCTTCGGCCACACCGGCCACACCGGCTGCTCTGCCAGCTCCGGTGGCAGTTTTCGTGCCATTTGCGCAATCAGACAAGGGCAAACCCGATCAGGCGGGTACCAACTTTACAGTGTGGCGAAACTTAGCTTTAGCATGAGCCGGAGCCAGAAACGAATCGTGCATTGCCGGGGGTGAGTCCTAAATCTAATGGTTCTTATGTTTCAGCGATGTCTGTCGCCGTCGAGAGTCCATTCCTGCCGACGCGTGATCCGCGTACGGAGAACTGGTTTCTGCTCGGGGATCTCAAACTCTTATTGACGTTACTCGTCTCTTACATATATTTGGTTAGTATTTCTCGAGGATTCTCCAGGGCATACCGATCCCAATCGAATGAAGCGGAGCATCAACGAGTGTCGCTCCTCTCTGAGCGCATCGATTATTTCTAGGCCAAGAAGGGTATACCGAAATTCATGGAGAGTCGGAAACCAATGAAACTCGTTCTGGCCTCTCGCATCTACTCCTCCATCATGACTGCAGCCAGTATATATTTCCTCATGAGGACATTACCTCGCACGTACTTCGGTGGTGGATACAGCTTTGTATGCCAAGGTGAGCGTAATCATGGAATCGGTAGTCATTTCGGTCAGTCATCGTCCTACTCTCTCTCGCAGGGCTCAGTCAGCGCTATCCGATGTATTCATTAGCGATAGAGCGACCTTGGAATCAAAACTGCGGCTGACAAAACTCGTCTAGCTCTTGACAATTACTCTTTCTGTTTCCCGATGCAAAGCCTGCATCCAGTGTCAGGTCTTCAGGTATCGAGGAATCGTGTTGCATCATGCAAGATGATAGTCTGTGCCACGGGACGAGATTCCAAACATACGATAGGCATCTCGCCCCCGATTCCACCTGTGAGAATTTTTACTCGAAGAGTGAGAGTGAACGCTCGACTTCCATCGCGTTCGACTTCCTCAAATTCGGTTAGGGCGAAATCCTCGCCGCGCGGCGGATATAGCGGAATCCGATTACTATCCACTGTTGTTGTGTAAGGATAATCGTCGCTGTCGTTTGTTCTTCCGTCTTCCTCTGAATATTTCCCTCGAACGCAGCGACTCACATAAGTTCCTCCGCTCCGCCTGATCTTGGTGGTAGAATCGAAAAGCTAGTGCAGCTTTCCTAAGAGGATGCGTGACAATAACCATTTTGAGGTCATAATTGAGGTTGTCCTCATCTCCGCGACGGATGTATCGCACGTGATTGCTCGGGAAAATCGTAATCCGTACTTAACAACATCCGCTTGCGCTTCGCAGGAGTGGATTACAACGATCGCTCGGAGCAGACTATGGAAGTCATCAGTCTGATGTACTACTATCTGTACTTGCGGATATTCGATTTCGTGGGAACGATGATCTACGCCTTCCAGAAGAAGACTCATCGAGTAAACATGTTCCATATCTATCACCATTGCATATCGGTGGCCATCGGCGTGTACGGTCTCACCTACGGCGTGGAGGGGCAAGCAGTTTTCGGCGTCTGTGTGAATATGTGCGTCCATGTTCTGCTCTACTCTTACTACTTCCTCGCGAGTTTCGGGCCTAAAGTGCAAAGCTACCTGTTCTGGAAACGCCATCTGGCTAACATCGAGCTGTTCCAATTCCTGGTGATATCCTCACATATCCTATTGCCAGTATTCGCCCGGAGTTGCAGCTACCCGGTGCTACACTCGTTGTCGGGTATCTCCATCATCGCACTCATGACCATCTTGTTCCTGACTACATTCAAATAGATGGAGACGGGGCCACCCTTTGTGATAAATGTGTAGTCGTTTGACTCCAACCATGTTTCATCGCGGTTAGTTTCGAGTATCTCAGCAGATGTTTCATACCTCTCCAAAGTGTCTTGCCAACGTGCCTTGTACTTCAAATGTTCGACGGCCGAGAATACAGAGGGCAGAAGTGGTGATATAGAATGTTTTTGAATTGAAATCGTTGCAGAAATAAATGCCGAATAATGTAGTACAACATTCAGAAACAAGTCTCCCGACGATGACGACGAGCGTATTTAAACTGTACATCAATCGCACCGGACTTGAGATGTGATCTGTCTTCATAGGGAGCGAGCGAACTTCGACGGGCTGTATAGAAACGAATGGAAGTAGGGCGAAATAAAAAGATAGCGAGCAATCTTGCGCGCTGCAACAGAAATCTTCGGTTCGTTCTCTCCCATCCCGGCATCGTTTCTTAACGATCGCTAGCAACGTGGCTTGCCGCGGGAATCGCTCAAGCGCCAAGCCACGTCCGCGTGGCTTTTCTGGGGTTGAAAATTCTCTCTGACTCCCTTTAACGCAGTCCCATTTGTTGCCAGACGCTGTCTACCCGAGTTGTTGTGGAGCCTTCCTCTGCTGAACAGATATTGCCACCGCCAGCTCGTGGCAGGGTTACGAAGAGCGCTCTGCTGGACTGACATGGGATCCAACTTGTTTTTTCCTTTGACACTGCTCAATCTTCCGTGTCTTCCAGGTGTACATGGATCGGACGTCAATTCCGATGTTTCCGCCAGAAGCCCCGCCGCTCAGAGATTTTCGCCCGGCGTGACAGAAAGCCAAGAGAGCATCGCGCCTTCCCGTGCAGGACGACAACATCCGCTCCGATTGCTAGTCGAGTTCACACCAGCCGAATTGAGTGCACGTTCCAACGTCAGCGAAATTGGTCCATCCGTTTTCGGAACTGATCTGCGTCAGAGGCACTCCCGAATTACACACTCTTCCAACTCGAATCAGCGGAAAAAGCGTCCCACGCGTCATCCATATTCTGGGTCGATTCCGCCGCTCCCGAGAGAAGCCGCTTCTTTCCGATAGCAAAGATACGCCGCAGTTCGGAACCAAAGCAGCTCTCCCCTTAGACTGGAAATTATAGACTTCTCAGATGAGCAGAAGGTTTTCGAGACTCTGGTGTAGGAGAATACGGAGTAGATCCACCTTCGATTGCCGAATAAGAGTCAGGAGGTAGCGGGCTCCATTTGACTCCGCCTCCGACAGAAATTCTTGTCACTCTAACACGCTTCTGGAGCGGCCGATGTAGATGTAGGGTAATCACCGCTCGTGCAAGCACAATGTACCGCGATTTTCTGGTTGGACTTTGCAAACAGGGGTCAAGGCGAGGATGGCGCGAAGCCTTGGGGTTCCGGACACCGCGGCCCCGTTCGCTCATCGAACAGCAAAATCGATCGGAATGTGAGCGCGAGCTGTTTATTCTGCAGTCTGGTACAGATGTGAGCGAATCGTCAGGATTCCATAATACAGAGGAGAAGCCGAGCAGGAGGTTCACTCCGAGACGCCGCCCCTCGGGCCGAGATATTCTAAGATTGTAGCTTCAGGAGAGAACCACAATCTTAGGGTATGATCGCCGACGTCACGTCGCGAAAAAGCGGAGACAACAACTGCAAAGCCTTTAGGATCTTGCGTCGCTATGGACATGAGTACACCCCGGAGGCGCGTGGGAAAAATCGAGGGACTCCGCTTCACGAAGGGCTTCGCGAGATTCTCTCGTCGTCGGAGGGAATTCACTGCGCCAATCCTCTTTCTGAATTCATCTGCGATCGCCTGTATCTCCTGTCGCCATCGAGGCGATTGAATACTATATTTCGCTAGACGAACAGGTCGGCCCTCTCCCCTGTCCCCTTTCTCCCTCCTCAGACGCTCATAGCCATGGGTACAGGACGTATGAAGACGTGTATCCATAGCCCCGATTTGTGTTCTTGAGCTGTTGCGCTCAACTCCCCAGCAGGGGAAAAGATTCCTAATTTCATAGTCTCTCTGTTCAAAGTTTTGAAGAAGGGCACATTCCTATGGGAATCTATCACAGTATAAATTCGTAGACAACAGACACGCAGGCGCCAGCAGAAGCAGGTTTGCTGAAATCAATGTACTCTATAGCGAAGTTCTTCGACCATTTGGGGGTCGCCGCTGGCTGTGTAGGTCGGCACAAGGCGGACACGGGCATAAGCTCGTGAATAAGGCTTGTGGGATACCTCGAAGCAAGTGGGCTGGTTCAGACACAGGGTTGGCCGACGACGGGTACAAACGTAGCGTCGCCCATGGAATCTCGACGTGGGACCGAAAGTCGGAGCGATGAGCGCACCAAATGCAGATCTAATCTGACCACATCGACGTATCTAGTTGTATGTTGTCGGAAAAGGGAGATCTCTCCCGAGCCAATGGCCAACGGCTCCGGTGTCGCCACTCCGAGTCATAAGTCACTAAGGTCTGTGGCGACAGAGCCGACAAAAAATGAGCAAGGGAGGAGAAGGTAGCGCCGCAACAACGATTATATTGATGTTGAAACCCCTCGATGTTCGGGTTCGCGGTGTCGAAGAGAGAAAGATAGAGGCCACTGTGGATTCCAAAAACTGCCCCGGAGCAGACAAGATTCCACGATTTTAAAGATGGTGTGATGGTGGTGAGACTTCCCTGGAGCGATCCGAGGAGACATGAGATACACCGCCGAGACAATGAGGCGGCTAAATCCATCTCATCACACGCTCGTCGCGCAACAGATGCCATGCGGGACATTACGATCTGAGACAATCGACGCTTTCAACATCCAGAATCACCAGGAAGAGGGGAGTCACTCATCCATCCCTATCAGAAGTTCTCAGCAGATCATCTCCAGTCGGTTTTCCTTCTCTTCCTCCGAGATATTCCCACCTTCCATCGCGTCCGGCTTCGGAAAAAATCTACGGGAGGAACCATTCGTAGCAGAATCGTGAGCTCCGACTCCTACAAGATTGTTGCGGTTGAAACGGAGTCCTGCCTGCTAGCTTTTCAAGCAAATAGCAAAGCTCGATCCTTATGAACTTTCGGAGTCATGAAGGGTGCAAGGCTCGTTCCCAATTCGATATTCTGGAGAGCGGATCAGCATCGTTTCATTGTGTGCGCATTCCATTGTGAACTTGGAATCATTCTCTAGCCTCTCGGTAGTAACATCAAGTCGAAGCCGGACGAATCTGCTTCCAGTGACCAGCGTGATCACCGATTTGGGACGTCAATTTGAGAGGCTCCCTTTGCCCGGGAATCACAAGGGAAAAGGAGTGAAACGAGATTCAGCTCAAAGTGATCCCTATCCGAGCCCTCATCGGGCAACAAGATGTTTTTTCCTACGGCTCTCCTTCCCCCTCCTCAGTTTCCTTCTTGTCATCCCCATGCCGGGGGAAGTTCGTTCTCATCGACACCCACGTGAAATTACCTAAATCGAGAGGTCCCTTATACGCGGGACTCGATGGTATATTGAAAGCGTCTATGATATGATGCTACCTCGATGGGTCCCGTGAAGATATCAACTGAACTCCTTTGAACTAGCATCTAAGTTCTTTCCTCTGAACCTACGGGCCCTGATTTTCCAAACTTGATGTTTCTCCAGGAGTCAAAGACATGTGTTGTCGATAGAATATCTCTTGGACGAATACCGCAGCATCGGGTAAGACTTTGATTTCCTTGAACTCACCAACTCAGCCGAAGTCGGCTCACCTTGTTTCTCAGGTCTGTCCGGTGAGAGCTGCTTGGATTCTTATCTCTTTCGAAAACCGTGCCCCCCGTCGGAGAGAGTTTAATTTTCCCGATTAACCACCGCGCGCTCACGCTTCGCTCTACGATGCGTCGAGAGATCTGGCTCAGAGGCCGAGTAGCACAATTTCCTCAGTGTCGTAGCCCCGTTCCAGTGCTCTATGCCGGGGTTCTGCTTGTTCGAAAAGGTGACCTTGCCGTTGATATACTATCACAAATGATTGCCGGAACCTCCAACGAGTCTGCCAAATATAGACGAGGCAGGAGTTTGTGAAAGTGGACAAGCTTGCGATCAGTATCTAAACGAAGTATCATCGCCGAGAATCATCATTTCTGTGGGTTCTCAACACAGGGTACTCCGTCGAGCCCCAACCTCGCATGGGTGTTCTCTAAAAGTATCATGAAAAGCCTAGTCCACAGATTCAGTTCAATAATATCCGAGTTTCTCTCATTCGCCCACCCCTCTACTTTCCAGTCCTACAGCCCGTTTGCGGTTCCGTATACATAGGATGCGTGGGACAGATATTTTTCTCCGTGAAAGAAAACCACATGTGTCAAGCTCTCTCGACAAGCCTCCAAGTACGTTTAGGATTCGTCATCAGTGGAGAAGCTCCGAGAAATGCTGGGATGATCTCCCGCCAGTCTTCCGATACAATACCGAAGGCGGCAGCCTCGACCGAATCCAAGCCGCAACAAGGCAACAGCGCTAGACCCGCGCTTTTCCCCCACCAATTCTCCCAATGAATGATATGGAGACCGATACCTCAGAATTGATGGGACGGTGGAGCTTGCCCCACAGACGTCGGACGAAGCTGACGTGACTGGTAGCAGATCGAGGAGTAGATTGAACGCATAAAGTCGGAAGAAAGCAGCGCAATGCGATCGAATAGATTCCCCTAGCCTCCTTTATAAAAGCGCGGAATGAGGCGAGTCGGGGGCGTGTAAAAGACTATGTCGCTAGCTACAGGCAGTCGGAAAGAATGATAAGACGGCGCCGAGAGGAGTCCGCTCCACTCCGAAGTGAGCATCGATCTTTCATTGTGATGGAGATGTCGCAATTTCCAGTAGTCTACTTTTCTATCTCTCGCGACGGCTTACCGGGTTCACTATGGTGGAGTCGGCGAAGATTGCGAACAGTGTAGCGGGAAGGGAATAGAGCTCAGCACGTAGATCTGCGTTTAGCGTGCGGTGCCATTCTGCTTCGCGGCGACTACGTACCTCGTTTAATTCCCTTCCCGTCAATATTATTCATCGTTGGCACCTCTCAGCGGGAGCTCCAGACTTTCTCGCGTGAGCCATTCTCTGGTGACCGATCGACTTATCCAGCCAATTCTCAGAGAAGTTTCACTAGCTGATCAAGTGATTCGGAGGAGACTTCCAGCATTCAGGGGATATCGCATCTCGCTCAA